AGTACTTTTTTATATATTCTTACTTAATTCAAACAAGCACTTTGTACATAGTGAATCAAAGCTCAACTCTGGAGCCAAACCATCCAGGTTTTACTTGTGTTCTGACATATTCTTCTTCTTTTTTTTTCAATATGTTTTTATTGATTTGAGAGAGAGAGGGAGGGGAGAAAGAGAGAGAGAAACATCAATTGGCTGCCTCCTATATGCCCCCTCCTGGGGATTGAGCCTGAAACCCAGTCATGTGCCTTGACTGGAAATCGAACCAGCTACCTTTTGGTGCATGGGACAACACTCAACCAACTGAGCTATATGAGCCAGGGCTACCATATTCTTATTGTCTGACACTGGGCAGTTTACTTAACCTCTTTGTGTCTTAGTTTCCTCATCTATGAAATGGAGTTAAAGTACCTACCTAAAAAGACTATAGTAAAAATTAAGGGAGTTGATATATTTAAAGTGCTTACAACAGTTGCCAGCAACTCTTGGCTGCTATTATTATTATTATTATTATTACTAGAGGCCCGGTGCACAAAATTTGTGCACGGGGGGGGTGTGTGTCCCTCAGCCCAGCCTGCACCCTCTCTAATCTGGGACATCCCTCTCACAATCCAGGATTGCTGGCTCCCAACCACTCGCCTGCCTGCCTGCCTGCCTGCTTGATTGTCCCTAACCACTCCCCTGCCAGCCTGATCAATGCCTCACTGCTCCCCTGCCAGCCCGATTGCCCCCAACTGCCCTCCCCTGAAGGCCTGGTTGCCCCCAACTGCCCTCCCCTGAAGGCCTGGTCGCCCCCAATTGCCCTCCCCTGCAGGCCCAGTCACCCCTAACTGCCCTCCCTTGCCAGCCTAGTCGCCCCTAACTGCCCTCCCCTGCAGTCCTGGTCACCCCCAACTTCCCTCTCCTGCTGGCCCGGTCACCCCTAACTTCCCTCTCTTGCCAGCCCGGTCGCCCCTAATGCCCTCCCCTGCCAGGCCACTTGCCCCTAACTGCCCTCCCCTGCTGGCCTGGTTGCCCCTAACTGCCCTCCCCTGCAGGCCTGGTTCCCCCCAATTGCCCTCCCTTGCAGGCCTGTTCGGCCCAACTGCCCTCCTCTGCAGACCTGGGTCCCCCCGAACTGTCCTCCCCTGCAGGCCTGATTGCCCCCAACTGCCCTCCCTTTTAGGCCTGGTCCCTCCCAATTGCCCTCCCCTGCTGGCCTGATCACCCACAACTGCCCTCCCCTGCTAGCCATCTTGTGTCCACATGGGGGCGGCCATCTTGTGTGTTGAAGTGATGGTCAATTTGCATATTACTCTTTCATTAGATGGGATAATTAATTATTAAAGCCTGCCTATAGCCATCTTACTTAATAATAGACAAACATGTAAACTGACCATCCCTCCACTACGCTCACCAGCCAATCAGGAGAGTATGCAAATTAACCCAACAAAGATGGCGGTTAATTTGCATACATAGGCATGAAGCAGCGGAGCAAAGACTGAAGGCTCTGGCCAGAGCAGTGAAGACTAAAGGCTCCGGACCTGAGCAGCGAAGGCCTGGGTCCCGGGTGCTGGAGGAAAACCGGTGCCGGCAGCCAAGGAAAGGGAAGGCCTATTGCACAAATCTCTTCATGCAGCGGGCTTCTAGCATACCTAATAAATGGCAAGATCTGGATTTGAACCCATTTTTTTTTTCTCTCCAAATTCTCAATTCCTCCTAACTAGTACTCCACACAGCTTTCATTGCGATGCTTCTCGAATGGAAGTAAGGTCATGTTACTCCCATACGTAAATTCCTTCCATGGTTTCCCATTCCTTTAGGATCAAATTAAAGGTCCTCACATGGCTTTATACCAAGTGCCCAGGGTGTCGGGGCTTGCCTCTCTTGCTTTGACTCATACTTCCTTCTCCCTTCCCCTCCAATTTCACTAGCTTTGTTTTTGCCCCTTCCCACCAAGGACTTTTGCATATGCTCTCCAGAGCTTATAATACTCTTTCCCCTTCACCTAACTCCTGCTTTTTCCTTAGGTTTCATCTTGAATGTCACTTCTTTAAAGAAACTCTTAAATTAGTTTCTATATTATGTCTTTAGTAGAAGTGAAGGTTACTTAACTTCCCTTTCATAGCAGTCATTTCTTATCCTTGTAATTACTTGACTTTTATTAGTCTTCCTTATTAGACTCTAAGACCCCTAAGGCAAGGATTGTTTCTGTCTCCATCAGCTGTCTGTCTAATAATCCTAAGACCTTGCCTAATACCTGACACATAGTAGGCAATGAATAAATATTCGTTGATTTGGACTGAGTTCCAATAGGCATGGGCATGATTCCTAGAACAGCAAAATGAATGATGTGCCTTTTTTTTTCTTTTTTTTTTTTTTTTGCCTCTTCCTGACTCTTTGCTCCAAATAGCACAGAGCATAAAGAGATATTTATTTTCAGCAACTCTCTTCTCTGCATTGATTGAGGTTTTTAGACCTCTGTATGGTTACGCATTCTCACTGCCCAGCTTTTCAGAGATGAAATAATTTTTTCTTTTGACTTTCATTTCATCATGATCCATTTTCCTCTGGGAGTGTGGGGTAGTGCTTTGACCTTGAGGGGGAATTGGGCAAAGGAGCAGTGTGCTGGCTTTTGTTCTATAAATGGTCTGCTTTGCTATAGCTGCAACTAACCTAGAAGAGGAGAGGAAGGGGCCTTACATGCAGGTCCCTTAACTTACATGCAGGTCCTCCCTTGCTGAGCAGTTGCCTGGAGAGATGGAAATATGACTCATCTGGGAGCAGCTTCCAAGTCTAAAGCTGATCCTAGCCCCTGTGCTCTTTGGAGAGGAACAGCATCACCCAGTACCACTCTCTTAAAGGCTACTCTTTCTTTTTTGTTTAAGTCCACTTACATTGTTTAAAATGGAGGTATATCTTATATGTAGTAGAGTCCACAGATTCTAAGTTCCCTAGCACCCCAGCCGGCTCCCTTCTGCCCTGTCTTAGGCAGTATTCCCAAAAGGTAACATTATTTTATCTTGATAAGTTGACTCTTGAAATTGTTATTTCATTTCTTCCCTTCTGTTTTTACTACGTGATTATTCAAGCAATGTTTATTATAGAAAATCTGAAAAGTATAGAAACGAATGGAAAATTATACTCTTACTACTCAAAGGCCTATTCTACTTTAATGACCAGAGTTCCCAGTAGTTCCTTATCAAACTATGTCTGGCTTTTCTGTTGGTTCTCTTTGAGAGCCTCTCATGTCTCCTTGCCTTTAGATAACTGCTGCACTTTTGGGGGCAAACAACTCTGTTCATTCTTTACATCTTGATACTGCTTCATCTATGAAGCCTTCCCTGATCCCCACTTCTCTTCCTCTTGTCTCTATAATATTTGGTACATCCCTGTTCTTGTCTCTGTCTTACTGTGGTGAAGATGTTCATCTACTTACCTGTCTGTACAAAACACTCCTAGTGAACTCCTTTTAAGCACAAGCTACATAATGCCCACCAGAGTGCCTAGGACAGAGGAGGCTCTCGGTAAGTGTTTATTAAATGAATGGATGAATAAGTAAACAAATCAATGAAATCTTAGTAAAATAAGTGTTGAAGGATAAAATGTATGCTCAGTAGCAGGAATGGACAACTCCCTTTAGTCTTATCTGCAGAATGTCAAAAAGGAAAAATAGCATGTTTTACATTCCTGAAAGCTTTTACATGGTTATTTTACTTGATCTTCCATAACAACCCTATGAATGTGTCATTTTATTTCATATATGGGTACTATCAAATTTGAATTGGAAGAGGAGATCAGAAACGTGGGAGGGGATGTTATTTAGGGAGACTGCCGGGAAGAATTTGCAATACCTAGCATTTACTCACTGTTTATAGAGCAAGGGAACTGGCATTTGTAGGCACAGTAAATCAGGCAAATAATAACTAGTTTAATCATTTAACCATTGCAACAACCCTATAACTAGTTATTATTATCCTCATCTTAGAGCTGAAGAATCTGAGACTCAGAAAGCTGAATTAATTTGTCCAAGGTCAAATAGGTAATAAGTAGGAGAGCCAACATTTAAATCTAGGACTGACTGCCATGTCTCTAATCAATTTTCCATTACACCAAACTTCCTTTTGTAGCAGTCCATCTGTAGAGGACCATGCCCCCCTGCTTTTAATTAATGAAGCTTTCTGTGGCATGAAAATTCAGAAATTCTACTGTTATTATTCCATTTATCTTTAGTTTGATGAACCATATTTCTGTTTAGCCATCAGTCCTATCAGACCTAATCCTCACAAAATCTATTGCTATAGGCCTACTAGATTGTAATCCTCTTCTCAGAGGGGGGAGTGACTCGCCTTAGTAAATATTGCTAATAAGTGGCAGGGCCAACATTTGACCCCGAGTCCAGTACTCTTTCCACTGTAGCATGTAGATCTGCTGAAGGTGATTATAGCAAGCACAGACTCTACAGTGGTTCTCAACTAGGGGACATTTAACAATGTCTGGAGATAATTTTGATTGTTACCACTTGGGGGGTACTACTGGCATCTAGTAGGGAGAGCTTAGGGATATGTAGGCCAGCCCCCCACAACAATGAATTATCTGGTCAAAGATGTCAATAGTGCTAAGGTTGAGAAATCCTGCTCTAAAACAAGTGGGTTTCAGGCCTCATTTTTCCAGAAGAGGGGAAATACCCAAAGTTATCCTCCAAAGCATACCTAGTGATTCTTTTAGAATTGGCTATTCTCTAATAGCAGCAATTACTTATTAAGCACCAGGTATTATTCAGTGTTATATTAGGCAAGATTGGAGATGCAGAAAAGTATTCGACATCATCTGTTGCTTCAGGAAGTTTAGAGACTTCTGGAGGAGGCTTAAGAGGATCTGATTACTTTGCCCCGGCTGCAGATAACAGCCCTGGATTCCAGGAGCTCTGCATGCGCTAGTGGCTGTACTCAGGGACTACCCTGACTGAGTGGTGCTGCTGGCTTAAGGGAACCCTCGCCATAGCTGACTCTTTCTTCCCCCAGTTATGCGATGCCCACCAAAACCATGGAGGTGTTGCAGCTACCGGAGCAGGGCAGTAAAATGTTTGTGGACGCAATTCTTACCACCCATGAGCGAGTAGTTCAGGTAAGTATTCTGGGAGAAACTTGAAATGTATTTGCCTCTCCTGGTTCTTCTCTGTACATTTTTCCTCCTTCTACCAAGCCCGTCTCTTCCTCTAGCCTGCCCCTTGAATGATGATGTTCTGCAGGTTTCAGTTCTTGATCCCTCCATCTCTCCTTATGTAATCCCTTTCCTCTATGCAATCTCATTCATTCGCCTGACCTTAGTAACCGTCATTATATATCGACAATGCCTAGATCTCCAGTCTTGATCTCTAGGTTAAGCTTCAAATCTGATATCCATTTGTCTACTGGACTTCTCCATGGGGATGTTCCACAGGTGCCCTGCACTCAATGCTAATAAACTAATTGTAGAGGAACTGTTCCTCTGTCTCTAGAATCTTCTTCACCATTGAGCCTAATGCTTGATCCTTCTTTGCTCTCTAGTATCCATTCATTCACCAAATTCTAAAGCTTCTACCCCCAAAAATCTTTTAGATTCATCAACTTTGCTTTACTTTCACATGTCATTTTCCTGCTTAAAACCCCTCAGTTGCTTCCCTTTAGCTCTAGCAGTGGTTCTCTGTCATTTTATTGCAGAGACAGATGGGTGACAACCACACTATCATGAAAGTGCCCAGAGCTATTATTAAAAATTCACAGTTAACATTACCCCCATTTTTTTACATCTTTATTGACTTTTATTCCCATGCAATACAATTTACTCACTTAAAATGTACAATTAAGTGGGTTTTAATATATTCAGAATTATGCAACCATCACCACAGTCAATATTAGAACATTTTCATCAACCCCAAAAGAAACTCTGAACCCATTAATAGTCATTCCTCTTCCCCATTCCCCTGACTCCTAGCAACCACTAATCTACTTTCTGCCTTTATGGTTTTACCTCTTCTGGATATTTCATTTAAATAGAGTTATATCCAATTTCTTTCACTTACTGTTTTCAAGGTTCATCCATGTTGTAGCATGTATTATTACTTCCTTCCTTTTTACCAGTATTGCCAAATAATATTCCAATGGATATCACTTCTTTTTTATCCACTCAAGAAACATGTCAGCAAGGTAATGAATGTTAAGGCAGTAACACCTTAAATCTATGTTAATTTTTAAAATAATTAAAGTACTTAAAATCTTTGTTTCTTTAAATATTATAAGAAATAAATTATTTGAGATATATCTTATGACAGATCTGACTTGCCACTGAAGGCTGTAGGATCAAATTTGAACTCTTTAGGTCAGCATCTAACTGCCTTCATTATTCTCTTGCTTTTCTTTATACTCTATTCCAGCTACACATGGAACTAATTTTAATTCCCTAGTAATGTGCTGTGCCCCCACATTTTACTGAATATTACTTCCTCTGCCTTGAAAACTCCCACTACTGTTGAATTCTCTAGTTTACTCCTGTTTTTCTTCGAGACTCCATCCAGAAGCTTTCTTTGACCTCCCCTGATTAATTTAGGTCGGTACTTCTCTAGTGGGTTTCTGAAGCCCCCTTCTACCACATTTCTGATTCACCTCTGAATTCTTAGCACAGGGTCTGACACCAGTCAGGTCCTGGTCTGTATGGGTTAACTTGAATTGACTCAAAGTCATCCTGGATTTGTTCATTTCTTTGGTCCAGCTATGCCATCCATTGCCTACAGGAGCAGATATTGGACATGACCTTCTCAGCAAGCAGACACCCTGGCAGAGAAATCCTGTAGAGATGGGCTCTGAAACCAGCTCTGGCTGATAATCCTTCACCCAAGGCGGCCGCTTAGCTCTGCTGGAACTGACAGTTGAGCCCATGCCATGTCTCCCACTCGCCTAGCTTTCGGCACCTCTTTTTCTCTTTTTGTTAATCCTCACCCGAGGATGTTTTCTCCATTGATATTTTTTAGAGAGAATGGAAGGGAGGGGGAGAAACAGAGAGAGAGAGGTACATCAACTGGTTGCCTCCCACATGCACCCTGACTATTGCCAGGGATCGAACCTGCCACCACAGTATGTGCCCTTGACTGGAATCAAACCCGAGACCCTTCAGTCCACAGGTCGACACTCTAACCACCGTTTAGGACTCAGCCTCTCTCTTAGAGCATCTTTTCTTTTGCAGATAAGTGGTTTGAGTGCTACATTTGCAGAGATTTTCTTGGAAATAATCCGAAGCAATCTTCCTGAAGGAGTCAAATTGTCAGTGAAGGAGGTAGGTGCTAGTTTGAGAAGAGTTCCCTGGTGGCCCACCTGTGCTCAAAATATCTAGACTACGTGGTTTTGGAAACAATAAAGAAATGTGGATAATTTAGCCCAGATAATAATCAGGAAAAGTGTGCAGGCTGGTACTACTGTGATCATTATTCTGGCTCTTCAGGGATGATGCCTTATGGACCACAAGCTGAAATCCATCACAGCATCCTGATGTTAGGCGTGAACCCATCACACCTCAAAATTCTCCCCCTTAGGCAGTTGTATAGCAGAAAGAGCATCATTTAAGGTCACATACAGTATAAGTAATCAGAACACAAATGGGGAAATGTATTTTATAGAAAAAGTTCGTGGATATTTGAAACTTAACTATACTGACTGAATATATTCAGTGAAGAATACCAGTCAGAATGAAGTTTGCCATGGAGAACTTGGAATACCTTAGGAACTTTAGCCTCAATACTGAATATTTGGGTCTTGTTGCCAAGACGATCCGTATTATGACACAAATACATCGGGTCGTCTTAGACTGATGCCATTTGCTTCATGCAGCTCCCTTGTTCTGAGTCCATGCTTGTTAAACCTTTGCTTATTACTATAGATCTGTATATAGGGAGAAAATGTGCTGGTCATGCTGATTTGAAATAATCCAGTCCTGCATCTGTTATTTCCTATTGTTAATGGGGAATTTTGGCATTCTCTCTTTTTTTAAGTGCTTTTATTGTGATACGTATAGAGTTTTGACATTAGTTCTTTATAAATCTGTCTTCTGTCACCAAACCATATGTTCATTTAAGGCAGGGAGGAAATCCAATTCAGCTTAGAATCCATGGTACCTAATACAAGTCTGGTACATAATAGATCCTCAATAAAGCTAGTTGAATTGTGATGCATTCTCTACAGAGGTGGTAGGTGGATCCTTTTTTGATGCTGTGCGTATTTGAGTAATTGAAAGTTCTGCAGTAATTCCCACTTATTTTTCTTCTCCCCAGCACACTGAAGAAGACTTCAAGGGAAGGTTCAAAGCTCGGCCAGAACTGGAAGAACTGATAGCCAAGTTGAACTAGCTCATTGCAGGCTCTTTCTTGCCAGCACTGGTGATATTGAGTGCCCAGAGGAAGAGCGTTCTGAGTGGTCAAAGTTAAGCAGGTGACCCTGACCCTTAGGTGTAAGTATCCAACCCCACAGCCAGGAATGCGTCCTGTCCTCTGTGGAGGAGTGCTTGCCAATTGTCACCACTTTCCTTGAGCCAACCCTAGGTATCTTCCATCTAATAAAAATTTGCTGCTGATGGGTGTGTTTTGTTTAAAGTAATTTATTGAGGTGAAATTCACATACCACAAAGCTAACCATTTTAAAGTGAATAATTACATTCACAATGTTGTGCAAGCACCACCTCTATCTAGTTCCCAAACCTCATTGCCTGTTTTTGTAATAAAGGTTTATTGAAACAGAGCCATGCTCATTCATTTATATATCATTTATGGCTGCTTTCACACTTCAATGGCAGAGCTGAGTAGTTGTAACAAACTATAAAGCTAAAACATTTATGTGGCCCTTTATAAAAACAATCAAACCTTGATCTAAGTCATTGGTACTAAAACTTAAGTATGCATGAGGATGACCTGAAGGGCTTTTTAAAACACAAATTGCTAGACTCTACCTCCAGATTTTCTGATTTAGTAATTTGAGTGAGGGCCTAGAATTTGCATTTCTTACAAGGTGATGCTGATGCTACGGGACCCCAGTGTTTTTCTATTCTGAGTATCAATGCATTCATTCTTCTGTAGATAACAGCTACAGAAGATAAATAATCATTTATTCAGTTAGACTCTGTGCTAGGTACTATATTAGCTCTAAAACTTATACCAGTTTTTTAGGGTGTATATGAGTGTGTATGTGGATGGGTATCTGTGTGTGTGAGTGTGAGTATACAGTGGGGCCTTGACTTAGGAGTGTCTCGACTAACGAGTTTTTTGAGATACCAGCTGTCTCTCGGCAGATTTTTTGCATTGAGTTAAGAGAGTAATTTGAGTTAACGAGCTCCCTAACGAGCTCGGTCTCGTAACAAATTAAACTCGTAAGTCAAGGCCCCACTGTATCTCACATTTGTTGAGCTTTCGTAAGTGCTATGTACTATATACAGATTATCCTTGAGGTTGATGGTGGTATCTCAGTTTTATAGATGGAAAAACTGAGGTTTAGAGAGATGAAGTGACTTCCTAGGGTCACACAGTTAATAGTGGCAGACCCCTCTCTCCTGTATCCCACTGCTTCTCTGAGATAGTCCTATAAGTCTGTGGGAACTCAGAGCATTCTTAGCATTTAAAAAAATTCATTGAATATATCGGGTTGACATTGTTTCAAGTGTACGATTCTATAATACATCATCTGTATATTATACTGTATGTTCACCACCCAAAAAGTCTCCCTCCATCATCATTTATCCTCTTTACCCTCTTTACCTGTTCCCACCCCCCCTTTCCCTCTGGTAATCACCATACTGTTGTGTCTATGAGTTTTTTTGCATGTTTTTTCTTCTTCTTAATCCCTTCAACTATTTCACCCAGACCCCCAACTCCCTTCCCCTCTGACAGCTGTTAGTGTATCTATGAGTTTGTTTCTATTTTGTTTATTTTATTCATTAGATTCCACATTTAAGTGAAATCATGATATCTATCTTTCTCTGACTGGCTTATTTCACTTAGCATAATACTCTACAGGTCCATCATGCTGTTGCAAAAGGTTAGGTTTCCTTTCTTTTTATGGCCAAGTAGTATTTCACTGTGTAAATGTACCACCGCTTTTTAAAAAATATATGTTTTTATTGATTTTAGAGAGGGAGAGATAGAAACATCAGTGATGAGAGAGAATCATTGATTGGCTGCCTCCTACACGCCCCACACTGAGGATTGAGCCCACAACCTGGGGCATATGCCCTGACTGGGAAATGAACCATGAACTCCTGGTTCATAGGTCGATGCTCAATCACTGAGCCATGCTGGCCAGGCTAAGTTGATAATTTTGTATGGCCCAAGAATGATGTCTTAAATACCTAAATGGCCCTTGGCAGAATAAAAGTTCCCTATCCCTGCTCTAGACTGAGGCCAGAGGGAAATGGACTTTCCCAAGATCAAAGGGCAATGAAATCAAATGGGGTGTATGTCTCTTGCCTCTAGGATGAAGTCTCCCTCCCTGAGGCAACCTAATATAAAGAGGTAGACAAACCTGGGCTATTCCAAAGTTTCTAATTTATTAGTTTTGAGGCCTCAGTTGAGTTATTTTCATCTCATTAAACCAGTTTTCTAATCTGTAGATGGAGATAATTCCCTTTTAGGAGTTTGAGATAATGTATATAATTCCCTTTTAGGAGTTTGAGATCAGTAAATGTTAGATTACCTTCCCTTCTAAACTTCTTCAGCATGCTTTTTTGAAAGATTTTTTTCCCCATTAAGATATAACTTATATATAGTGAAACACAGATTTTAAATGTATATTTGATCAGTCTTAAAATTGCAGCCACCCATGAAAACTATACTTCTATCAAGATAAAGAATATTGTGGCTGGTGTGTTCCTTTAAACCTTTTTTTTTTCCCCCAGAAGCAACCATTAATCTCATTTCTATTGCCATAGATTGGTTTGGTCTAACTAGTACTATTTAAATATCACCCAGTATGTAGCCTTTTGTGTCTTTCTACATTAATTTACCCTAATGTTTTATCTGTGTTGTTGCATGTATCAATAGTTCACTCCTTCAGCATACTTCTGTTTTGAATACTTCAGTCAGGATTAAACTATGCCTAGTATTAGGCAGGAAGGAAGAGAAAGGTCAATGGATTAGGAAATCAGAATAGCTGGGTTTTAGTTTTGGCTCTATCAATACATAACCTTTGGGATAATCTGTTTTGGTCTTCATTTTACAGATGAGTTAACTGACTTTTCCAAGGTCACCCAGTTAACCAGTGACAGCCAGGGACAGCCCTAGGTCAGTGATGACGAACCTTTTGAGCTCGGCGTGTCAGCATTTTGAAAAACTCTAACTTAACTCTGGTGCCGTGTCACATATAGAAATTTTTTGATATTTGCAACCATAGTAAAACAAAGATTTATATTTTTGATATTTATTTTATATATTTAAATGCCATTTAACAAAGAAAAATCAACCAAAAAAATGAGTTCACGCGTGTCATAGGTTCGCCATCACTGACCTAGGTCATTCAATTCCTGGTTCAGTACACATTGAGATGGTTAGAAATGGATTTTTTTGTAGATCGGTAATTTTTAAGAAGGATGGGGTCAAATGGGGAGTTTTACTAGTTATGGCCAGTAGGTTCCTCAGCTTTGTTAGTCCCTTTCCTCTGGCTGAGGATGCCTTATTTCCCCCAACAGAGCTGGAAATTGCCCACTGTGGATTCTGAAAGGGAGTTTTAGTTGCAGAGAAAGAAATGAAATCTGGATATTTTGGCCATTCAGACACCACAGCAATGCTGAGATCCCTGGTTCCCACTGTTTGTAGAATGTAAAGTACTTAAAGGAAGGAAAGTGCAGGTCTAAAACTAGACCTGCTGCAAAGGCACTGCAGATGGGGGTGGCCAATGTGTCTCATGCTTTTTTTACATGTAGTACTTTGATCTCTTTGTGCCGTTTTTGTCTCCAAATGTCTGATCTCCGTGGAAAACCTAAAATGATTCATTTTTTAGTTCTTATAACCCCCATGGAATAACTTTCATTCTCAGAAATTTCAGGTTTAGGGAATCAGCTCACCATTTAGACAAAATAATCAGGCTCTGAAGAAAGAAAAGTTTGGCAACTATACCTGAGGGAGTGAAAGTGCGAGGAATACCTTATTACTCGTCTAGTAAAACACAGTACAGGGCACCTTTCCACTGAACACAGGCCAAGTCCCCAGCCAAGGACCTTGCAGGGAAGAGCCAAATCATGAGTCTGTCCTAGGCCTACCCCAGGGGGACAGCCAGCTAAGAGGTCTCTATTCATCCCAAGACACCAAGCCTCTCTGCAGGGGTAGGTGTGGATTGTACAGGGACATGCATGGACCACCTTAAACTCTAGCTCCATAGCTGTGGGCTGTAGAACTGAGACCAAAAAAAGACCCCACAAAAACACCATGCCAATCTATAGCACTGGGCATCTGCACTGGTTAATCTCCTTTTGTAAAGCACTAAAAAAAAAGTACAGTACTGTTTACATAGTAAATGTGGTTACTTACTGTGTTAAGCATCACACTAGGCACCAGATGCTTGTGAAAGAGCAGAGCAGAAAACAGCATAGGCTCTAGAACAAGACACACTTGGAGACTGATCCTCAATCTGACCTGTATTTCCTCCTCTGTAAAGGTGAGTTAATGGAGTGTTAAGAGGGATTAAATGAGATACTGTAACTCAGGATAGTGACTAGCACACAAGAAAAATGACAATAATAGCTAACATTTAGTGGTTACTTACTAGGTACCAGACACTCTTTCTCTCTCTTTCCCTTCCTCCCTCCCTTCCGCTTTCTTTCTTTACTTTCTTTCTTTCTTTCTTTCTTTCATATATTTTTAATGTATTTTATTGATTTTTTACAGAGAGGAAGGGAGAGGGATAGAGAGTTAGAAACATCGATGGGAGAGAAACATCGATGGGAGAGAAACATTGATGAGCTGCCTCCTGCGCACCTCCCACTGGGGATATGCCCGCAACCAAGGCACATGCCCTTGACTGGAATCGAACCTGGGACCCTTCAGTCCGCAGGCCAACACTCTATCCACTGAGCCAAACCGGCCAGGGCTCTTTCTTTTATTAAATTTTATTTTCTTGTTTAAAGTATTACAAATAGTAGTACATATGTCTCCTTTTTTCCCCATTGACCTTCCCCTGGCCTCCCCTACCCCCGCACATGCCCTTACCCCCCCCCCCCCCGGCCCCCCTCAGCAGACACTGTTTCTTAGCTCTTAAGTCCTTACTTAATTAATATCAATAGGTTTTGCGACTTTAAGCAAAACGATGTATAATGAAACGAAGTTTACTATATAATAGGTTAATTGATGTAGACAGTTAAATTCCTACCATTTCTCATCATTATAACAAAATGACATTGAAAGAAATGACTTTATTCAAAGACCTACTGTACCAATATTAACTCATTCTTTCTACAACCCTATGAGGAAGGACTACATTTATTAGTTGTGAGGCCTATGCGAAAGGCATTATAACTATATTTTTCTAGAAGAAAAAACAGAGCCTGAGATGTTAGGTAATTTGCCCCAAATTGCCCAGCTAGTAAGTGGCATAGTGGGATTTGAAAGCATATCACAGGGAATGAGAGCACAGACTCTGGAACCAGACAGCCTGGGTTAAATGCTCCATAAATATTAGTTTATCTATATAAAAGCCTACGACTATCGCAACCGAACTGACTGAACAGGCTGCATGAGGTGACCAGGCTGGAGGAGGGGTTAGTGAGGGGCGACCAAACGACCGAGCAGCAGGCTGTGTGGGGAAACCCAGCTGGTAGGTGGGTTAGTGACGGGCAACCAGGCAGGGGAGCGGTTAGTAGCCAGCGGTCCAGGATTGTGAGAGGGATGTCCCAGGGATTGGGCCTAAACTGGCAGTCGGACATCCCCCAAGGGGTCCCAGATTGGAGAGGGTGCAGGCTAGGTTGAGGGGACCCTCCCCCCCCTCCTTGCACGAGTTTTGTGCACTGGGCCTCTAGTAGTTCAATAAATGCTAACAATTTTTATTATTACTTATCTCATTTAATTCTTTTAGTATGCCTATTAAATAGGATTTATCTTCATTTACTTGAGGAAAAAGGTTTAAGCACCCTTTGCCTAAATATATTGTTACCCATCTAGCATTAGCTCTGTTATAGCTGTAACCCTCCAAAACTTGCTACCTCCACATAGCTGGTTTGGGGTCCTTTCACCCATTCTCTCTGCTAGAAGCATTATAAATACTTCGATTTTTGCCAAGAGGATCTATAATACAACTTTTTCAAATCTGCATTTGACTTACTATCAGTGATGCAGAATATATTTACATTTTCTTATTGTGTGGGTATATTTATTGGTTTTTAATTTTTAAATTTTTTTATTGATTTTAGAGAGGAAGAGGGAGATAGAAATATTGATGAAAGAAAAACATCAATTGACTGCCTTCTGCATGCCCTCACAACCCAGGCATGTGCCCTGGCCTGAATTGAACTGGCAATCTTCTAGTTCATGGGTCAGTGCTCAATCACTGAGCAACACTAGCTGGGCTGTGGAGGTATATTTAACTTTGTTCACTTTTCAACTGGGCTGTTTGCTTTTTCATTATATTTCTTTCTTGATTTCAGAGAGGAAGGGAGGATAGATAGAAAAGAAACATCAATGATGAGAATCATTGATCAGTTACCTCCTGCATGTCCCCTACTGGGGATCGAGCCCGCAAACAGGCATGTGCCCTTGGCCGGAATCGAACCTGGGACCCTTCAGTCCGCAGGCCGACGCTCTATCCACTGAGCCAAGCTGGCTAGGGCTGTTTGCTTTTTCTTATTGAATTCTAGATACTTTTTATTTGCTACAGATGGTAATCCTTCCTGTTATATATGTTACAAATAGGTAATACCTACTTTATCTTTAAAGGTTCAACTCAACTAAATCCCTTCTCTTTTTGAGGTTCTTGCTGAAAACTCGTCCCCAGTACCCCAGTACTCTTTCTGATGACCCACAGCACTTAACACAGATTCATCTCTCTCTCTCTCTCTCTACATATATATATATATATATATCCAGTCAGCCCTTCTGCTTGAAGGCTGAAATTGGATTTTATTGTTCTTTAAACTGGTATTCCTATCTTCTCCCCTCTTTTCTCTTTTTCTCCTCCCCAAATACCAACACACAAACGTAGTGTTAGGTGCTACTGTACTTCAGATTTGTACTTCTAATTTATATAGATATAAAATAAAATATGATATGTGATACACACACACAAGAAATATTACTGACGATGATGACAGCATACGTCTCTTTGCACAGGACAGTCAGTGCCTTACAGGGATAGGCAGAAAGTAACAGAATGGGTAATATAATTCCATGGAAACAAAATGAGAAGTGGTGGCAATTCATGAGCCAGAGAATGCAACCACCTAAGAGAAACCATATTTAGCTCCAGCAAATTGTTGTCAAGTAGGAATATAAGCTCCATGTTGACAGCTTCTCTATTTTTCAAAAGCGGAAAAATCTGTGTTTTATGTTAAATGTACTTTTTATTTATTTATTTATTTATTTATTTATTTTTATTTTATTGATTTTTTACAGAGAGGAAGGGAGAGGGACAGAGAGTCAGAAACATCGATGAGAGAGATACTTTGATCAGCTGCCTCCTGCACATCCCCCAGTGGGGATGTGCCCGCAACCCAGGTACATGCCCTTGACCGGAATCGAACCTGGGACCTTTCAGTCCGCAGGCCGACGCTCTATCCACTGAGCCAAACCGGTTTCGGCTAAATGTACTTTTTAAACGTCAAGCCAACATTGTGTGTTTGTTTGGTTGGGAGTGTGTTGAGGTCAGACTCTACATCTGTTAATTCAATAGACTTTAGCATATGAGAGTCACTCAATGTTTTTTTCCCATTTGCTTTCTCCCTTCTATTAGATCAAACGAAACATCCAGAACAACTTATTAAAGATAAAGTCACTTATATCATTGCAGGAATTATTTAGTTGTTCCAGTGTTGTTTAATTTGTCTCTCAAACTAGACATGAAGGCAAAGATCATATTATTTGTCCCATCAGTTTCCAACAGTGCCTGGCATGTGAGGTCTGAGGAAAACTGGCTATTGTTGAACCAATGACTAAATAGGTGAAGACATATTAGGTAACCAATTTACCTTTAGATTGTGAATTTACTTCTAACATTCAAAGTCCATGTAATTAGCTCAGTACTTGGCACATTGACCCAAGATGTGGGGTAGAACATGCCTAAACCTCACTCTTTGTTTTACATCACAAATATTGGTCAATATTTAATATTCGTGGAACAAGATGAGTGAGGATGTGTGGGTCTCACCATAAAAATAAGACAGCTATGGGGGGAGGAAGGAGGGAAGATATTAACCAAAGAATTTATATGCATAATTTATGGACAATGGTGCGGTGAAGGTTGGCGGGGGGGTGGGGGGAGAAGTAGGGTAGAAGGGATCAATGGGGGATAAAAGGAAGACATGTGTAATACTTTCAACAATAAAGATTTTTAAACAAATAAAATATGACAGCTCTTTCTTTATGACAGTCATGTCCAAGCCCATGGCTGCCTGGCTCTCAACCCCAATCCCAAAGACTATCCCGGAGTTTTATACCTTTTGGCCCACACTTCCACTGTTTAGGATTTGTCTGGGTGCTAGTTTCTGCAGGCCATGCTCTGGGGATAGATGGTTTGGGGGCTCAGCTGTGGGTACTGTCTTGCTCCTTCCTCCTCTGCAGCTCCTCTCGCCGTCTTGCCTGCTGTTCACTCATGCAGTCCTTGAAGGCCTGCACCTGTGGCTGGCACTGTCGCCAGTCCTGGTGCTGGGCCATGCACTCCTGCACTGCATAGTGGGAAGCAGCACAGCCAGAGCGGGAGATCAGCAGGTCCAGGGGGTCCTCTTCCTCACCCTCTTTCTTCACCTGACGGGCCCAAGTATGTCCTTGAGTTGACATCTTTGGGAATCTCTAGACATCAATGGAGGCAAGGTTAGAGGAGGAACGGGATTATATATGGGATTCCTGTTATAAATAACACTGACCACTGCACTGTTATAGCCTATTTATGCATATGTCTCTCTCTGGAGACTACGCTACTTGAGGACAGATAATGGGCCTGATCCAACTTGGTGCCCTCAGCAGTAGGCCTGGCAGAGAGCAGGCCTACAAAATGGTTTGAACTAAATGGAATGAGATAAAGTATGTGAGAATGCTTAGAACAACAATAAGCTGGAATGGAGTCTGCTAATGGAATTTGAATTAGGTAAAATGTCACCTTTCTGGAGACGCTATCTCTGATTCACCCCAAAAGTATCTCTTCTTTTCTTACATTGGCCTTATCCTATGGCTGGAGAAGAACAAAGTTTAATACCCAAGAATGTGTAGGGTTTGACAAACGGGAGGAATGGAGAGTTGTGTGGCTGTAACATGCAGCATGCAGTGGCCAGGGCAAGAGAGGAGTCTGTAACCTGAGAGTACTTAGTAATGTGAGGTGTATTCGCCCAAACTTCTTCCCAAGATCATCTGCTGCAGAACACCGAGTAGGAGGTAGCATACAGAGAGAACTTAGAAAGACTTGGCGAGAAATTATCTCAGCCTTTGTACACATTTCACCATGACAGGCTATAAAGAAACTAGAACTGCTTAATGCCTTCCCTGTGTCTCTCTGGCTTATTCGACAAATGATCACTGAGCACCTAGCATGTTCCAGGCTCTATTCTAGAGCTGAGGACAGAGGAGTGACCAGAGACACAGTCCCTGCCTTCACGGCATTTACAGTCCAGACGAGTCAACAGGCAGTTTACTGTACACTGTGTACAGACAGCTCTCTGCGGGCCACAGGGGAGTGACACCTAATCCAGACACAGAGAGAGGAAGTGATCTGTAAACTGACACTTGGAGAATGAACAGGAATTAACCAGAGATGGAGGGGAAGAAGACTCCTGCCCATGCAGAGCGGGAGCGGGGTGGGGTTGAAAGAGAATCTGACACACGGGAAGAAGGGAAAGTTCTGTGTGACGGGAGAACAGAGTATGAGGAGAAAACAAAGCAAATGAAACCGGCAGGGTGAGAAAGCATCTGATCACAGCCAGGCCTGTTAGCCAAGTTAGGGCGCTTAGAGGGCAATGGGGAAGGGACCAGAGGATTTAAGCAACTCCACAGCCCTACGTAAAACTCACTCGCTTCGGGGCCGGATAACCTGAGGAAGGGGAAAATGGGCTTTGAGCCCTGAGCAGTTTGGCTCAGTGGATAGAGGGTCGGCCTGCGGACTGAAGGGTCCCGGAGCATGTACCTTGGTTGCTGGGCACATCCCCACTAGGGGGTGTGCAGGAAGCAGCTGATCAATGTTTCTCTCTGTCCCTCTCCCTTCCTCTCTGTAAAAAAATCAATAAAATATATTTAAAAAAGAAAAAAGAAAAAAATGGGCTTTGAAACAGACTTGGGTTGGAAACTAGCTTTTTCACTCATGTATTGGGTGACTTTGAGCAAATCACTTCGTAATTTCTCTTGAAAAACAGAGATAATATATACCCCACAGGATGGTTAAACACTAAATGAGATAACGCAGGTAAAGGAGCCTGGCCCGTCCAGAGTTCCACAATGATCGTCCCTATTACTGCGCACGTTTCCTCTTCTCACTACACACTGTGAGCTCTTTAAAGGCAAGGAGCAAACCTTAGAGCAAACACAGGGGAAAGAAAAGTGCTTAAACCCTAAGCCAAGAAATCCGGGTTCGAATGCAGGCAAGGCTTTACCCGGCAGTCTTTTTCCGTGTCCTCCGTAAGGTAACATGTCAGTCACAGAACTACTGCAGCATTAACGTAACGATGCCAAATGCTCGGGCTACCCCGGGACGCCGCAGGCGCTACCCTGCTCTTTCCCCCACCTCATCCCAGCTTCAGTCTCCCCGGGAGTAAAAAGAGGAAGACCCCTCCCTGCTCAGGGATCAGGGCGGGCTAGGGGGTCGGCAGCTGGAATGGGAAGCCGGTCGGGATGGGGAAGGCAGGGGAAGAATGGCGAAGCAGAGAAAGGCGGTGTCCCTGCGCCCTCGCAGTGCCCGTCACGCTTCACCGAGCAAGGACGCGGCGGGCGGTGCTCACCGAAAAGGCAGACGAGAGGCCCTGAACGCGCGCTCCCGCACGTCCGCTTGGCACGCACCGGGGACGCTCCCGAGCCTCCTGCCGGGAGCCAGCCTCCGCGAGGAGCGCGCGCGCGCGCGTGGAAACGGAGAGGACGGAGAGGAAGGTCCCGCCGCGCATTTTCATTGGTGGCCTCTCGGTGTGGATCCCGCCCCCCCCGCACTCGCCACAGCCCTTTCGGAGGAGCCACTTCCGGGAGAGAGCGGAAGAGGCGGGTTGGTGGAGGTGTGGTCTAGATGGCGGCGCCTTTGCGGATTCAGAGCGACTGGGCCCAAGCCCTCAGGTGAATGCAATCCTAGAACCGGGACAAAGGAGGCGGGTAGTGATTGTGGTCTTTTCGTGGAGACCCAGGCCCGACCCAGGATATCCAGAGGCGTTACCTCGCCAGGTGTTGAGGGAGCACTGGGTCTAGACAGAAGTCTCGAACCCACATGGTCATTGGTTTTCATTCTCAGAAGAGCTATCCCGAGGCTAAGGGAACACATAAGCGCTGTGAGATTCCAGCATCGGAACGAGGATCAATGGGTTGGACAAAGACAGGAAGCTGGGAGGCAGGAGGCCCAGGTATCTGTTGATCGTCAGCTATTGGCGAAAGTCCCAGCCCTCGCCCCCACCACACTGTCTGGGTGTGTCTGTCCTATTGGACCGTGGTATTCCGTGAACCGCGGAGCGGTGCTGTTCAGGTGCAGTTCAGACGTGTACTCCACGCTGAAGGGGTGGCTCCTGCCCTCGAGCTGACAGTTTAATGGGGAATGCACAGCAGACCGTTCATTTCTTTAACAGATATTTATTTCTCTAGCACCAGGATGAGTACTGCAGTGCCATGAATGGCAACTGTGATTCCTAATAAGGTTTTTCACATTGAAACAGAGGTGAAGATGAATAACATTCCTCATTTAAGAAACTTACACCTTACTAGGTGGGCTAAAATAAAATAACCCGTTACTTACTGCAACATAGAATGTGTGATAAATAATAAAGGAAGAACACTAGCATTTGTTGAGGGCCGCGAGGTGCCTATGAGAGAATGCAGGATCGGAAGCAGAGGAAGAAACTTGCCCAGGATTGTGCACGACCTAAAGCCTCTGCCCTTTCCCTGTACCCTAGGTGAGATACAGTGGGGCCTTGACTTACGAGTGTCCCGACTAACGAGTTTTTCGAGATAGAGCCGTCTCGACCGATTTTTTGCTTTGAGTTGCGAGCTAAAATTCAGGTTACGAGCCAGCTTCAGATACCCCACCTCTAGTTGGCACAGCGAACGACACAGTGAACGCCACAACATCAGCCCAGCATCACGTGCCTTGTTCACTTTTTGATTTGACATATGAGTAATTTGAGTTAGGAGCTCCGTCTCGGAACAAATTAAACTCCTAAGTCAAGGCCCCACTGTATTGATTTGAATGATTGGGGAGGTGCATTCTAAAACATGAAAAAAGTCTGTAAGGTGGTAGAACACAGACCTTCTATACTAGTCAGATTTCAGTTCCTGCTTCATAGGTAGGTGACCTTGGGCAGGTCACATCTCTCTGAGCTTCAGTTGTTGTTATTTTTAATCTTTAACATGGAGATAATAAAAGATATCTTGTTAAATTGTGAAGATTACTAATGCTATATGCAAAGTGCCTTGCACAGGGCCTAGCTTACAGTAAGCCCCCAATGATCGAAGTGTAATATATTCTTTATGTTTCAAAGCTATGCAGCTATTAATGAATAGTAAACTCCATTATATGCATTAGACACTTAATCCACAAATATTTCTTCAACAAGTAAACAAAGTTTGTCCTAGAATAATCTATGCCTGGATGGGGTGTTAGACTAGATCAGTGATGGCGAACCTTTTGAGCTCGGCGTGTCAGCATTTTGAAAAACCCTAACTTAACTCTGGTGCCGTGTCACATATAGAAATTTTTTGATATTTGCAACCATAGTAAAACAAAGATTTATATTTTTGATATTTATTTTATATATTTAAATGCCATTTAACAAAGAAAAATCAGCCAAAAAAATGAGTTCGTGTGTCAGCTCTGACACGCGTGTCATAGGTTCGCCATCACTGGACTAGACCATGCCTGTGTACTATGGCCAAACTGGAAATTATGTTATCTTTTTCCCCTAGCATCAGTGGCATCCTTTTCAGTGTTGAGTGAGCCTAATGGGGCTTTGTCTTTCTTCATAGGAAGGATGAAGGGGAGGCCTGGCTGAGCTGTCACCCCCCAGGTAATATCCTTAAATCTGTACGCATTCCCTTTAGAGGAGGAGAAAGCTAGCCCCGAAGAAAGCTTCCTACTTTCTCCTGGCCGAGAGTCCTTGCACAGTACTCATGGAATGGGACATAAAACAGAATTCCTCAATCCTATTTTTGCGGCATACTTCTGAACTAGCATTTCATGCCACTTCCTTACCAAAATCTTCTTCACCAGATGTTCTCTAGTCCAAAATTCTACCCTAGATTGTGAGTTCCTCTATTAACATCCTTCAGCTACCTTTTCCATGACGGTTGTAACCAAACTAGTATATTTTTTTTTTTTAATAAAATCTTTATTGTTCAGATTATTACATTTGTTCCTCTTTTTTCCCCCCATAACTCCCCTCCTCCCAGTTCCCGCCCCACCCTCCGCCCTCACTCCCCACCCACTGTCCTCATCCATAGGTGCACGATTTTTGTCCAGTCTCTTCCCGCATCTCCCACACCCCTTTCCCCCCCAAGAATGGTCAGTCCATTCCCTTTCTATGTCCCTGATTCTATTATAATCACCAGTTCATTCTGTTCATCAGATTATTTTTTCACTTGATTCTTAGATTCACTTGTTGATAGATGCATATTTGTTGTTCATAATTTGTATCTTTACCTTTTTCTTCCTCTTCCTCTTCTTAAAGGATACTTTTCAGCATTTCATATAATCCTGGTTTGGTGGTGATGAACTCCTTTAGCTTTTCCTTATCTGTGAAGCTCTTTATCTGACCTTCAATTCTGAATGATAGCTTTGCTGGATAGAGTAATCTTGGTTGTAGGTTCTTGGCATTCATCACTTTGAATATTTCTTGCCACTCCCTTCTGGCCTGCAAAGTTTCTGTTGAGAAATCCGCTGACAGTCGTATGGGTATTCCCTTGTAGGTAACTGAGTTTCTTTCTCTTGCTGTTTTTAAGATTCTCTCTTTATCTTTTGCTCTTGGCATTTTAATTATGATGTGTCTTGGTGTGGTCCTCTTTGGATTCCTTTTGTTTGGGGTTCTCCGAGCTTCTTGGACCTGTAAGTGCATTTCTTTCACCAGGTGGGGGAAGTTTTCTGTCATTATTTCTTCAAATAGGTTTTCAATATCTTGCTCTCTCTCATCTTCTGGCACCCCTATAATTCTGATATTGGTACGCTTGAAGCTGTCCCAGAGGCTCCTTACACTATCCTCACATTTTTGGCTTCTTTTTTCATTTTGCTTTTCCAGTTGGGTGTTTTTTGCTTCCTCGCATTTCAAATCATTGACTTGATTCTTGCGCTCCTCTGGTCTGCTGTCGGGAGTCTGTATAATATTCGTTATTTCAGTCCGTGTATGCTTAATTTCTAGTTGGTTCCCCAATATAACATCGAGGGTCTCATTAGTTTTCTTGTAGATCTCATTAAGTTTATCGGCGGCTTCTAAACAGTTCTTGAGAGACCTTAAAAGTGTGGTTCTGAACTCTATATCTTCCATTGACAATTTTGTCCTGTTTCTTTGTCTCCGCATTTTGTTATGCTTCCTTGGTGCACCCCCTAGTGGTCTTTGTGCGCAGTCTTATAGTTAAACCTTGATTGTTGTAGCTAATACCAGGGAGGGTTTGACCTCCAGGCCAAGTGGCTATGAGAATCAGCTGTGTCTGCAGTGAGAGAACTTCTGTCCTCTAGGGAGGTGCTAATCTGGCGTTTGCCTGAGGCTATCCGGCAAATGCCTCTGTGCAGGGCTTGGGCGGGGCGGGTCGCACAGGATCAACAGGGTGGGCTGGAGAGAGCAGTTATGGCGGCTCTCAGTCCTGTCCCCAGGGGCTCTGCCTCTCTGAGTCCCAGCACCCGCTGCAAAGCTCGGAGAGAAAGCTGCACTCGCTCTGACCGAAGCCAGACAGTCCCGCTTCTCCCGTTTGAGTCTGGTCCCTAAAGACTCGCCGGGATCTGGAGCTCAGAGTCTGAAACTCCCTCCCGATTGAAAACGCCTACCGCGCCCTCCGCCGCCAGCCCGCTCCTCGCACTCCGCACCTCAGAATTTGACTGCAGCACTGCGCCTCCTCTGAGTGTCCGTATGCATTTCTCTTTCCTCCTAGTTGTAGGACTTCCACTCAGCCAGCGTTCCTGTGGTTCTGGGTGATGTCCTTTCCGTTTTTTAGTTTCACTTTTGAAGTAGTTGTTCAAGGCAGCACACTCCGGCGTTAACCTATGCCGCCATCTTGGTTCTCCCAAACTAGTATATTAATTGATTACTCCTTTCTCCTTGTTCTTTCTTTTGTTGTTGACATGCCCCCTCCCTGACTTGGAGATTCCTTTCCCTTATCTCCTGCCTAGTCCTATCTTTCTTTCAAAGACTCACCCTCTCTAGGAAGCCCCCCACTCTGAATCCAGGATGGTTTTTACTTTCCTCTTACTTTCCTAGAATTTTAGTTTTGTACCAATAGTTATTTGCTGAATAATTTATAGCAACCTGCTACTTTCTGAACTCTAGGACTTCACAGTCTAGGAGGTCAGAAATGTAAAACAGGGTATTATGGGCTGTTATAGAAGTGTATATATACATATACATATATATCCTATATAATACAAGGCTAATATGCAAATTGTCCCCTCGGGAGTTCGACCGCTCGCTATGACGTGTGCTGACCACCAGCGGGTGGTGCAGAATAAAGGAAGGCTGCAGCTGGGGGAAGGCCCCTGGGGGAAGGAAGGCCCCAGTTGGCAGCTGGAAGACCCCGATCGGCCCTGATCACCAGCCAGGCCTAGGGACCTTACCCATGCACAAACTTCATGCACCAGGCCTCTAGTATACATCTATATATATGGTGCAGAAAGGAATTAGAAAAGAAAGTTTTTAACTTCATTCTACCATCTACATATGTTTGTGTAGGATTATATCTTGTTTAGCCCATATCACTGCAAAAGCAGTGTTCTACTTAAGTACATTTTCCAGATTAATGAAGCTTAACTCTTTACTATGTATTATATGTATATACTGTGGATAAACACATACATTTATGTTGATCTTCACCTTTCATCCTGGAAGAATGCCATTTCACAGCCAGTAAAACTTAAGTTTAGATCACATTGGTAGCTTTCTCTACAAATAGTACATTGTATCTCAAAATCTTTGTCTCTAGTTTTTAGCCCTTGAGTATATTTCTCCCAAATTAGCTTCACTTAAGCAAGTATTCTTTCCACTTCGCCTCATTTTTAACACCAGTACCTGTTTTTCTTTTATTACCCAATATCCTACTGTATAGTTGCTTGAATTGGGTCTTCAAGGAGAAAAATGTTAAATTCTTACTATTTTTTGAGGCATTCTTCTTTTGTGCTATATAGGAAAACCAACTTTGTATGGCAGCCTAACTTGTCAAGGAATGGGCCTTGATGGTATCCCAGAGATTACAGCTTCAGAAGGATTTATTGTGAATGAAATAAGCAAGGTAGGTTTTTATGTCTTCTAGATGGCACCATGTTCATATATACGGTAGTACCTATACATCTACTTTAAATATTTATACTGTTATCTGTGTATCAGTGTCATCCCCATGTCATTTGTACAACAGTCACAGTTTTTACTGCCTTTGAATATCAAAGGTTTTTTTTGTAGTTACATATACATTTAGATGTAGTCAAGCTTCCTCTTCCCTTGTATCAGTGCTTTTCTATAGATAAATAATGTGAGCTACATACATAATTTTAAATTTTCTAGTAGCCTAAAAGAAACAAGTGAAATTAATTTTAATAATATATTTTATTTAACTTTCATCTATCATGCATATTGCAAATATTTTCCAGAAGTTCAGTATCCTCAAATTTTTTTAATTTTTATTTATTTATTTATATTAGAGAGAGAGAGGGAGGGAAAGAGAGAAACATCGATTTGTTGTTCCACTTATTTATGCATGTACTGGTTGCTTCTTGTATGTGCCCTAACTGGGGATCAAACCAGCAAAACTTGGCATATTGGGATGATGCTCTCACCAACTGAGTTATCCGGCCAGGGCCAATATTCTTAATTTATATTCCATAAAGATTCCCTTTGGGTTGTGGTTGAAAAAATATATATATGTATGAATATCTTCTGTTTTATGTGTGTTTTTTGTTTTGTTTTGGCTTTGTTTAGCCCAATATATCTAAAACATTATTTCTATCTGTAATTAATGAAATTATTTTTTTTAATATATTTTTATTGATTTCAGAGAAGAAGGTAGAGGGAGAGAGAGATAGAAACGTCAATGATGGCATAGAATCATTGATCAGCTGCCTCCTGCAACTGGTTCATAGGTCATAGGTCGACAGTCAACCATTGAGCCACACCAACTAGGCATAGACTCTAATTTTTTTATTGGAAATACTTGATGACGTGTTTAGGTTTTAAAGATTTACAGTTGAAAACATAGATTCACATACTTAAAAAGTTTTCTGATAACTGAATCAACTATTAATTTTTAAATTAAACTTTAAATAAAAATTAAAAATTCAGTTCCTCATTGTAGTATTGGCCACATCTTAAGTGTTTAATAACCTTATATGGCTAGTATCTACCTTATTGTATGGCAGAGCAATATAATATGTCTTGCTAGGCTTGATGAAGACCTAGGCCTTCACAAATACTTAATAGTTTTTCTCATTGGTCTTTGAGAACCCCTGACCTGACTTTCTTTACTCATTCTGTTGGCTGCAGTCAGTATGCTCTGGTGAGATGGGTAAAAACTCTTTTTTCTTTTTATTTTATGTAATTAAACTTCTCTAGTTGTAAAACATTTCTGGTATTCTGACAAGAATAGAAAACCATTGTTTTTTTTACATAAGATGTTTAGCAAATGTTCATTCATTACCTTCTGCAGGGTGATAGGCTACATGTTATTATATATCTTATTTTTTTTATAGGCAGCTATGGAATTGTAGAAAGTGTTAAAAGATGAGTCCAACTCATAATTAACTCTGACACTTACTAGCAATATGTTTTTGGACAAGCTCATAGACAAACAACAGTAAGGTGATTACCAGAAGGGTGTAGAACAGGGTAAAGGGGCATAAATGATGATAGAAGAAGACTTGATTTCGGGTGGTGAACACGCAGTGTAATATACAAATAGTGTACTATATAGAATTATACACCTGGAACCTATATAATTTTATTAATCAGTGTCACACCAATAAATTCAAATTTTTAAAAAAGAAAAATATTATTTTGGACAAATAACTTAGTTCCCTGAGCCTCAGTTTTCTCATCTCATCTATAAAACGGAGATAAGCCCTAGCTGGTTTGGCTCAGTAGGTAGAGCGTCAGCCTGTAGACTGAAGAGTCCCGGGTTCAATTCTGTTAAGGACACATGCCCAGGTTTCAGGCTCGATCCCCAGTGTGGAGCATGCAGGAGGCAGCTGATCAATGATTATCTCTCATCATTGATGGTTCTATCTCTCCCTCGCCCTTCCTCTCTGAAATCAATAAAAATGTATTTTAAAACAACAACAAAAAAACCCAGATACTATTCTACCTCATAGGCTGATTAGTGGGGAGTGAGACTGTATATGAATGATAACTAGAATATTACAAAAATTGAGTTGTTGTTGTTTATCAGAATAACAGCATTTGGGATTAGCATTTTCAATGTCCATTTTGTAGATAAAGAGACTCATTAACCCCTAATAATCAAAGCTAGTTAGACTGCATGTCAGAATTGAAACCCAAAGTCAGTCTAACTAAAAGTATAATACCACCTTGCAAGCCTACATTTTTCCCAGGTATTTCACAGGTATCCACCCATAGCCTAGGGTGCTGACTTCCTTTCTTCCCTTCATACTCAGGCCCTGATACAATTCTTATCTTCCAACATCATTGTTAATTTCTGCTGTGTACCTGTTGGGTCAGACAGTAAGTGCTTATGGTTGAACATTCATTTGTTTCCTAACTTCCATGAGTCACTTTGCTACTTGATGTTGCTACATTTTTCTTTAAAACAGTCCTGTTAGTATGCTTAAAAACCTAACCCCAGAAGGTAAAAAGTTTGACTTTGAATTTTACCTTAGTGTGGAATACTCACACTCCCCCCTCCTATCCCCTCACCCCTAAATTCTGTATGTTTTGATATTCTGTATGTCCTGCAGCTTTTCTTTAAAATATTTTCATTAACAGCATGACTCTCTACTGCTGACAATGGAAGGTAGTTCAACATTTATCTTCCTTCATAGTATGTTTATGGGTTAAAGGTTGATTTGCAGGATTGATAAGCAGGAGAAAACCACTGATTCTTGAATTCTTTCACGTAATTAGCCCAAGGAAATGAACTCTTCTGAGAACAAACCAATACTTACAAAGGCCTGAACACTAAGCTTTCAGAGCCCCTGCATCCTTGCTTGGTGTGAGTATTTATCGAGGAGAGTTTAGCTGACGCTTTAGTTTTGGGTACAGGAGACAATTCCAAATCCAGGTCAGCACTCTGGCAGCGTGTGGGCTTTGTCACGCGGTTAGAAGCAAAAACTCATTTAATGAAAGGCCTGCAGGCAGCCAGGCATAGATATGCTGGCTAAGGAAGTACTGTTTGTAGAGATATTCTAATTGTGTTTTTAAAGGCGTAGAAGACTTTTAATAAGAGCATATTGATTTTCAATGATAACAATATTATGACTTTGAAACTGTTCTTTCTAATGAACTGTGAGGACTGTGCTTGTTGTACATAGATCAGCCTTATAAAGAAGTTCTAAAAATCTTGATTATTGAAGACATTTTCATTGTCCAGCAGAATTTTCAGAAACTTTGAAGTACTTCTGTGGAAGAGATAATAGGTTTGGGGCCATTTGGAGAGTGCAACTCCTCAGCTGTATATAGGAGCTGTGCCCTGAGACGATGGTGTTGGTATCCTGCTGCTTAGAGTAAGGAACTGTCTTACCAAATCCTTGAGGAAGGTTTTGCTAAGCCTTTTATCCCTCTACACATACTACCTTGGAATACCAACATGCTTACTTACAATGGTTACAAGGGCTGCCTTTGGCAAATCATGTCACCTGAATCTAACATCTGGTTCGAGGTATAATTTCTTACTCTGTCACTAGTGTTATCTTGCTAGAGTAGCTGAAAGATATGTGATAATGACCAGGCAAAACATGGGGAGTCATAATACTGCTATGGATGTGATGATGACCAGTCTATAAACATGTACAGCCAGTGTAAGTCCTATGTGGGAATGGGCGCTGCAAGCCTGACCAGGCCCTACACATTGGAAGAGTGTACCATGATTTACTTGACCAGTTTTCTCTGGTAACTGTAGATGGTAGTAGTCTACATTTTTTCCTAAGCGTTCTTATAGGCAGCAAGTTTACTTTTAGACTAGTCCTTTAGTCTAGACTTCAGGGCTGATGCTGTTTCCTCACATCTCTTGATCCTGTTCCTTGCCCCACTGCTAATTAAGAGTGCTGGTATTAAATTGTCTTCTAAAAAGTAATGTTCTCATGTTTGTCAGCTGTATTTTATTGTTGATTTGTCTTAACATAAAAAGATAATGGCATCTCAGTGGTACCAATTACATTGCAGCCCCTGCAGTGAAAGGACTACTACTCTATTAGGGAGTGATAGTTTTGTGGGCTGGGGAAGGAGGATTAGAGAGGACACACTTAAAAGGTGAGAATTTCCTGTTGTCCTAATGTTTTCTTTACGAGGCTTTAATTTCATTGGAGTAGCTTTACTGATGTATTTCATCTTTTCCTCTCTGTTTAGAAAAGCATTCATATTTCATGTCCAAAGGAAAATGCATCTTCGAAGTTTTTGACACCATACACTACTTTTTCCAGAATTCATGCAAAGAGTGTAAGTATTTTGATAAAATGAGGAAAAATGTAATATCATTAATTAATTTTTCTTTTTATCTTTTTGTTTACAGTGCTATAAACACTCATAATTAATGTGGTTCACTTCTTTGATTATAAGGTAACAGCTCATGAAGTATGATAATGTTAGACAAAACTGGTACTTGGGACCACATAGAATATAGGTACAAATCCACTCACTGATAATCTTAGAGAAAGGAATTTTGAAATGAAATTTTCTTATACATGTTTTAGCAGAGCTACCTACTGGGTTTTGGATAATGGTGGTTGTAACAGATGTTTGCATAATTTGCCGCTGCTCATATTTTTGTCCCTTTGATTACAGGACAGAGACATTTTCTCAAAATTCTGACTATAACTTATTGAGGAATAATTTTCAAATATCTTTGTGATAAAGCCCTTTCTACTACCATGGGCTTTTGAAAGCAGAAGTGAGAAATATGTAGATAAACTGGTTATATTAAAGCCTTCCACTTCTTATTGTGTGATAGGTAGATTTTTAAAATAGCTATTTTTTCCCCTTATTGCAAAAACAAATATATATTTAGGGATGAAAATTTAAGAACTAGAAAACAAAGTGAATCACTCATTTTTTCTATACCCTAAAAATAACCACTGTGAACTTTTGTTACTTAGCCTTTATTAAGAAAAATCATGATAATAATAGCTAACATTTATTGTTTACTATGTGCCAGCATCATGCTAAGCTTTATCATTATTTTACTTGTTCCTCTCAATCTTTTTTCTTTAAATATTTCACCAAAATAGGTTTTACAGTACCTACTATTTTATAACTTGCTTTTTATTCTTTAATAATATATTATGTACATCATCTTATGCCATTTTTCTTTCTTTTTTTAAAATATATTTTTATTGATTTCTGAGAGAAAGGGAGAAGGAGAGATAGAAATATCAATGATGAGAGAAAATCAGTGATCAGCTGCCTCCTGCACACCCCCCACTGGGATCGAGCCAACAACCCAGGCATGTACCCTTGACCAAAATCGAACCCAGGACCCTTCAGTCCATGTGCCGACACTCTATCCACTGAGCCAAATTGGCTAGGGCCTATGCCATCTTTCTATGTATTCTTTTAAGAGCTGCATAGTATTCCACTGTCTGATTTTAATATAATTTGTTTTTCCAATCTTACATTACCAGACATTCAGATATTTTGAGTTCATCCATTCCTATTTTGATGATATAGCTAACCCTTTCTTCACAAAGATAGGAAGAAATTAGTTTACTTTGTAAAAGTGGAGTTGCTGAGTCACAGGGAATGCAAATTATAAGGCTTTTGGTATGTTCTGACTGACCTCAGTTTAACTGATCTACTCATTCAACCTCTGCTCTACATGCACTCTGTAAAACATACTGACTTGTGGGCACAGCATATTCTTAGTTTATAAGCTCTTTGAGGTCTGCCTACTCTGACACTACTGGGTAAGTTGAGTTGCTTACCAAAGGTCAGTTGCACTGCCAGTTACATTGTTTTTGAAATTATGTTAATTAATTAAATATGTTAAACTGATGACATATGAGTGTGAAAAGGAAGAGAATGGTTATGTCTGAAAACTAAATTGATTGGTTTGTAAAGACTTGGTAAAGAAGCGTTTTATTTGTTTTGTTTTTAACTGCTATTATAGTATGTGTGAGCAAGGTAAATGCAAAATGTTAGGGAAAAGATTTTTTTTTAAACACTAGTTGAATTTTTGTTCATAGATTGCTTTGTAAGAGTGAACAAAGATTTACCTTACTTCAGAAAAACTGGAAACTAAATTATGCCTTGGATTATAGTTTATTAAAAGAAAGTCAAGGTGAAGCTTCCTTGTAATCAATGGACTAATGAAAAGATTAGTGAATTTTAATGTACATTTATATATTTGAGTTCAAATAAAATGTAGGTATTTATTCATCGATTTTCATTATTTTCCCTACTTTAACTGAAATTTTTTATTAACTGACCTATCACTGGGCTCTATTCATTGACTAAAAAGGCTCTTACTGTAATGCTTTTATATCAGACTTAACATACTCTCAATATTGTGTATTCAAATTTTTAAGTTTTACCTATTTGAGAGATGGTATTTCATTGTTATTTTAATTTGCATTCCTTTGATTAATCATGGATTGACTACTTTTTCATATATTTATTGGTCACTCTTCATATCATTTGCCCATTTCTTTAAGTGTGAATTTCTTTATTGGTAAACGCTTTTATATTAAGGGTATTGATCCTTTGCTATATATTTTGTAGATCATTTTTCTAGCTTATTGTTTATTGTTGTCTTTTGACATAGAGATATTTAATATTTCTAGAGAATAAAACCTATCAATTTATTCCTTTATGGTAACTGCCTTTGGAGTCTTGCTTAGGGTAGTACATGATTATATATATAAAGTTACTTTAGTTGCATAATATGATGGATGAGAACATTGACTCTAGAGACAGATTCATTGATTTGACTCCCAAGATTCTGCCACTTACTAACTGTGTAACCTTAGGCCACATACTTAACTCCATGTGCCACAAGCTGCTATAATATGGGGGTAAAAATAATATTTATCTTTAGGGTTTTTATGAGGATTGAAGCAGTTAGAATTGTGTCTGGAGCATAGTAAGCATAATATAAGTGTTTGTTAATTAAAAATGTAGCCGAAACCGGTTTGGCTCAGTGGATAGAGCGTCGGCCTGCGGACTGAAGGGTCCCGGGTTCGATTCCGGTCAAGGGCATGTACCTGGATTGCGGGCACATCCCCAGTAGGAGATGTGCAGGAAGCAGCTGATCGATGTTTCTCTCTCATCGATGTTTCTAACTCTCTATCCCTCTCCCTTCCTCTCTGTAAAAAATCAATAAAATATATTTTTTAAAAAAATGTAAATACAGTGGGGTTTTTTTAATTTTTATGTTTTATTTTTTACATTTTAAACTTTATTTTGTTATTTGGTTTGAAGTAGAGATCTAACTTAATTCTTTTTGAAACGATTAGCATGTCACAGCACTATAAAGTAATTCATCCTTTATCTCACTGGCTTGAATTGTCATCTTTATCCAGTATTTAGCATTGTCCCATTGACCTATCTGTTCTTTTGTTTTGACTAAGAAATAGATCTTTAGGTTTAGACTCTGACCTAGGTTTCTATCCTGACTCTATGTAATGTATTTGAAAGTGTTTTATAAATGATAAAATGTGATATAAATGTTAGTTGTCATAATTTCTAAAATTAAATGTTCCACAATTAAGTTAACAATTCTTTTATTCTGAGAAACCAATATGAAGAAGAAAAAGTCTTAGAAAATATTAGAGTTGACATAGCCCTTTAGTTCTTGCTAACCCTATTCATTATGGCTTAACTGTCAAATGGAAGGTTGGATAATTACTGCAAAAGTTCCTACTTTTTCCTTAATAATTTAGGTCATATGGGAATCATTGTTGCTGGGAATATGTCTCAGTCTTACAGTTCTGAAATATTTGCAACTGGGTGTTATTAAATAAAAAGATATGTATTTATGATTGTATATGAAGGAGACTTGGCATTCTGATCATGGCTTATTCATGAAGTGATTGCTCATATTGAAACCACTTAAGTAAGTCTGGGATTCTCTTATTCTGAAACACACGCGCGCGCACACACACACACACACACACACACACAGAGGATTTTACAGAGGATATGTGAAGTAGTAAATTGAAAACAATTCGCTTTGTTTTTCCTTGAATCCTTTTGGAGCATCTTGGAAGACAGTCTTTTGTGTAAGTAGGTTCCTAAGAATTAGGAGAAATAAACTAATTTTAAAATAAAATAGCAAAAGATGGAAATGATGGAAAATGATATGGGGATAAGGAAAACTCTGTAGCTGAAACAGGAGACTGTAGATGATTATAAGAATACTAGAGGCCCGAAGCACGAAATTCGTGCAAGAGTAGGCCTTCACAGTCCCAGCTGCCTCGGCCTTTGTGGCCACACACACACCCTCCCCCCCCCCCCCCTCCACTGGTCGTTCCAGAAGGTTGTTTGGAAGGTAGTTCTGCCATCTGGTCTAATTAGCATATTAGCTCTTTATTATATAGGATCTTTTTGTGTGTGTTTTTCTATTTGTTTGGTTGGTTTTTTTGTTGTTTTTTTGGCTTAACAGAAATTTATTTTCTCTCAATTCTGAGGCTAATGTTCAATATCAAGGTTTTAACAAAGTTGGTTTTTCTGAGGTCTCTCTCCTTGGCTTGTAGATAGCCATCTTCTGCTTGTGTCTTCACATGGTCTTCACTCTGTGTGTTTGTGTCCTAATTTCCTCTTTTTAAAAGGACACTAATCATATTGGATTAGCGTATAAACTAACAATCTTATTTTTACTTCATTACCTTTTTTTAAATTTTTATTGTTGAAAGTATTACATATGTCCTCTTTTTCCCCCATTGACCTCTCCCAGCCGGCCTCTTTTGTTTCAATAAATAAAAGGTGTTGGCTTTACCCTTGTAGAGAGATTGGTGATAAGTCATCCTTTCCATGAAACACATGTCTTTTGTGTTGAGATAAGTCTTGGAGGAGTGTGAAACGGGATATTTATAATATACTTCAAGGGGCCCTAACTGGTTTAGCTCAGCGGATAGAGCGTCGGCCTGCGGACTCAAGGGTCCCAGGTTCGATTCCGGTCAAGGGCATGTACCTTGGTTGCGGGCACATCCCCTGTGGGGAGTGTGTAGGAGGCAGCTAATTGATGTTTCTCTCTCATCGATGTTTCTAACTCTCTATCCCTCTCCCTTCCTCTCTGTAAAAATCAATAAAATATATTTAAAAATATATATATATATACTTCAAGGGAAGAGGAGCATTTTATTATTAGTAACACTGGTTGTTTTGTCTTTTGAACAGATAACATGCCTGGACATTTCCAGTGGAGGAGGCCTTGGTGTGTCTTCTAGTGCTGATGGGAGCATGAAAATCTGGCAGGCTTCCAATGGAGAACTCAGAGTAAAGACTTTGGATACACTTTCATGGTCTTATGCATGAAGGGTGGTCTAAGAAACTTTAGACTGGGTCAGGGAAAGAAGAGTGTCTCTATCTATAAATATAGTACCACTACACGTCAGTGGATCTTTGTTCCCTTTTTAAATTGAAAACCATCCTCAAGCGAGGTGATTTGCCAGAACAAACTGGGGCTGGAACAGTGGAGGAGCCAGGCCAGTGAATGGCTAAGTGTGTGGTCCCTGCCTTCAGTGATGGTTTCTAAGATAGAGTAACTAGGCTGTTACATTAATTAATTCCATAGCCCCCAATCTCCTCAGCTGCTGCTGCTGCTTCTTTTTCTTTTTTTTTATTGATTTCAGAGAGGAAGGGGGGGAGAGAGAGAGAGAGAGAGAGAGAGAGAGAGAGAGAGAGAGAGAGAGAGAGAGAGAGAAACATCAATGATGAAAGAGGATCATTGATTGGCTGCCTCCTGCACGTCCCCTAATGTGGGGGGATTGAGTCTGCAACCCAGGCTTGTGCCCTGAGCCGCAATCAAACCTGGGACCCTTTAGTGCCCAGGCTGATGCTCTATCCACTGAGCCAAACTGGTTAGGGCCCTCCTCAACTTCTTATATATAGAGCTAGACTTAGGGTGGCTGTGAGAGCCATGGAGTTCAAATCCACATCTGTAGCCCAAGCCGGAAAAAGAGCCTAGCTCTTAGAACACTACCTGGAAGACAAATGAGCTAAAGAGATTATTTGAACCTCCTTCGTTTTAAAACCAGCATGCGTGTATAGCATGTACATATTTCATTTAAGGGACCGAGGATATGGGAGGTAAGAGAACATCAAGGGATGGACAAGAGAACTAGCCTGGAATTTTCTTTTGTTTTTCCAGAGAGTATTGGAAGGACATGTGTTTGATGTGAATTGTTGCAGGTTTTTCCCATCAGGCCTTGTGGTTCTGAGTGGGGGAATGGATGCCCAGCTGAAGATCTGGTCAGCTGAAGATGCTAGCTGCGTGGCAACCTTCAAAGGTCACAAAGGAGGTATGAAGGGTGATTGGAGAAAGTGGAGTGCTATTTGTCACGATCTCATTCTACCTCTTTCCACCTGTTGCTGTGTCAGGTGAGGGTAGAGATTCAATTCAGTTCACCTCTGAACCCTGCTGACAGTGCCTAGCTGGGCCTGTCAGTGTCCCTGGGGAAACTGGAGTGCTGCCTTCCGCTTCCTTGGGTGGAGAGCTGTCGTTCCCTATTCAGCCCCACTGAAACCGTGGGTGAGGGGGCGGTAGCAGTTGTCCTCTTACTGTTTGAGTGGGGTGGGTATGGCCAAAAGATTTTCTGTTCTGAAGGCCACCCCTTTCCCAGTCTTTTGTGAGGGGCAACAGACTTTTTTGGGGAATTTATTTGTTTTTTGAAAACTGCATGGTTTTTTATTTTTATTTATTTATTTTATTATTATTATTTTTACTTATAGTCAGGTCTTTATTTAAAAACCTCATCTGCCAACTTAGCATTTTCCACCAACACGGGGAGCTTTTCCACCAACACGGGGAGAGAAACCTTCACAGGCTTCACCATCTTCTGCTCAGGTGCTGCCTTTGTGGGAGCCTTGTCAGCAGCCAGTGCTATCTTTTTAGATACTTGTTTAGCCTTTTTTGCTTCCTTGGCAGCCCTGATAGCTTGTTCTCCTTGAATTTTCCTAACTTCAGGTTTCTGGTTCCTCTTGGCTATTATATCAGCAGAAATGCACCAGTGATGGCCCTCTGGACTTTGACTGCACGGCGGGTTCTTTTCTTTTGAATTTCTTCCGCCTGTCCCTTTTTGTGCTTTCTTTAGTAGAGGACAGTCCAGTTTATCTGTCAAGGATTCCTCTTGGAAAGCAACGCCAACTCCCATTTTGCATTAAGAAACTGGAAACCTTTCCTGTCGGTCCTGGCATAGCATCTCCCATGTCCGGGGTAGATGTTGTACCCACTGGAGCTGCACAGCTCAACCTTCATGGCTGCCGCTGCCAGAGGGAAGGAAAGATGGTCCTGTGTCTGGTTTTTGAACCAGTTGCATGTTGCAGACTTCTGCAGAGTCCTGTCCAGCGTAGGTGGGAAGCAATAAGGAAGTCCAGGGAGCTCATTGCTCAAGTCCTGAGGTCCCTAGATGGTCTGCCTTCTTCTTTCCATCCTTCAGTCTTCCTAGGCTTGTGTGTTGTTATTCCAAGTTCTTGTAGTTGTGAGAGGAAGAACCTGGGAGGAATGGGGTTACTCCATCTTGGCTGGACCAGAAGTCACATCCTTCCTTTTAAGATGGGGAGACTAGCCCTTTCAATGAGTTCTCAATGGAACCACCAGGATCTTTTTAAAAAAGTGATTTTTCAAATGGAACTCTCTAAGATTTGTACTTAATTTTTTAAAAAAATATATTTTATTTATTTTTTACAGAGAGGAGGGGAGAGGGATAGAGTTACAAACATCAATGAGAGAGAAACATCGATCAGCTTCCTCCTGCACACCTCCTACTGGGGATGTGCCCGCAACCAAGGTACATGCCCTTGACCGGAATCGAACCTGGGACCCTTCAGTCTGCAGGCCGACACTCTATCCACTGAGCCAAACCGGTTAGGGCCAAAGCTTTTCCATGTCTGTCTCTCACAGCCAGTCTTTGAACCGTTGGGAAGCAGGGACTCTGTTCTATTTATTTGTTTTTTCTAGCACTTGACCGTGCCCAGCATGTAGTATCTATCCAGTATGTTTGTGAAGGAGTGGAGTCATTTATGCAGATCTGTCTTCTCTGCCCTTGAAGTTCCTTTACTACTTACTCTACCTCAGGATCTTTTTTTTCCCTCTTGCCAGGTATCCTAGATACAGCCATTGTTGATCGGGGGAGGAATGTGGTATCTGGTTCTCGAGATGGAACAGCACGACTTTGGGATTGTGGGCGCTCAGCCTGCCTGGGAGTCATTGCAGACTGTGGTTCTTCCATCAATGGAGTGGCTGTGGGTGCTGCTGACAACTCCATCAACCTCGGCTGCCCTGAGCAGATGCCCAGTAAGTTGATAATGACCTATGAGCTATTTATTTCCTTAGGCCCATCAGTATTTGCCTTAATTTCTCCTTTTCTTCCTTGTCCTTTTCTGCTCTGTAGCTGGTATTTCTGTTTCACCATAAGATTAATATTATTGCAAACCTATTCTGTTTCTGTTGCCTTAAAATCTACAAAAGAACTATGTGTCATAGTTATTGCATTTGAGTAATTACAATTTAATATCAGATTAGATGAATGCCTATAAAACAAAGAACAATAAATTTTTGCCTGAAATAACTTAGTGATTCTTGGAAGAAGACACTGTATTGGGTTAGTGTTGATGTGAAAGGTGTCACAAAAGGAGTTGACTTGAATCTTGAAGGATGGATTCCAGGTAGACAGACAAGAATAGGAAGGATGGGAGGATGGGAGCTAGGGCAGGATCACCAGGGACTTCACATTGCCTAATCCAGTGTTACTTCTCTGTGCTTTTCTTCCTGAATTTTCTACAGAGTTCAATCCCAGCCCCTCTTCTCAGGAAACTTTTCTGTCTTGGCTTCTGTGATACCACACTATACTGCTTTTCTTCCTATCTCACTGGCTGCTAATTCTACTTTTATAAATCTCCTTTATTCTACCTTTAAGTATTGGAGGGCCCTCAGCTCTAACTACAGTTTCTCCCTGGGTGATCAATGGCTTTAAGTATTGTATTTAAGCTGGTGATTTCCAAAAGTATATCTAAAGTATAGACCTCTCACCTGTGTTTTAGACTCTGTTTAGATGTCTAATAGCTCAAACTTACCTTGTCTGACACGGAGTGTTTTATTCCTACCGCCATCCCCCAATCTGTTTTTCCCCATCTTGCCATTGCTCAGGCCCAAAGCCTAGGATTCATTCATAGTTCACCCCTGCCTTTCCTCATGTCCTACATCAGCAAAGTCTTCTCTACCTTCACAGTGTTTCTGATTTTTCCACCTTGCTCTCTCCCTCCCATTCTCCCTCCTACCAGTATCCTGGTGCAATCTATCATCATCTATTGCTTGTAAAGGGTGTCCCAAAATTCACGCAAGAAGTAATTTTGATAGAAAACACAGGTTTATAATTAAAAATTGTAAATTTTTTATTGATTCATAAAGTATACAGCATAGGGCTATGTATGGAATAGCATATCGGGTAAATGGCCTCCACGGCTTTGCTGGCACATATGCACTCTTTAGTGATTGCCTGAGCAGCCGCATTTTCAAAGAAGAATGGTCCGATGATGCCTCCAGCCCAAAATCCGCACCAAACAGTGACACGTTGTGGATGCATTTGTTTCTCAACAATCACTCGTGGATTTTCTGAACCCCAAATGCAACAATTTTGTCGATTAACCAAGCCATCAAGATGAAAATGAGCCTCGTCGAAATTCAGCCACATTTTTGCAAAACGGTCATGGAAAATTTCAACAAAAGAGTGCGTATGTGCCAGAAAAGCCATGGAGGCTTTTCTATCAAAATTACTTCTTGCATAAATTTTGGGACACCCTTTACTATTCTAGAATCCATTCCCATCACAGCAACCATTGTGGTCATTTAAAAAACATAAATCAAGTCATGCCACTGTTCTTTGTCCCTACTCTTCTACAGTGGCCTCCTTTTACACATATATTAAAATCTTAACCCTTTACCATGGTTTATCACAAACCCATACACTGTCTGACCCCAGTGTGGCTCAGTTAGTTGGGCGTTGTCGTCCAGTGCACCAAAAGGTTGCCAGTTTGAGTCCCGATCAGGGTACATGCCTGGGTTGTAGGCTCGATCTCCGATAGGAAGCACACACGCAGCAACCAATCAATGTTTCTCTCTCTCTCTCTCTCTCTCTCTCTCTCTCTCTCTCTCTCTCTCTCTCTCTCTCCCTCCCTCCCTCCCTCCCCCCCCATCCCTTCCTCCCTCCCTCCCTTTCTCACTTTAAAATTTAATAAAAAATATATTTTTAAAAATTAATGAGTGAGCCGTAACCGGTTTGGCTCAGTGGATAGAGCGTCAGCCTGTGGACTGAAAGGTCCCAGATTCGATTCCGGTCAAGGGCATGTACCTTGGTTGTGGGCACATCCCCAGTAGAGGGTGTGCAGGAGGCAGCTGATCGATGTTTCTCTCTCTCATGGATGTTTGTAACTATCCCTCTCCCTTCCTCTCTGTAAAAAATCAATAAAATATATTTTAAAAAAAATTAAGAGTGAATCACTAACAGAGTAATTCAGTAAACAGCCATCAGTGTCTTGCTTTCTGGGTACTGCCAGCTGATCAACCAGTTATTGACATAGCTCATCTGTCATGCAGGTGAACGGGAGGTTGGAACAGAATCGAAAATGCTGCTGTTGGCCCGGGAAGATAAGAAGCTTCAGTGCTTGGGACTACAGAGCAGGCAGCCGGCAAGTGGTTCCTCTAAGTTCTTCGAACTCCGGGCCACTCTGATTCTTGGAAGGCTGTTTTAGAAACATTTCTACAATCACACTGTGTTCACCTTTTGAGGAAGCTGCATGAGTGAGAGGCAGTCCATTGTAGTGATTGATAGCATGGGATTTAGAATAGAGCAACATTGAAATTCCAGCTCTTCCACTTACGGCTATGACATCACACAGGTTACTTAACCTGTCTGACCCTCAGTCTCCTCATCACTACACTGGGCCTGGTAGGACTTATCTCATAGGGTTATGTGATGAGGGTTAAACACTCTACCGCAAGTCACTTTGCCTCTGGGCTTTCACGTGCTGTACAGAAAATGATTGTATAGATTCCTTTCCACCTCTAAGGTAGCATGAAGAAATTCTGAGTAAAGAACTCACACACTCAGGGCTCTAGATCAGATAATGATCGGAATATCTTTTATAGAAGAATTAGTTGAATTTAACTTTTTTGTTTGTTGTTTTTTTAAAATATATTTTATTGATTTTTTTACAGAGAGGAAGGGAGAGGGATAGAGAGTTAGAAACATCGATGAGAGAGAAACATCCATCAGCTGCCTCCTGCACAACCCCCTCCTGGGAATGTGCCCACAACCAAGATACATGCCCTTGACTGGAATCGAACCTGGGACCTTTCAGTCCACAGGCCGACGCTCTATCCACTGAGCCAAACCAGTCAGGGCAGTTGAATTTAACTTTGAAGTTTTGCTGAGCATACTGTGTTCTTAATTAAACTCTGAGTTCCCTGTGATTAGGTTTTTCAAATTTTAACTCCCATCACCAGATAATTTTAATGATTTGGTTTGGCCATAAGCTGGGTATTTTCATTTTATCTCATTAGTTCATTTTATTGGTGATGTTTCCATTTTCAAAGTTGTTCCAGGAACATCACTACTTATCATCATACTGCCTTTGCACTCTGAATTTCCATGCTGGCTTTTACTTCCAAAGGGAAATCAAAGATTTTTGTTTTGTTTTGTTTTGCTTTGTGTCTTTCCTTTTTAGAACATTCAAGGGAGAAATTATCAATATCAGCTAACAGTAAGGAATAATAAAAATCTGATAATTTCTTTTCCCAAGTACATAGGGAGAATTGTGATTCTTTAAGTTGCCACTTTATTTAAGGTTGGGTTTTTTCCTACAAATTATCTCCCTTCAAAATGTGGTTATAAGTGACATGAAGCAAATCTTAAATGTGTGCATTGCAAGTATTTCTCAAAGGTTGTAATGAAAAGAAGGATTTTTGGTGTTGAGGATTCTATGAGTCAATGTGTTGAGGGGTAGTAGTTTGACAATTGCTGCCTCAGACTGGGGTATTATATAAACTGCTGAAGTCCTCAGCCAGCCTCAGGTTCCCGAAATTCTGGAAGTGCTTCTTTCTCAGTTGTTGGTGAGGGCATGGTTGAGACCAAGAATGCTTAAAGAGCCCTGGCCGGTTTGGCTCAGTGGATACAGTGTCAGCCTGTGGACCGAAGGGTCCAGGGTTCGAGTCCAGTCAAAGGCATGTACATCGGTTGCAGACTCTTCCCTGACCTGGGCCCAAGCCCATGCAGAAGGCAACTAATCGATGTGCTTCACTCACATCCATAGTTCTCTCTGTCTTTCCTCTCTCTTCCACTCTCTCTAAAAATTAATGGAAAAATATCCTCGGTGAGGATTAAAAAATAAAAATAAATGAATAAAGGGGAAAATTTTATTCTTTAAAAAAAAATAAAAGAATGTTTAAAGGGGGAAGAAAGAAAATATCTCTAAAAATAGTAAAATTTTTATTTTTTTGGTTCCTGTTTATTCCTGGAAACAAATTAAGCTTTAACAGCATTTTTGTCTCCTACTTTTCCCAGGTATTCCTCTTTATTGGCTCAGATGCCTTCAACTGCTGTACTTTTCTCTCTGGCTTCTTGCTGTTGGCTGGGACACAGGATGGAAACATTTATCAGCTGGATGTGAGGAGTCCAAGGTGAGTCACCATTCCTTTGCATGATGTAGACCTTCTACAGAGTGGAAATTTTTTTGGCTTTAACATTGGTTTAGCATAGCATATAGGCTATTATTGAATCAAGGATATATTTTTCCATTTATAAAGGTTTTCTAGTGTGAATTGTCTGATTGTTCTTACTAGAGTCCTTATCATTCTTGGAATCATTAAAAGGTGGTTTGATTCATACTGTCATGAATGTCCTATTGTGGTGATTGCTTTGGAAATTAAGGTTAAATAATGAACTAATATTTTACTTTAAAATTATTGTTTAAAACTTAATTTTAAGGAGCTCAGTAATTTTCTTTATGTATTAGATCTGGGTTGGCCTAAAATTGATCATTTTTCAGTTTGAAATAAGCCAGCTCTGGTTCTTTATTTAGCTTTTATCATAACCTATCTCAAACAGGCCTTATTCTGATCCTAAAGCTATCCAGAGAAAACCTCTCTGTCCCAGGATTTACCATGTCTACAACTTCTTCCTCTCTCTATTTCCTTCCTTTGTTCAACTGATATTTATTGAATAGCTTCTGTGGGCACCAGGCCTTGTGCAGATTTAGGTTCACTCCACAGTATTTTAGAATGGGTTGTCTTGATCTACCATTTAATTATCTTGCAGGAAAGAAGCCATATGAATATTTAATCTCTATTTATGTCCTTTTTGCTATTATGTGGTTAGTACTATATAATCAGGCATTGCTTTTGAAGAAAAAAACTAAAATTGCCCCTTTTACTGTGAATCCTAGGGCTCCAGTACAAGTCATCCACAGATCAGGAGCACCAGTTCTATCCCTGCTGAGATTCAGAGATGGATTCATTGCTAGCCAAGGTGGGTCCAAGGGCCAATGAGGAGAGATGGTTCCATGCAACTCAGTTACACAGAGGTTTAAGGGTCTGGTCTGTGGCTGTGCTAGGGGCATGGTCCTCCACAATTGTTTGGCATATTGTGCTTATCACATAGTGTTTCTCACCCTGCATTGTAATTGTCTATGTCCCCCTCCAGTCCACGCTCCTTGACAGTAGTGACTGTGCTATTCATGGTATCATCTCCAGCATTTCACTTCGTGCCCACCATGTAGTTGGTGCTCAGTAAACACTGGTAGAGTAAATGTTTGTCCTTTATTGTGAAACACTGAGGATTCAATAATGAATCCGTGACAGTCTGCCCTAAAGGAGCTCACAGTTAGTAAATTATCAGGAACAGCCCAGCAGGTAAACCTTATTGTCCAGACTATAACACATGCCCATGCCAAACGCAGTCACCAGCAAGGAGAGTACAGTTACCATAATACCCTTGGGCTAGTCAGGCTCCTCTCCTGTTACTGGAAGGAATCTGGCTTTTGCCAATCAGGAGAAGAGCGGGAAATAGGTGAGTAGGTAGCCAACAGTCCTAGGTGTTCGTGGCCATCTCTCAAATATATATGGGTACCCTTCCTTCCTGTCACAATGTGCCTCGTTTCCTTAGCCCTTCTCCTTCAGGATTTCCACACCATAGCAGAGTAGTCAGGAATCTGCAGACCCAGTGTTATAGCTCTCTGCACTTGCTCTCTCTCAGTCTTTCTTTCTTCCTCCCTGTCTTGGCATCAGTTTAGTGACGCAACAGTACTCTTTATGGAGCCTTAATAAGAGAGCAGCTGGCATAGCTTGTGACAGCTTCTCTGATGCTGCTGCTACCACTCTTGTGATCCTTTTTCTTTTATCTGCTGCTGCCATGCCACACTCTTCCCTTGAGATCTCTATCCTGGCCTCATCTTTCTGCTCAAATTCCCCTCTTGTAGCCCCCAATGATTAGCTTCTTGCTAGATCCAGTGGCCTTTAAAGGTATAGACTGTCTTGTCCCTAAGTTTCCGTGAGGACGAGTACTATATCTCTTCATCTCTGTAACCCCAGCTCTTGCACTGAAGAACTATAGCAAATATTTGTTGAATGAGTGAGTACATATTTTCATGACTCTGAGTAGTAAGAAATTTTATTACTGTTAGTCCCTCCTTAAAACTTAGCTCCTTTGGATGTGTATGGGGGGAGGGGGGTGAGGGCATGTGCTGGGGGGTGGGGGCAGCGGGGAGAGGTCAATGGGGGGAAAAGGAGACTTATGTAATACTTTAAACAATAAAGAATTAAATACAAAAAAAAAAAACTTAGCTCCTTTGACTTTGGTGATACTAATTAATTTCCTGATTATTCTCTTTCTTCAGTTATGATCCTTTCTCAGGTTTCAGTAGCTTATATGCCTAGCATGATTCATGGCACACTTTATGTTTTCAAGTTGTTTGTTGAAATTGAATCCTTTTGTTATTCCTACTATTGTTGCCATCCCTAAACCAGAGATATTTCCCGAGTTTAGTCGTTGTCCTTTTCCCCTTTCTCCTCTGTGCTTCCTCAAGGACTGACAGGTCTCATGGTTTCAGCTGTTAATTATTGGAACCCATAGCTTCTAGACCTGACCTCCTACTTAGTTCATATTTTATTGGGCAACATGATATAGTAAAATCATAGATTTTGGACCCAAACTGACAATCTAATCAATGAGTTTAAATCATCACTCCATCACTTACTATGAGATTTAGCCATATATGACTTTCCTAATATATAATAATTTTTTACTTATAAAAATGGCAATAATATATGACTTAATCTAATAGTTCGATGACCTTTGGTAAATCATTTCACTTTTCTGTCTCACTCTCCTCAGAGATAAAATATGTAAAGTGCTCAGCATTAAGCAAACAGTCTATGAATGATAGTTGCTTCTTTCTCCTGTTACTGCCCCTTGCCCTGTAAGCCCTCCTAAAAAGTGTTCCTTGTCATCGTGATCCAGTGACAGGGCACACACCCACACAAAGTAGAATTGTGCTATCGGGCAAGATATGTTAAAGTTACAGGAATTAGTGTTACAAGAGATTGACAGGTTGGTTAGAAGCTTCCTAGAGGAAATGGGACTGGAGCTGGGCTTATCAGGAGGTAAGATTTGCACATAGAAACTTGAGTACAAAAGAAGACCTATTGTAAACATAGATTTTTTTGAGAGGAGAGAAAAGAAACTCAGTAGTAGATATCACCTTTCCTTGCTGAACTAATAACAGTGAGAAGTTCACAAAAATTATGGATGGTTTCCCACTCTGGCTTAAAATGAGACTTAAGACAGGAGGATTGTGAACAAACCTAGAGTCACATTGCAGCGCATGAGAAGTTGATGTCGTCTCTGTGGCAGTTCTGATGTCACAGAGCTTAGTATCCCCGAGAACCAGTGTGTAGGCTACCCCGGTCCTCTGCACTTCTTCCCTCCCCCGCCCTATCTTCAGGCCACTTAAAAAACGTACCAATAACTCTGTGCCAAGGGGAGTGTGGGTGAAGTGAAGAGTAACATGTGGAAAAGAGCTAACTCATGCCCCTTCTACTTTTGTAACTCTTTTCTACTGGAAAGAAAGGTATAACTTCTGTCATTAATCTACAAGTAAAGGGCCCTAGCCGGTTTGGCTCGGTGGATAGAGCGTCAGCCTGCGGACTCAAGGGTCCCAGGTTCGATTCTGGTCAAGGGCATGTACCTTGGTTGTGGGCACATCCTCAGTGGTGGGTGTGCAGGAGGCAGCTGATTGATGTTTCTCTCTCATCGATGTTTCTAACTCTCTCTCTCCCGTCCTCTCTGTAAAAAAGTCAATAAAATATATTTAAAAAATAAAAATTAAAAAAAAGTAAAGGGAATAAATAAATTTATAACTCTATGTTCAGAGGACAAAATTAAGACAAATAAAAAAAAGTTATCAGGCCCTGGCTGGTATGGCTCAGTTGGTTGAGCATCGTGCCATGCACTGAAAGGTCACCGGTTCGATTCCCAGTCAGGGCACATACCCAGGTTGTGGGTTTGATCCCTGGTGGGGGTGTGTGCAGGAGGCCACCATCAATGTATCTCTCTCACATTGATGTTTCTCTCTCTCCCTCTTTCTCTCTAAAAAATCAATAAAAACTTTTATTTTTAAAGAAAGAAAGTTATCAGGAGCCACATTTCAGTTCAATATAAACAAAAGCATTCTATTTCATAAGAAAGAAGTGGGAAGTGATGTCATGAGCACCACTAACCAGGAGATGGACAAGCATAGGCTGGTGGCTGCCCTGCAAGGTGCTGAGGAGGGAATTCTGGACTTAGTTTAGAAGTTGGAAATAGATAATCTCTGAGCTACTTTGGAACTCTGATTCACTAGAGAGGAGATTGAAATTGCCAGATTAAATAACTTTTAAAACTTTTTATTATGGAAATTGCCAAATAGGTACAGAGGTAGAGAGAAGAATAGCATAATGAACCGTTGTCCAGCTTCAACTATTAACAATTTATGACCAATCTTGTGTCATGTTTTGAAACATATCACAGACGTATTATTTCATGTCAGTATTTCTATGAGTATCTCTAAAAGATAAGGATTTGGTGGGGGGGTTATTTTTAATACCCAAGGATATGTTGATTGATTTATTTGTTTGTTTGTTTTTAGGGAGAGCATGAGCGAGAGATCGTTTTAGAAACATTGATGAGAGAAACATCAATTGGTTGCCTCCCTTACTCACCCCAACTGGGTACTGAACCAGCAACCTTTTGGTGGGTGAGACAATACTCCCAACCAGCTGAACCACCTCGCTGTGTAGTGGGGGGAGATTGAAGGAAGGATAAAGTCCTCCTGTATGTTGCTGGTTGGAGTTTATAGATTGATGAACAGAATAATTAAACTAAAATTTATTAACATAATTTTGGAAAGCAGTTTTTCAGATTTCTGAAAAGTTTAAATATTATCTTTTGATTATTTTCGAGTGTTCTATACAAAGTCATAGTCTTAATACAGAAAAAACTTTATGTAAAAGATATTCTTTTATGCCCTGGCCGGTTTGGCTCAGTGGATAGAGCCTCGGCCAGAGGACTGAAGGGTCCCAGGTTTGATTCCAGCCAAGGGCACATGCAAGGTTGCAGGCTCTATCCCCAGTGTGGGGCGTGCAGGAGGCAGCCAATCAATGATTTCCTCTCATCACTGATGTTTCTATCTCTCTCTTCCTCTCCCTTCCTCTATGAAATCAATAAAAATATATTTTTTTAAAAAAGATATTCTTTTATACAAAAGAGTTAATAGTAATTATCTCTGATAGATTATAGGTGACTTTTTTACTTCTCTGTTTCTTTATTTTAAAAGTTTTCTTTAATGAGCATGTATTACTACTTTTATATCAAGACCAATAAATCACCTTAATTATCAGTTTAAAACCCCAAGTTTCATTTATCTATGCTCTTCTGAGGAAAAGCTTAAAAATTAGATATACATTTATTTTCTTGGTATAACTTTTTTCCTTTGCCTAATATATATGGTCAAGATTATAGATTGAAGAATAATTTGTGGGGCATAGATTATTTTTTTTTAGAAAAACATTTATGTAGATAACTTTCCTGTTAAAAGTTATTGCTTAGGATAAGTTTTCATACAAATACCTAAATCTGTAGTTGCTTGCTCTGTGCCCTTGGCAGGTATTGCTCATCAAAAACAAACCTTCTTCCCGCAGAAGGCACTTGCCCTTCAGATTCTCTGTAGCCTCGCATTCTAGGCAGCCACTGTAGGTCCTCACAGTTGGTCTACATAATGAGACCTGTTTGCCTTTCTAGGTCTTAGGACAATCTTCCTTAGGTTAGTGACGTACAGAAATAAATTAAAATATTGAGGTTTTTAAAAACTACTTTGTATGCAGATTTCTCTTCAGTTTTCTAAATTTTCTTTCTGTCTTTTAGGTGATGGAAGCTGTTTCATTGTCCAGCAGGACTTGGATTATGTCATTGAGCTCACTGGGGCTGACTGTGACCCTGTCTACAAGGTACAGGCCTGACTGGAGGCCAAGACTTGATGGTTCTCACCTGGCATCTGGAGCTTCGGAGGGGACTGAATCCAGTTACTCTGTGATTTTTACGGGTGATGACATACTTAGGGATGGGATAGAAAGAAATCAGAATTTTGAGTCAGAAATTACTTCATCACTTACTAGATCTAGAAACTTGAAAAATCACTTCACCTCCCCAGTCTGTCGGTTCATCTGTAAAATGAGGATAATACTGGGATAATGCATATGAAAGCTCCTTATAAATTTAAAATACTGTATAGCCCAGTGGCTCAGTGGTTGAGCATCGACCTATGAACCAAGAGGTAACAGTTCGATTCCCAGTCAGGGCTCATGCCTGGGTTGCAGGATTGAGCCCAGTAGGGGGCGTGCAGGAGTCAGCCAATCAATGATTCTTTCTCATTACTGATGTTTCTCTCTCTCGCTCCCTCTCCCTTCCTCTCAGAAATCAATAAAAATAATATATATTTTAAAATACTCTATAAATATTAGATATTAGTATTTAAAGTTCAAGACTGATTGTTTGATTTATTAGAATGGAAAGAGAAAAATAAAAGGGGAAATAATATTGATTGACCAGTCATTGTGCAGGATGTTTTACATGTATTATCTCATTGATTAAGTGTTTTCATTCCTTGAAGTATAGGTATTATTACTCCTACTTTTTCATATAATTTTTAAAAATTATGTAATTAATACATGGCTAGAAAAACAGTCTCCTCTAAGACTTTTTTAGTTTAGTTCTTGTTTTTTAAAAAAATATGTTTTTATTGATTTCAGAGAGAGGAGAAGGAGAGAGAGAGAGAAACATCAGTGATAAAAGAGAATCATTGATCAGCTGCCTACTACACGCCCCAAACTGGGGATCCAGCTGGCAACCTGGGCGTGTGCCCTGACTAGGAATCAGACCCTGACGATCTGGTTCATAGATTAACACTCAACCACTGAGCCGCACTGGTTGAGCTAGTTCAGCTATTCTTTCCAGAAGTTACTGGCATTGACAGTTTGGCACATATCTTTCAAGACTGTTTTTTGTGCTTATGTATTTATATAAATAATACAGGTTTATCTTAGTTTATACATAACTGGGATTATCTTATATGTATTGCCTTATGACTTTTTGTTTATTTGTTTTTATTTTATTTTTAAAATACATTTTTATTGACTTCAGAGAGGAAGGGAGAGGGAGAGAGAGAGAGAAACATAATGATGATAGAGAATCATTGATTGGCTGCCTCCTGCACGTCCCACACTGGGCATGTGCCCTTGACCATAATTGAACCAGGCCCTTCAGTCCGCAGGCCAACACTCTATCCACTGAGCCAAACCGGCCAGGGCACTTGTTTTGTTTTTTTACTTATCATCTTGGAGCTCTTTCCAGACAAATGCACATAGATCCACTTTACTTCTAAAAGTTTCCGCATTGTGTTCTATGTTGTGAATTAATATATCATTTTCAGTTTACAAGTAAGGAAATTGGGGCCCAGAGGAGTTGAAAAAGTTGCCCATGGTCGTGCAGCTATGCATAAGCAAACCTGAGACTCAGCTAACTTCTGTGTTAATGCTATTTTCACTGATTTAGTGGCTCTTAACCTTCTTTGAGTCTCAGACTTTTTTGAGAAGTCTATGAAATTCTCCTCAGAAAAAAAGGCATATAATGAGAACTTCTTTGTGTATAATTCTGTGAGGCTCAGGGGTACCCAGGGCCATTATGGACCATCTATCTCCTGCCAGGTATAGACTCTAAACAGGCACAACACTAATGGGTTTGCTCTCCAATTGGCTAGTGTCTCTAGTCATAGTGCTCTTGACGATGGCTAGCCATTTTAAAAATACACATAGATGTAATTATTTTCTTGTCTTTGGAGTAAATAAAGCTTCTCAGACTCCCTTGTACTAGTGGGGGTGAATGACAAGGCTCTGTCTGTTTGAAATGGAAGAATTCCAGGCTTTCTGTGAGCTGTGAACTCTTGTATTCCAGGTCGCCACATGGGAGAAGCAGATCTACACATGCTGTCGAGATGGTCTCGTGCGGCGCTATCAGCTCTCTGACCTCTGATTCCTGTGAAGGAGGACTCCCAGTTAATGAAAACGATTGACCATGACCAACAATGAGCAGAAACATCATCAGTCCTTCCCGAGGACCGTGCTCTTTGTTGTCGTGGGCGCCCTTCGGAAGTCACAGAGTCAGCTACATCGGCCACGTGGAACTGCTGTTCCACACAAGACTAATGTGAACTGAGTAAGACGCTCACATGTGCTCACTGCATTTGCCCGACTTCTCCTTCTATAAACTCACCGCAGCAACACAGGGAAGGTGATGGGTTGCTTACGGTTTGATCGCACATCTGTTGTGTTAAATGTTTAGAGGACCAGGCGACCGAAACCTGTCTCTGAAGGGAATAAAGAGAGTGTGTTTGGAGGAGTCAGAATTTGAAAACTTGTTAAATGTTCTTATTCCAGCAGAAAGTCAGTCAGGCTGATGGACCTCCTTTCTCAGGCACTTCCTGTTGGCCTGGTCTTAGAGCAGTAAAGATCCCACAGGCAGCATGCTGGGAAAGGCTTTTGTACAGGTAGGATGACTACCATCCCAGTTTTCCTTGTACTGAGGGGTTTTCGGCTACCTGTGGCTTTCAGTCCCAGCAAACCGAGATGGCCTGTCAGCCTATAGACAGGCGATGAAGTTGAACCAAAACATTGTAAAGGCAGTGGCTGTGAAAGTGGCCCCTAGAGCAGCTTCTTAGTATCACCAGGGAATTAGAAATAGAAATTCTTGAGCCCACCTCAGACCTAAATCAGAAATTCTATGGGTAGGGCCTACTATCTATTTTAACAAGCCTTCCATGATTCTGAAGCATGCTGAAGTTTGAGATCTAGAGAAAGAGATGGTAGAGGGCACTTTAGTCAGAGATGGAACCCAGGGCTCCTAGGTTGGCCAGGCTGGTCTGTAGGGGATGAGGCTGGAGAGGCTGGCAGGGCCCGAATAGTGAAGGAGCTTGACTGCCAGATGGGGAGCTTGAACTGCGCTTGGCTGGCAGTGGGGAGTCATGAAGGGGCTTTTAAGCAAAAGTGTGTTATGGTTACTTCTTTTTTTCTCTAAACATAAAAATGGAATCATGTGTTCTGTGGCTTATTTTCACTTAGTATCTTAGTTCTTTCACATTTAGACCTTCATTCTTTTTAACAATTTCCAGAACATGAAAGCCATATCATTTACATTTTAGAGATTATTAAAGAAAAAGTTTGGAGCTTACAACACTTGAGCTGAGCCATGTGGCTGAGCTCTGGAATTTATTTAAGGGAAGAAGGTAATTCCTGGCTCAGGTAACAGTCTGGTTACAGAGTTCTTAAAGGCATGTTCTCATGTAGTCTTTTGCTACCTTGTGACATACCAGTAGTGAGACTCAGATGAAGTGATTTGCCAGGGGTCATAGAGAGCAGGAACTTGAACAGTTTATCTTAACTTTAAATGCCATTTTTTTTCTACCTGTTGCTAATGCCTAAACAAAATTGTGAAAATAAAATATTGTCATTCATTGAGTATCTACTAGTAATCTACTCTGTTCTAGGTTCTATCTGTGTATATTTAATCCTTACAACATGGTTAAAAAGGAAGATATTCCTGTTTTACAAATAAGGAAATTGAGGCTCAACATTAAGTACCAGAGCCTTGATTTGGACCTTGCTCACTCAGCCTGTCTCCAAGGCCTGTGCCCATTCCACCTAAGCACGTGGCCACGAGACCTGGGACTAGAGCTATTTCACTAAAGAAGTGATCTGTGATAGGCTCAGGTGATCTGAAGAGATATTCCCGAGCTGAGAAACATCGATTCCTAGGAAGTCCAAGGGGACCTCTCAGAAGTCAGATTAAGGAGCCAGGATGGCCCTGACTGGTCTGGCTCAGTTGGTTAGAGCATTGTCCTGGTACACCAGGTTCAATCCCTGGTTAGGGTACACACTAGAATCAACAAATGAATACACAAATAAGTAGAACAACAAATTGATATTCCTTCCTCCCACGTCCCCACTCTCTCTCAAAAAAGAAAGAAAAGAAAACAGGATTATGGCTTGAGTTCATCACATGGCCAGCGTGTCTGAGTTCCCATTCTTGGACTCACTCTTCTCCATTGCTATCACATTCATAACCCCCTTTCCATAGGTCTCCAAAGTGGATATCCTGGTTGTGATGGATGCAGTGACCTTGAGAGTTGCTGTGAAATCCACACCCAAGCCTTGTCCACTGTGAATGGACTGATCCCCAGTTTGTAAGAGACAAAGCTTACTTTTTCTTTTGGATTAAGTAGTGCATTCTGGGTAAGGAAGAGTGCACAACCCCCACCCGCAGCACTGCAGGCCCAGTGAAGCTCTGCTAGACCTTGTTTCTTGGTTTTCAGATGCCCCCTTGTGACTTATTGTGAGAAGTGCCTCTGTTTCTCAAGCTGACAATGGCATCAGCTATGGAGCCAGGACTCCGTACCAAGCACAGTCCTCACAATAGCCTTGCAAAGTAAGGTTTATTTTAAACAATGTGGATATATTTTATATTTTTTTCTAATTTAATTTATATTTTGAAATAATTTCAAACTTACAAATAAGTTGCAAGAAAGTACAAAGGATTCTAATCACCCAGATCTCCCAGTATTTAACATTTTATTGTTTACTTTATCACTCTCCCCTCCCCCTTCTTTCTCTTTCTGGCTTGTGAGTGCACTGCTGCCCTCAAGGAGATGAAGCAGAACGTCCCACTCTTTTTTTTTTTTTTAAATATATTCTATTGATCTTTTACAGAGAGGAAGGGAGAGGGACAGAGAGTTAGAAACATCAATGAGAGAAACATTGATCAGCTGCCTCCTGCACACTCCCGACTGGGGATGTGCCCGCAACCAAGGCACATGCCCTTGACCAGAATCGAACCCGGGACCCTTGAGTTCGCAGGCCGACGCTCTATCCACTGAGCCAGACCAGTTAGGGCAGAACGTTCCACTCTTTAGGGGTAGGCCTCAAAATGACTTCCCACCAAAACGTACAATCCAGAAAGGGGGAAACAAAGTGACCTTACAGTGGAAAAACCTGGCAAACACTGTCTCAGCAGGTGATCAAGGTCAGCATCACCAGCCCTAACCGGTGTGGCTCAGTGGATAGAGCGTCGGCCTGAGGATTGAAGGGTCCCAGGTTCGATTCCGGTCAAGGGCATGTACCTTGGTTGCGGGCACATCCCCAGAAGGGGGTGTGCAGGAGGCAGCTGATCGATGTTTCTAACTATTGCTCTCCCTTCCTCTCTAAAAAAATCAATAAAATATATTAAAAAAAAAAAAGATCAGCATCACCAGTGATAGGTCATATTGATCTGATGTGATGAGAATGGCACTCTGGTCTCCCTTCCAAAACCCACAACCCCCAGTCTAATCATAAAAAACAAACAAAACATCAAATCCTAATTGAGAGACATTCCAAAATAACCAGTACTCCTTAAATTGTCAAAGTCATTAAAAACAAAGAAAGTTTGAGAAACAGTTGTAGTCAAGAGGGGCCTAAGGAGACATGACAACTAAATGTAATGCGGGATCCTAGATGGGATCTTGGAACAGCAAGAAGACATTAAGTTAAAAACTAGGAAATCTGAATAAAGAATGAACTTCTGATATAAATGACGTGTCAAAATTGGTTATTATTTGTGACAGATGTACAAACAACTTGTAAGATGTTAATAATGGGGGAAACTGAGTGTGGGGTATTTGAGAACTCTACTATCTTCACAGCTTGTCTGAAAATCTAAAACTTCTAAAATAAAATTTTATTTTAAAAAACAGCAAAATGCATTTGTTATGAAAAAATTTTAAACGAAAACCAATTGCTACTCTCTTAACCCTCAGGTTTCTGAGTTGAGTGATCTTTATCAGGGTCACAGAATCAGCCCCAGTTCTCAGTTCTTTCATTCATTCTTCCATAAGACAGAGCTGGGAAGGTGGTTTGCTTAGGCAGGAAGGACTATAACTCCCAGAGTGCACCTGTGCGGTTGCCAAGAGCAACCAAGGAATGCAGACTAACAGCCCGGCTAGAGTCAGGGCTATTGAGGACTGCGGGCCAGCCAGCCATGGGCCAGGATTATTACGCTATACTCCATGTCACTCGCAATGCAGAGGATGCCCAGATCAAGAAGGCGTAAGTTGGGAAAAGAGCTGGGTTATATGCGGGGGCAGGCCCCATCTTCTCTTCCAAATTGATCTTTCCTGCACAGCTTTGGGCAAGCGAAGTAAACCTTGTTTCTTCTCTTGCTCCTTGCACACTTACAGCCTGGCTTTGGGCTTCGTCAGGGTTCCCAGTCCATCATCCTTTACCCTCCATGCCCTGTCTTCCCCTCTTAGGTGCCCTGGTTTTCCTAACTATGAAATGGGGCCAAAGGAGACATTTGAATTTTATTCTGAATATTATGGAGAACTAAAGGATTGAGAACAGAAGAGTGATCTGGCCAGAAGGATGTGTTACAAGTTTTACTTTGGCTGTCACATGGGTTTTACTGTTGAATAAACTGCATCAAGTTTGGGGGTGTTATGGTCTATTTCTAAGAAAGTCTAGGATAGGAGTTAGCACATTTTTCTGAAAAAACAAAAACAAAACTTGGACAAATAATTATTAAGCAACTACTTAATGGATTAGGAGATATAAGCATGACTCAGAGATGCAGCTTAATTTTGTGGGTGAATACAGATGTTGAATAAGTCACAAGTGTGATGAGTGTTACAAAAGGGGAAGTGCTGGGTGCTGTGGAAGCTTATCCTGGAAGGAGAGAGACCCCTTCAGAGGATGTAATGATAAGGCAAAAGCTGAAGCGTGAAGTCGGGCAGGGGGCTGTCCAGAGGGGAGAGAATGGACTTGACAATTACTTGGATAATTAGAGGGTAAAAAAAGGAAGGAATCTAGGATAATTCGATCAATTAAGGTTGGGTAGTGATACTACTACATTTATTGAATTGTACAGGTGTTGTTCTGAGAACCTTCCATCATTATTTCACTTAATCATCCTACAACCCTGGGAGGCAGGTGCCATTATTATCACAAGGTCACATGCCTAGGAAACAGCAGAGCCAGCACTCAGACACCAGGCCTGCTATAGTTGCCTACCGTGGGCCAGGTCCATTAGGCATCTAAGTGATGTAAGTGGAGAGAGGCTACAGTATGGCTGGAGAAACAAGACACAAACTCATGAAACAAAGAACAATTCAGGACAGTGTGTCATGTCACCCACTGTTCGGAGCAGCTCACTGGCCTTTGGGGCCCGACCAGGGAAATATCATGAGGAGGGAGGGCAGTTGGAACCCAGAACGATGAGCCCAACTTAAGCATTGGAAAGATTTAGGTCTGAGTCCAGGTTCTCCTACCTGCTAGCTGTGTGACATGGGCAAATTACTTAACCTCTCTGAGCCTCAGTTCTCCCATCTCTCCCTAAGAAGGGGAGGAGGGTTGTCATGGTATTGAAATGGGATTATATGAGATAATGAACATGAATATGCCAGCAATCATTTGCATCTGAAACCATGTATTTAGTGATTAAAAGAACTGCATATGTTTCAAACAACGCGCTTAGCCCTTCTCCCCTGGAACAGCTCTTAAGGGATGAGTCACATGTATAACACACTCTCCCATAGGAGTACCTAGATTTTGCCACGACCCCCCAATTTAAACTTATATAACAATGATTCATAATCAGTCACCAGTGAACGTTTTCAGTGTCACTCATTCACTGTGGGTTGCCACAGCAGCACTGTGACTCCACCCCGTCTCCCACTCAGGAAAGCAGGTGAATGAGAGTAAGTGATACTACTGTGGAGATCATTTTAAAGCCACTCACATTTACATGAAAAACTGAACTCTTCTCAAATCTCTTTACTCTTACTCACTGATAGAATTTACTTGCAAATCTCCTCAGAACTGACTGCAACCTCTGTCATGGAGAGGGCTGCTTTAGAAGTCTCAGAAGGGTCGTGACAATTATCTTTAAGTCTCTCGAGGGAGACAGAGCAGATTCTCTGCACGGCCTCCAAGGGCTGAGCCAGGACCCTCATGGATGAAGAGGTAGGGTCCCAGGACAGCAAACCCAGCTCAGTAAGAGTTACTGTTGCCTATAATTCGGAGCCGTCTCAGATTATAGGCAACAGCAACTGGAGACGGTGAAAGCACCTGACCTGCGTGAGTGCCGCTCTGTACCAGGCCCTTTGACACCTTATTTTATCTACTCTTCCCAAGAGGCCTGTGTGTCCGTTCAGACACCAAGACAGGATTAGAGGTGTAAAAAAATGTATTGGGGAAACACTTGGGGTGAAGGGGGAGCAGGACTGTGTAGGTTTGACACCTGTGGAAGGAGAGAGGGAAGGAAGGTTTGGGGAAGGAAGGCTGCAGCCTGGTCTGCAGAAAACCTCAGCCAGGCTGATGGGGAGGCCTCAAGCAGCAGAGGTTGTGTGATGAGGAGCCCTGTGTCCTTCAGGGTTGGGCCAGCACTAATATCCCCAGCATCTTTATTCATTGGCTGGGAGCATCTGTGGTTGCGGGGGGCGAGGGGGTGGGGGGTGGGATAGGATCAGCACAAAGACCCAGGGTAGGGACAGCTGCTGGGCTGTCAATCAGCTGTGCTCCCTACACTGGGTTCTCTTCAAGGGGGTCTGAACAGTGTGCTTCCCTGGCCACCGCACCCGGATTTACAGCTGGGCGCACCAAAGCTCTAAGAGGCCCCCAGGCAACAGAAAGCTGAGCCAGGTCTGCTATGACTTGTTCTAACCCTCCCTCCTCTAGGTACCGGAAACTTGCCCTTAAGAACCACCCACTGAAGTCCATGGAGCCAGCCTCAGTGGAGATATTCAAGCAAATAGCGGAGGCCTACGACGTGCTGAGCGACCGTGAGTGACTGGGGCTGAGCCTGGAGGAGTGACTCCAGGACATCTCCTCTGCCCCACCTCGCCATTAAGATCATTCCTTAAGTTTCTGAATGTTGGGCTTTCTGAGGAGCCTCAGCATACAGTAAGCAGGATCTAAATAAACTAAGAAAGAAGAGAATGAAGAATTGCCTTTCGCCCTAACTGGTTTGGCTCAGTGGATAGAGCGTCAGCCTGCGGACTGAAGGGTCCCGGGTTCGATTCTGGTCAAGGGCATGTGCCTTGGTTGCGGGCACATCCCTAGTGGGGAATGTGCAGGAGGCAGCTGATCGATGTTTCTAACTCTCTATCCCTCTCCCTTCCTCTGTAAAAAATCAAAATATATTAAAAAAAAAAAAAGAATTGCCTTTCTCAGGAGACACAAGCTAAGATGGAGGATATGGCATGGAGAACCCCCAGATCAAGCTGATGAGCTTACCTGGTCTCATCAGAGCAAGAGGTGGGGCAGGACTCCCCACATCCCACACCCGAATGTCCCTTACAGGGATGGAGAGAGCTCGATGCTTGCTGCCAAGGGAAGAAGGCCAAGGCTGAGGCCCAGGTTATCCTTCCCAGATTTATTAAGTAGCTAAGTCTCCATTTCCCTGAGTACGGCCTTTTATAAAAGGGCAGAGAGCGCCCAGCTGGCATGGCTCAGTGGTTGAGCATCAGCCTATGAACTAGGAGGTCATGGTTCAATTCCCAGTCAGGACATACGTCTAGGTCGCAGGCTCAATCCCCAGTAGGATGCTCTCTCATCATTGATGCTTCTATCTCTCTCTCTCTCTCCCTCTCCCTTCCTCTCTGAAATCAGTAAAAATAAAAAAAAAATAATTATATATATATGTTTAAAAAGGGCAGAGAGAGGCCAGTAATTAGGGCATTTTTCTCCTATGGAAACCAGAAGAGTGGAGGAAGTGATTTCCCACCCCTGCCTGGGGCATTGCCCACATGGGTTTCCCAAAGCACTTGTCCGGGAGACTGTACTCAGGGATATTGTGCAGGGGAATGGACCGATCACTAAGGTTTTTCCAGCCCAGAGTTTTCAGGAATTTAGACCCTAGGGTTTCAAAGCTCTAGAATTTGGGAGCTGTGGAATTATTAGATTCTGAAATGTCGAGGTTCTAGGATTATTTTTACTTCACAGATGAGATAGCAGTTATGATGGATTAAACTAAATCCCAGAGGGATAGCCTGACCCTTAGTTTTCCTGTTTCTACTCCAATCCCCACCCCTCCTCAGCAAAACAGTCTTTCCCATCTCTTCTCTGGAGGAGGGCAAACCCAGATCCACCACAACGGAATTAAACCCCTAACTAGAAATACGGATGCTTTCATCCTATGTTCTTCCCCGTATCCTCCTCCTCCTCAGCCTTCTAGCTACCTTAGCCCCCAGGACTCTGCCTCCTTCTCAACGTGGCATATATCCACAGCTGTGAAGAGAAGCGTCTATGACAAGTTTGGAGAAGAGGGTCTGAAGGGCGGGATTCCTCTGGAGTTTGGGTCCGAGACCCCTTGGGCAACTGGTTATGTCTTCCATGGCAACGCTGAAAAGGTTTTCCATGAGTTCTTCGGAGGAAACAACCCCTTTAGTGGTAAGAGGTTCTACCTATCCCCTTGCCTTGGACATAGCTGTGAAGATGCTTTTCTTTGAGTAGTTTTTTTTTTTTTCCTTTTACATATATATGTACCGTGGTAAAGAAATAATTTATTGAAGAATAAATTACAGCCTTCCCGTCCTTTCCCAGAAGCAGCCACTCACAGTTAACATTTTATGTATTATTCCAGAGATTGTCTATGCATTTCTGAGCATAGTTTTATTTTTACATAAACCTTTTATTTTATTAAGAAAGTGGGCCCACATTGTACATACAGTTTTTTTTTCACTTGTCTTATTATAAATTATATGCAGATTTACTTTATTCATTTCTACGGCTGCATAAGATTTCATTGCACAGGTGTGTGTGTTGGTCAGATGACTCCATGGATGGATGGGTGGATGATCACAGGTCCCAGGTCTCAGACAGACGAACAAAGAGTTGATTTCTGAGGCTCAGAATCACCTTGCAAGGAGTTAACCTTCAAACCTGTCTTCCAGGCTCCAGTTCTGCAACTCAAGAGAGTAGATTTTCACTGCCTGGCTCGCCCAGCCCCTTCTTCCTGGCTATACCATAGCCTTTCTGCATTTCAAAAGTTCTCTCTACCTCTTTTCTTTTTTGAAAAAAAAATTATTTATTGTCTAAAGTTTTACATATGTCTCCTTTTTTCCCGCTTGCCCCCCACCCACACACACACCTACCTCTTTTCCATGTTACTATGATAAGTGGGCTACAGCCTACTGCCCCTTCACCTCAGATACCCCTCCCACTGTGCATTGCCTTCACCTATCTGCCAAAGAAACCTGAGTTTATAATAAACTCCACGTAAGACTGGGAAAAGCAAGAGACTTGGATTCAGACGGCCTGTTTCAAATCCATGTGCTGCCACTCACGAGCTCTGTAATCCTGGGCAAATCTCTTCATCTCTCCGAAACCTCAGCTTCCTCTCTATTAAATGGCTATAATAGTCCATTGCTCACAGCTGTGGTGAAAGGAAGTCAGGAAAGGGGGAGGGGGGGTGTCCAAAGTGGGGGATGAAGCAATGGGGAGTGACAAGGGATGACAATCATTGGATCTGCAATTGAGGACAGTTTCTTGGCCCAAGTCTGGTCTTCAAGATGGAAATCGGATGCTAAGTATTACCAGCACCCGATTTCCTTGGGAACTGAAGAGGAGGGGTAGGGGAAGTTCTATCAACCCAAGTCTCTAGACACAATTCCTCTTACTCCTCTCCCCACCTCCTGCAGAGTTTTTTGATGCAGAAGGACAAGAGGTGGATTTGAACTTTGGGGGGCTCCGGGGTCGAGGGGTCAAGAAACAGGATCCCCCAATAGAAAGAGACCTCTACCTATCCCTGGAGGACTTATTTTTTGGCTGCACCAAGAAAATCAAGATCTCCCGCAGGGTGAGTACTTGGCTTGTTCCTACATGGAGCCATCAACTGTCCCCTCCAACCCTAACAGTCACCCTGACTCCAGAGACCTCAGGTTGGTCTCTGATGGAATTCTGCAGTCTTAGACTCGGAGACCTAGGATTGCAGAATACTAGAATCTGGAGTTTGGAAGGGATAAGTGAGGCCTGGCTCTTTCCTCGTGTAGGAATTCCCTCTGCAACATTTCTCATTGGGAGAGGATCTTTCCCTTCTCAGTTCAGCCACATCCCCATGGGCTCTGAAAGGGGGGAGCTAAAACTGTGACTTCTGCCCTCTGGATGTTACCAGACCATACCCTCAGGATTCCATCTGGGGTATGATCCATGAGTAAGAAAGAGCAGTGTGGGAATTAAGGGTGCGCTGGGAGTCAGTCCCTGAGGGGACTGGTTGAGGAATTCTTGGCCCAGCCCTGTGCTAGCACAGGAACAAAGTCCCCTCAAACTTTTCCCAGCAGAGTAGATGCCAACTGTGGTCATGCTTTCCACAGATGGCACCATTTGGGCATGCGATTGGGGAATGGATGGGTGACAGGGGGAATGCTTCAGCTGATGCTCAGATATGTTGAGCTCTGTGTCATCCTCTGGGGTGGGAGGGAGGAGTTAAGTACATGTTCGCTGTGCATTGTTAGTGGCCAGGGCCACATGATTTCTAGGGCCAGAGTGGTTTGATCCACTCATGGTGACTGCTTGGCATCTGAGGTCCTGGCCCCATAATGCCCGCCATCCTGGAATCCTAAATTCCTGTTCTGGTGGAATGGGGTGGGAGTGGCAATGGCTCAAGGCAGGTTCTCCCCATTGCTAGAGGATTGAGCTCCAGCACAGATCCTTCAGCATTTCTTTCACCTTGGGAAATCCTGACGAATTCTCCTCCCACCATCCCACTGCAGGTGCTGAACGAGGATGGGTATTCCTCTACCATCAAGGACAAGATCCTCACAATTGATGTGAAGCCTGGTTGGAGGCAAGGCACACGGATCACCTTTGAGAAGGAAGGTGACCAGGTGAGAGGGAAGGAAGCTGATTAAGGTCAGTTCCAGGAGCAGTTACTTGGGCTCAGGTGGTGGGAAGACAGGGTGGGGGGCAAAGAGGCAATACTTTTTTCTGCTCCTGTGAACCCTGGTCTGGCAGGGAGAGCTGTCTTCAGAGTGGGTGAGATGATCCCTAATGTCCCTTCCCTGGGACAGAGCCTCACAATACCCCTGTGAGTGGGCAGCTTAGGGCTCCTCTCCATTTTGCAGTGGGAAACTGGGGCCCAGAGAGGGGAGGCCCTTGTCCAAGGCAAGAGCACAAGAGCTGAAAAGAGAACCCAGTCTTAACTCTAGTGCTTGAATTTCTTCAGTGTTTCTCTGAGTAAAATCCGACTATAGGAACTACTCAGAAAGCACTTATTAATAATTTTAAATACTTATTTAAATAAAAATATAAAATTACTGTCCAAGACAGTGGATGGTATCTTCAGAGCTGAGGGAGATTAACTTCTCTGCTGGTACTTCTCGCTCCCTTTCTCACCTATAAAACATTTATTTCCAAAAAAAAATCTCTTCTAGACCCAACTCTAATGTTCCCCACTGGGCAACCTTCCCACTTGGGTCAGCACCTCCCTAAGCTCCTGCCCTTGGGTTCCCTTTATCAGTGTTGAACATGCTGAGGATTCACTCTAGACTGGAGCTCTTGGGGGTAGGGGCAGGTCTGATTCCTCTGTTCCAGGGCGCAAAAGAGACCTCAGTAGGATTTTGGTGACTTGGTGAAGTTTGGCAGGACAGAGACTTTATAGAACATCCAGCTCAGTGTTCCACCCACCATCTAAGGAAACCTGTCTCCCTTCAGCTGAGTGCATCTATTTGGGCATGCTCAGTAGAGGAGAAAGAATGGGTTGGGAGCACAGATTCATCAGGGAAATTTTCTCAGAGAGGCTATGGAGTCAAACTGTAAGGGCCCATCAAGAATGGTCTAGTCCTAGCCGGTTTGGTTCAATGGATAGAGCATCAGCCAGGACTGAAGGGTCCCAGGTTCGATTCTGGTCAAGGGCATGTACCTCAGTTGAAGGTTCGATCCTCGGCCCTGGTCAGGGCATGTGCAGGAGGCAACTAAAATTGATGTGTCTCTCTCACATCAATGTTTCTCTCTGTGTGTCTCTCCCCCTCCCTTCCACTCTCTCTAAAAGTCAATGGGAACATATCCTCAAATGAGGACTAACAAAAATAAAAATTAAAAAAATTTAAAAGAACAATGGTCTAATCCAGTGGTTCTCAACCTTCTGGCCCTTTAAATATAGTTCCTCATGTTGTGACCCCAACCATAAAATTATTTTCATTGCTACTTCATAACTGTAATGTTGCTACTGTTATGAATTGTAATGTAACTATCTGATATGCAGGATGGTCTTAGGCGACCCCTGTGAAAGGGTCGTTCGACCGTCAAAGGGGTCGCGACCCACAGGTTGAGAACTGCTGGATCTCATTGTTTTGATGAAGACCTGGAGACCAGTAGAGTCAATAACTTGGCCAAGGTCACACGCCAATTAGTCCTGTCCTCCCTTGTCTGCCCAGGGCCCCAACATCATCCCAGCAGACATCATCTTCATCGTAAAGGAGAAGCTACACCCTCACTTCCGCAGGGAGAATGACAACCTCATTTTTGTGAACTCCATCCCCTTGGGCAAGGTGAGTGGCTAAAGCGGAAAATTCGGGGGTGGGTGGGTCAGAGTGAGCTCCTCCTGCCCGATGGGCGGCCCCGAGGCAAGCAGGCCTTTGGAATGTGGTGAGTGCCACTCGGAATCTTGGTGGCCAGCTTCACTCCTGAGCATGAGTGTCCCCCCTCCACACCCTTACAACCCAAGCAAGAAACGGCACCAGCCTAGACTTTGCTTCTCCTCCCCTGCCCACCTGCAGTCAGTCACTAAGTCCCGTCAATTCCACTTCCAAGTCCCTCTCCACTTGGTCCACTTCTGTTCATCCCCCCCATCTGGGTCTGAGCAGCAGTCTCTTTGGTGGCCTTCCTGACTCCACCAGCAGTTTCCTCATCTGACCGTGCCACACTCCTGTCTAAACATCTTTGCATGGCACTGGAGGCCCTCTACAATCTGGCCTGTGCTGATCTCATCCCCTGCCCTCCAGCCACCATGCCACTTAGAGCTGCTGCCCATTTGGTACATTTTCACACCTTCATTCTCTTGTTTATTCTGGCCCCTCTGCCTGAAGTGCTATCTACCCACCTTGTCTAACTGGTAAGCTCCTCCTCCCCTTTAAAACCCTCATCAGCTGCTACCAGCACAGTGTAACCCTTTTGTTCACTCCAGAATGGTTTGGGAGGGGGGGGGCTCTCCTTGGCTCCCACCGACCCCTCTACTTCCCTCTATCATAACACATATCAACATCAGTCTTGCCTACCAGACCGAACTCCTTGAGGGCAGGTAATTGTCTGGCTCACTCACCTGTTAGTTCTTGGATATCCCTTTATCTCCTTGAGGCTCAGCTTGGGGCCTGGTACGAAAGAGGATTATAAAGTGCCTTCTAAACAGAATGGCCATGGGGCCCTTCCCTACTCCTGCCTTTGGCCCTAATGCCCCCTAGGCTCTGACCTGCTGCACCGTGGAGGTGAAGACCCTAGATGACCGGCTGCTCAACATCCCCATCAATGACATCATCCAGTGAGTCCATCTGCTCGGGCCTCCTTAGGCAGAAGCGCTGGCTTGGGCCTTAGAGGGTAGCATCAGACAGGTTGGCCTAGTGCAGTTGTTGAGGTTGCACTAAGCACAAGGGGGCGAGAGAGGACTAAAATCCCGTCTCCACTCTGCCTCTCCGGCCAACGGGGTGCCTTTTTCTAACTTTCACAAAGCCCCTTTAGAGGCCCACAGTGTTAGGCAATCCTTGTTGCCTTCATCTTCCATCCTCCAAAAGCTCTCACTAGAGTTCTGAGTTAACCCCAATGAGCCCTTTGCATGGGAAGCTTTTCTCAGCAGCTCAGCACTCCCCACCAAGCCAGGGGCTACTCACTTGTTTCCCACCTCTACAATGAGATTCCGAAATACTCCCAGAGACTCAGTGTAAATGGGTTCTCAGGGAGCAAACTATCTGGAACAAGCCAGCCTCCTCTCCTCCCACCCAGTTCTGGCTGAAGAACGCTACTGCCCAAGGTGGAAGCTGTAGCGACTGCCCCCTGCCTGAGGTGTGTGAGCAGGGGGGGCATGGGCTCTGTCCAGATGCTGCTCTGGGGTGCCCCCTCAACTCTCCTCTTTCATCTTCTCTCAGTCCTAAGTACTGCAAGAAGGTGCCAGGTGAGGGGATGCCATTGCCTGAGGACCCCACCAAGAAGGGGGATCTCTTCATCTTCTTTGAAATCCAGTTCCCCACCCGCCTCACACCCCAGAAGAAGCAGATGCTGCGCCAGGCATTGCTGACGTAACTGGTGGGCTGGGGGCTGCAGCAGGGGTCAGAGGAGGCTTGTGGGGGGCCTTACCCCACTTCTACTTCCCACAGCCTCGGGTGCTCAGGGCAGCCAGCCCACTGCACAGGTGTGGCATGAGGATGGGCTGACAAATAAAGATTTATTTGCTATCTTCTAGCTACTACACCCGGGAGTGTGTTGGAGGGACAGAAGCTTCATATAGCCCCTCTTGGGTCCCTGCCCTGACTTTGTGGGTGTGGCTGGGTCCCTGAGGGTTCAGAGCCTTTATGTTTCCACCTGGAGAGCCCGGGGCAGTGCTGTGCAGCCTGAGGGTCCCCAGCTCTGCTGATTTCTCAGGACACGTGGTCTTTAAAAAGGGCTCAAGTCTCTAGTGTGATAAGGTCACAATGTACTGGGGGAAACTGAAGTCTAAGGAAACACTTGTCTCAGGGCTGTGGCACAGCTGTCATCAGAACCTCAAAGGCCACTTCCCAGACTCAGCCTGCCCAGAGAGGCAGCACAAAGGACACAAGCGCTGGAAATGGCCATTTTCTATCCTGCCAGCCTCAACTCCCTGGCCTGAGCAGCGAGTGGGTCCTGGGCTGCCTCTAGGCATGGTGGCCTTGGAGACCCTTCCTCAGCTCTTTGTGAGGACCAGGTCATTGTGTGAAAGTGCTTGGTGAACTTGATTTCAGGCCCAGCACTGCTGTCCAAGTGGCCTGCAGGAGTGCCAGCCTCCAGATCCAGCGGAGCCTGTGCAGACCACTTGCCTCATCTGCCTTCATCGGTCAGACTGCGAGGTGGGCAGCTCTTCTGTGCCAAGACTCTCCCGAGTCTAGGCTTGGGCTGGGATAGGTCGTTTTATGACAGGGTAAGTGGCCACTTTTGTGAAGACTTCGGAGGTGGCAGAAAGAGCTCCCACATTGTTTGGATCCCACCATTCAAAGCATCATCATTAGCTTAAGGCTCTTCCTCCAATGGGGACTCAGCAGCACTAGTCTGCCATTTGTAACCTATCAGGGAACGGCAGCAGCAGCCCAAGGTGTAGGATCTGGACCTGGGGTCTAGGGAGCACCTCTGCATAATCATGGCTTTGGAGTCAGATATACCTCAGATGTGCTGCTCACCAGCTGTGCCCTTACGTAAACTCCTTCCCTTCTCTGAAATCTCAGACTCATAACAAAGATTACAACCCCTATCTTGCAGTCCTTCTGCAAACCAGGTGAAGCCAAATATGACCTCTGAGGCACAACCTGGGTGACTGAGTGGTGGTAGCAGCCCTGTTCTGAGAACAGCGGCTAGGTAAGGACATGTGGGCCTGCACTGGGATATTCCAGCACTCCAGGTCTCCACCAGGCCAGCTGGAAAGCCTGCTACCTCTTCCCAGAGCGAGACTCAAGATCTTGTTTTTCAGCCAAGAAAGGATGTAAGGAGATAGTGCCATGACTTGTGCTCAAAACCTGGGTCCACTCTATCAATCTCCAATTGATACCTTGTGAGCAGGCAAAGCAGGGCCTATCACACACCCATTTTATAGGCATTAAGGACTGAGGACCAGTTAGAGGCCTAGTGGTGGTACGCTGTCCAGTGGCTCCTACCACCTTTCCCAGCTCATTGCCCCTGGATCATACCCGGAACCATGGTGAAACCTGGCGCACGCCTGTCCATGTCTGGGACACGAGCCTGCTGAAATGAACCAGCTGACATGCCTAGGGTGACAAATTGCCCCTCAGGTCCTCTGGTGTAAAACAGTGACAAGGTGCCGCAGACATATTGCCAGGGGCCTCCATTTACACTGACTGCCTGTAGCCCCGAGAAGAGCTTGGCTGAGTTGCCCAGCTTCACTGTGAATCCACTCATGGCACCCCGCTGTCCCTCTTGGGGACTGAGACCTTGGGTTAGTTTGTCAGAAGCTGGGCCCTTCTTCCTTCTCCAGGAACCTGTTTAATGTCCTGAACCGCTTGCCCAGGTGCTGAAAGCCTCGCCGCCAGCTATGACCAATGGAAGAGCAGCAGCATCAGCTGTTTTAGGCTGTGAGGAGGGTCACGTTCTCTCAGCCTGGCTCCACAGCTACCCAACAGGATTCCTGCAGGACCCCAGCAAGGGTCTCTGTGGGAAAGAGTCCACGGGGGAGGGAGGAGTCCGAGATCAGCTGCTGAGATCCTGTGTCCTTGCCCGCATGACCTGTCTCAGCCCTCAGATTCTTCAGACATCTATGATGGGTCTGGTGGGCTTAATTCTAAGGGCTCAGCCCTGCATGAGATATTTGAGATTTTAGGACCTCAGTCCCTGACCCCTTGAAACAAAAGTAGCCCTGCCCATCTGCTTTCCTGCCTGAGGACAGGTGGTAGGAAGAGGGACAGAAATGTGTCAACCCCAAAGCAGCTAAGCCAGCGCTTGCCATTGCTTCCTTGGGATCTCTAGCCCGGGGAGAGGGTGAGACTCCAAGTGTAAAGTACCCTCAGGCTGAGGCCAGATGTCTGCCCGGAGGCCTGCCCTCCCAGAGCAGCAACACTGTCTCCCAAGGATGGGAACCTGGAGGATGGGAGGCAGCCCAACTCGCCCTCACTAGGTCTGGGACTTTGGGGAGGTCAGTTTCCCATTTATAAAATGGAATAAAGTAAGCCCACAGCATCTGATTCCCAAGTTCCTCTAAATCTTCCAAGAAGCACGGAGATGCAGAGCAGACAGGAACACTCATTTTGCAGATCAGCAGGCCTGGGGCCAGCTGAGGGGCAAGAAAGGCAAATGTTGGAGTACCAAGCACTGGCGGAAAGCTCAAGGAGCCTGGTGACAGCAAAGCCACCACTCCTTCTCTTGCTACCTCAACACCAGGCCTGTTCTGGAAAGAGAAACAGACTAGATGACGTCCACGGGCCCCAGATTGGACACTGGAGATGAAAAGTGGGTTACACCAACCCTTTCAAGTTAGGGTGGCTTCCCCAATGCCACCCAGTCACAAAGGGCCCATCCAACTAAGACCTCTGCTAACAGCTATAAGAGAGGGAGGAGACACCAAGATTGAGCTTGTTTTATGGATGACGTGCTGGCTTAGCTTGGGAACAAGATAAAGAGATGGGCTGAACTTCTCAAGGGTCTGAGGGGCTTGGGATCCTGGTTGGTGACAATTGGGGTCAATTCCACCAGGACTGAGAGGCAATGGGGAGATGAGGTAGGGAGGAGAGGTAAAAATGTGGGGAGAGGGAAGGGAGATGGTAGAAATGGGAGGAGAGGGTAGGGAGTGAGGGATGGGAAGGAGGGGAAGAGGAAAAGGAGGGCCTGGCTAGAGCTGAAGCCAAGCCAGAGGTGGTCAGGTTGGCAGCAGGAGAGGCTCAAAAGGGAGCCTCCCGGGAAGTGCAGGCAGCCATGAGGGCCCGTTTCAGCTGCTCATAGGTGACAAACATCACCACGTTCCAGGAACCCAAACGGAGGAAGGAAGGCATGAACCTAGAAGGGAGAAAACACAGGTCACAGGGGACACCTCCACCTCCTGCTCACCCCACGGGGCCCTGGCATCCAATCCAACCCAGTGCTTTGTCCCAAAGGAGGTTGGGAGGGCCCAGGGCCTCACAGCTGTGTAGCTGTGAGCAAGAATGCCCTGTGAGTCTCCATTTAAATACCCACAAAGCAGACAGCAACTCTGAGAGGAAGGAGTTATGAGCATGAAAGAATGCCGATGAAATACCAGGACCGTGATCAGAAAGTTTGATACTGGTTGCTACTCAGTTCCAGGTGTAATAGGAGGCCTGCAATCGGGTGGGGTGGGTCACAGACTCACCCTTTGTAGAAGGCTCGGGGACCCTCCTTCTGGAGCATGGTGAGGGCACATTGGCCAGCGCTGCTGTACTGGCCAAGGGCAGAGTTCATATATCTCGTCTTGACTACGTCGACAGGGGAGGCAATGATGGTGGTGCAGAAACCTGCCCCGAAGGCAGAAGTGAAGTGGCAAGGAAGGTCATCTGTTGAGGAGGAGGAGCAGGCAAGGGGGTCAGAACTCCTCGCCCCATCATTCCAGAAGGAAAGAGGTTATTTAAGTAAGTAGCTGGGGTCTTGTGATTTTAGAGAGACAGAGACTTCAACTGGGACCTCTCCTGAGAAGCTAAAAGTCATTTTGCCCGCCTGGCCTCAAAGCCTCAGTGTGCAAAGTGGGAACTTCATTCCACCTGGCTTCAATATGCTAGTGAGAGGACCTCATTCTACAAGCCAAGAAGAAACAGGATGAAAAGATGTGGCTTTCTGGAAATCAGATTGCCACATCTGATCCTGGGCTGGGGGAAGGGTGAGACCCAGAACCATTTACCCTAACTCACCTGTCATGAGGTTGGCTTTCAGGAGGGCATCCTTGATTAGGTCGTAGGTCACCAATTCAGCACAGTTCACAATAGCATTACGGGCAATATTGGGAGAGGTCCCTACAGAAGGAAGGAGTGTCTACGTGAGACCAGGGAATAGGGAAGACGAAGAAGAAAAAGGGAAAGAAGAAACATCTGGTACACACCTTTCCAGAGTCCCCGGAACCCTTCCTCTCGGGCTATGGTCTTGTAGGCATCAACAGTACTTTGATATCTCTGGCCACCTCCAGCCCGGGCCTGAGCCTGGAACCGGACCTTTACCACATCCGTGGGCTGGGCCACAGCCACAGCCAGGGCACCTGTGGTGCTGCCTGCCAGGAGGCGGCTCCCGATGCCGGCATCTGTGGGAGAACCAGGAAGGTCAGTGTCCAGCTGGGCTTGCACTCATATTCTGCCTCTCCTCACCAAATACACCGTCTCTTGCCTTTTGGGAATAGGATCCAGACCAGCTCTTCCTCTAAGAACTCCCCACATCAAACAAATGAGAAAACCTAGGTTCAGAGAGAAGTGGCTTTTCCAAGGATTGGGACACACAAGACTTGATCTACTTCTCCCTGCCACGTGATCTTAGCAAAAGTCAACCTTTAATCTGGGCCCTGAGTTTCCACATGTGTAAAACAGAGGGTGGACATGGCACGCTGAGAAGAAACAAGAGTGCTGGCCTTTGGAAGCTAAAGTCCTGGGTGTGTTTTTTGCTTCCCTCTGTGTGCCCTTGGCTAAGTCCTTCCTCCCATGCTACCCCCAGCAAGGCTCAGTCTCTTCATCTGTAACATGGAATACCACCTACTCTCAAAGTGGTTCTGAGGATTATCATGGGAGGACGCCCTACTCAGAGCTGGCACAGCCCAAAAGCTCAGAAATCATTAGAATCAGGGCCCTAAAGGAGCTAGGCAGCGAAATGAACTAGATCAATCACGACTGAGAAGAAAAGGCTAAGGAGTCTACAGCCCAGCTCCACACTTACGCTCAGAGCCCTTGGTGTAGAACTGTTTGACAGAGTCATAGAGGCCAATGCGGACAGATGCAAAGCTCATCTGGCGCTGCAGGCCGGCGACCAGCCCATTGTAGAGGCTGCGGGGACCCTCGGTGCGCGCCATGGTCAGGATGGTGCCCAGCACGCCGCGGTACTGGACACTGGCTGCAGCTCGCACTGCCCCCTGCTTTTCTCCTTGGATCTGCAAGGCCAAGACAGGTATAGGAATAGACAGGTTGGCATACCCATGCTCCCAAGTTTACAGACCCAAACCCACTGGCCCTTGAGGAGTCCGTGTCTTGGGGAGAAAACAGACCAGATAGGATTCCTAGGCTTCATCCCCTCACCTGCAGCCGGACTTTAGCAGTATCCAGGGGAAAGGTGATGAGATCTGCAATGCATGCAGCTGTGCCAGCCCCCAGGAACTTCACAGTGGCAGTAGGGGGCACATCTGTGGCCTTAAACCCAACCATGATGCCAATTTTCTGCTGTCTTCCAGGAGATGAAGAAAAGTTGGAGAAGGGGGCACCTTCAACCAGCAACAAGACGAGATAGAGGAACTCTGCCGGAATCTAACCAAGGAGAGAGAAGCCCCATCAATTTCCCTGCTCACCACCCTGACCCCTACCTTCTCTGACAGCAACATCTCCCTAAACAAGGACCAGAGTAACCCTATGAGGGAAAATCGCAGTGAGCTCTGGAGGTACTCAAATAGGGGCTGAAGAAGCAATTCCTGCCCAAGGAGTCCAAATTTTGTGAAGAGCTTTCACTACCGGGAAAGTCTGGATCACAGATATTCTAGTGTTCCTCAAATAGGCCCTGGCCCAGACCTCCGTCTGCTGGGCCCAGAGATTTCACGCATGAAGCCCACATTCCTGCGCCTGCGGATCTGTCTGAAGGGCACAAGTGAGGAGAAGGTTTCAGCTAGATCAAGACCTGACAGGCATAAACCTGAAGGCTTCCACCTGGGTTTCTTAAACAAGAGATTCCTAAGGGTCTGGAATTGTCTAAGTCTGTAAGAAAAGGAACAGGTATTCAGTTCCTTCCCATCCCATCAGTCTCATTCTTTTCCCCAGCACTCGCACAGCGTGGGCTCTCCTGAATCATTCTTTCAACAAGAACGAGGTAGGTCCTGGTTCACTGAGATGCAGGAGACAGTACCTACCCTAAAAGGGGCTGACTGTCTGGCACAGGGAGTAGGCAGGTGATTCAAGCTGCACTGGGGCTTGCAGGACATACTGTCAAACTGCAGAGGCGGTAACAGCTAACTCTATTAAGAGAGAGGTAAGGAAGAGTGGGTCATCAGAAGACTTAGGCAAGGTAACACTTAGCTGGACCTTGAAGGATCCTAGGCAATTCTCGGGGCTGAGAGTAGTGCCTAGGTGCTCAACTTTCTTCCCCTGCCCTACTGTGTGATTCAGGGAAAACCGACTCTCCTCCACCATCGGGGGACCCACAGCATCACCACAAGAGAAATGGGGGTGGGGAGATGCAAGCCAGAGATAGAGTGACACAGGAAACCAAAAGCACATTTTGTTCTTAGAGTTGGAACAACGCCCTTCCCTCCCCCGCTGCAGAAGGGAGGAAGTGAGCCTAGCACCCCAGTGGGGGAGGACGACCTGAGCTCACTTCTCTGATTTCATAGGAGCAGCTGTTCTGAACCCAGTCTGATTGGCTGCCTCTGTTGCTGGGGCCAGGAGGCAAAGGCTGACCAGCAAAGGGAGGATCTGGTGGGAGTCAACTGTGAACACACAGGCCCATGGAAACAAACAGCTCACAAGCTGCTTCCTCCTGGGCTTCCCCGCCCAGGTGGCAGGGGCAAACAGGCCCAGGTGGCAGGAGCAAACAGGGAAATCCAGAGCCTACTCACCACTCCATTGCATCAGGAGCTCCTACAGGGCGGGGCTTACTTTCCCTTCCCTGGAGCCTGGCCCACTTGAGGCTCAGTTAAGGTGGGCGCTCAAATGGCACAAAGGGTGGAGGATTAAGATGCTTCAGACTCCCTGGCTTCCCTGCTCTGCTACCCTCATCCCCCAGAAGGTGCTCCACCCCACCGCCTGGGGCACTTTATTGGCCCACTTGGCCCTCAGAGCAGCCCTGCGAGGTGGCCACCCTTACTTCCATATGAGGAGGGAACTTAGTAAGACAGCTATGTCTACAGGCTCCAAAGCTTACGCTATTTGCTTTGTACTGTGCCCAGCTCATTTCTTTCAAGGGTTTTCTCAGCAGGGCCTTTCACAACAGAGTCCAACAGCCAAATTCTCTCGTGCCAATATGGCAGTTCTGAGAAAGTAAAGCCAAGTGGCATCCCTTCTCTGGGCATCTGAGACATGAGGACATGAGTCTCACCTCAAAGACAAGCACACAAAGACTCAGCTGCCATTTTGAATGTTGCCTTGGGTTTGCCACAAGTCAGGTCCTTCAGGGGCATGGTATGGGGTTAAAGGCCACCTCTGCTAAAGACCCTACTAAAAAGGGTGAGTAAAACTCAGGCCTAGGAAGAATTAATCATATTTTGCAGTCCCCGGAAAATAACCAGTTTCGGTGTCCAGAAGCAATGTATCTTATGACCAGTGTCAGTCCCGGGGGCAGTAAAAACTGAAGTAAAACCCCATGTAGTTAGAACAATCGGTTCCTCTTCTGCGGATTCCCAGGCCACCCAGGGCCACCCACTGTCCCACCGGGCTCAATTTCCTCCTCTGTGATAAGGGGGACCATTATCCTTGGCTTGTCAGGGTCGCCCAGGAGCCAGAATGAGAGCAGGGATACATGAGGCTTTGTGAACTGTGAAGAGTGACTTCCCTGGGGCGGTGGCGGCAGTTATTTCTGTTAATGTCTTGCTGACTCCCCACCTCCACCCCAGGCCCAGGGCTGGGAGGCAGCAGGAGACCCCCTTCGACTGGACTCTCACCCGGCTCTGTAAGGTCTCACGCCGAGGCCTCCAAGATCAAGCTTCTCTAAAGGCGTCCCATTCTTCAAAGCTGCCAGTAGCTTTCATGGTCCGGTCCTGTTGGTTTCCCATAGAAAATGGCCGGGAGACGGAACACCTAAAGGTCATACTATGTGTCCTGTGAATAAGGGCAAAGAAGGGGAAACTTAGAAAGCAATTCACCTAAAAGGTCCCCACCCTAGGAAGGACAGGGCACCTGTCCCAGGCACAAAGCCCACTCAGTCCGTGCTGGGGAGGGGGGCAGGGGCCATTTCCTCAGGGGCCAATTCAGGGCACACAATGGAGGGAGGAACTGACCCCGGGAATCCTCCCTCCCTGTCTGCTGAGCACCACACCGGCTCTCGCCCGGGCTTCTGTTCTGGTGGCCCGCGGTCTCTGGAAAGCATCCCCCACCCGTCAGCAGACTGCTGAGCAGGAGTGTGAGTGGGGGTGGGGGGTGGGGAGCGGGAGTGGCATGATGGGTCAAGAGAGACTCGATGAGTCCACCAGGGCCCAGAGCAGGGCTGCCAGGAGGTTAGAGGAGCCGGCATCAGGCCCAGCAGCGGCCGGTTCAAGCAGCTCAAAGCCCCTCCACGCGGAAGTAGCTCCGACAAAGGCCTGGAGCCCCCGGGAAAGGGAGAGGTCCTCCTGGTCATCGCGGATGCGCCAGAAGGTCCCCACCCAAGGCAGGGCTGGCATTCTGGCCGAGGGAAGGGAGTGGGGGTGAAGTTTAAACCTGAACAGGAGAGGTAAAGAACAAAAGCGAGATAGGAAAAGGGTGAAAGAAGAGAGATAAAGGACGGACCGAGAGGAAAAATACAAAATAGGTTGGGAGCAGAGAAGGGAAATTACTAGCAAGGAGAGGGAGGCGCGGTAGCAGGCGCGGAGCATGTGCAGCAGGAGCAGCCTGGGCGGGCCGGGGCCGGGCTCACCGGGCCGCAGGGAGAACACGAGACGAGCGTGCGGGTGGCTCTGGCTGTCGGCGGTCGGCGGGCGCGGAGAGGGAGCGCAGACGGTGTGCAAGGGCGCGGTCGGCCGGGCGTGCAATGGGGTCTGCGGAAGCTGCCCCGGCGGCTTAAGTTCTGGGGGCGGGGCCTGCGGGGCCTCCCTTGCCGCCGCCTTTCCGGCGCGGCCCTAGCTGCACGCGCCCGCCTGCACTCCCATTTCCGGGCGAGCGGGCGGACCCCCGCGCCCACCGCTCAGGTCCCTTCCCCCCACCCCCGGGGTCCCTCCCTGCCCCCCGTCCGTCAATGTCGTGAGACTGGCAAGACTGACGCCAGGGAAAGGAGCGGAGGCTGCCCCGTGTCGCACACGCCTCGGCCCCGCATTCCCCGCCAGGGCCCTTTCCAGCAGCGTCCCAGGGCTCGGCAAACCGCCGCGGGCCTCGGGCGCGAACGGGAGCGCGGGCTCCCGCAGGGCGGGGCCTCCCGACCGGCCTCGCTGGTGATTGGTTAAAGCCGCCGCGTCGGCGGAAGGAGCCGATCCGGGCGGCAGCAGCAGGTGGCCGGCCCGCCCCGGCCGTTACGAACAGCTGGACTTCCTGCCTTCTCCCGCCTCGGCGCCCCGGGGGAGGCTTCCGGCCGGGCGGGGCGGGGCACCAGGCGTGAGGCGCGCGGACCGGCGCCCCGCGCGTTAGGTTTTGTTCGCCCCTGGACTCTGTGTCCCTACTTTTGTGTACCCTCTTCCCCTTCCTTCCACTGCTGTCGTCTTTGCTTCCAGGCTGTTTGTAAGGGGACGCTGTCTTCCTGTCTCAGACCAGGAAGGTAGTTCCTGTATTTTCAGTATCACAGCCTCCAAGGGCCAATAGAAACCTATTAGAGGCCTGGTGCACGAAATTTGGGTACCGGTAGGGCCCTTAGTCCTGTCAGGGCCAATCTGTGGGGAGACCGCTGGGGCAATGTGGGGGGACAGGGGTGGAGGGGCCCGCTGGCACCCGCCTTGGCTGGCCTGGGGCCTGTGGGCTGGGGGCAGCTCCTGTGTTGAGCATCTGCCCCCTGGTGGTCAGTGTACATCATAGCAACAGGCAGTTCTGCCGTTTGGTCCATTTGCATATTAGGCTTTTATTATATAGGAGAGTAGAGGCTCAATATGTGCCGTTTGGGCTGCTGTTGAAAGTGCCTTGAGCAGTGTAATGGGAGGACCAGGGGCGATGAACTTTGGTGAGTGCAGTTACTAATTCCGGTTCAGGGCGGCTGCTCCCCACCTTTCCCTGAGGCAGGTGTTAACCTCCATTTCACAGGTGAGAACACAGAGGCCCAGGAAGGTGAAATCAGCGGCCCAATGTCACGGCTAGGAAGTGGTGAGCCCTCACTCTAACCCTGGTCAGTCGGGCTCCGGGCGTGTGCTTTCTGTGTTGTCCACAAGCAGGAGGACTTGTCAGCCGAGGAAACTAGCTGGAATGGGATGGATAATTACAACAGGTGTCCAGGAAAGAACGTTGAAACCTATAGGAAAGTGTTATAGGAGTTTATTTGAACTAAGTTTTATAGCAGGTGCCTGGAAGCAAGATCTCAGCGGATTAAGAAAATGCTCCGGCTGAAACCGGTTTGGCTCAGTGGATAGAGCGTCGGCCTGCGGACTCAGGGGTCCCAGGTTCGATTCCGGTCAGGGGCATGTACCTGGGTTGCGGGCACATCCCCAGTGGGAGATGTGCAGGAGGCAGCTGATCGATGTTTCTCTCTCATCGATGTTTCTAACTCTCTATCTCTCTCCCTTCCTCTCTGTAAAAAATCAATAAAAATATATTAAAAAAAAAAAAAAGAAAATGCTCCGGAGAATGGCAGTTTGGTAGTTCCTTTTATGCCGTTGGGATCAGGAGAAAAGGAAGGTACGTGAAGTCTAGTGACAGGTGAAGGAGGCGGGAGAATGCAAAGCAGAAAAATCTCTAGGATTGGCTATAAAGCAAAACAGAAACGGACGTATTTTACATTGGTGGGCGCAGGATAGTTAATAATTAACATTGACAGCCCATTGGGATGGTATGCGGGAACAAGATAGCCAGGAGGGGTGCTGTGGTCTCCTGCGCTGGTGGTTTCATGATCTGGTGCCTGTGGGTGTGCCTTTGAGGGGATCTGGAAGAGAAAATTACTCTGACATTTCAATGGTATGTTACCCTAACTGAGTAAAAAGAATGGTCATGGCTCACTTTTAAGGTAAATGTTAGTCCTTGGACAGGCCTGGGACATCACCTGCTGTGACCTGCCCAGTTAGGAGCTTGTGCTCAGTCCGTCCTGTGTGGTTTCTTTTGGTCACGGAGCTTGTCAGACCTGCCACATTGCCCGCCCCCCTCCCCTCCCTCCGTGGTCAGGTTTATTACATTGATCCATTCACATCGGAAAGAAAAAGCACCCTAGCACACGGCCCTGGTAGAAGCAGAGGCAAAGTGGAAAGTGAGAAGCCAAAGAAAAAAAAAACTATTTCTGGCACTGTGGGGTCTCCCATCCACTGCTGGTCTTGAAAAAGCTGGCCTCGCCCTGACCGGTTTGGCTCAGGGGATGGAGCGTGGGCCTGTGGACAGGAGGGTCCCAGGTTCGATTCCAGTCAAGGGCATGTACCTTGGTTGCGGGCACATCCCTGGTGGGGGGTGTGCAGGAGGCAGCTGATCGATGTTTCTAACTCTCTATCCCTCTCCCTTCCTCTCTGTAAAAAAATCAATAAAATATATTAAAAAAAAAAAGAAAGAAAGAAAAAGCTGGCCTCCCTGTGAACATCCAGTGCAGGAGCACCTTCCTAAAGGAGGGAACAAAGTCAAGGACATGCAGAGAGAGTTTTCTACTGAAACGTCAGTTTTTGAAGGCTTTTCTTCAAAGGTGTGTGTAGCAGTTTTCTTACAAATTTTCTCAGTTCATTCAGAGCTAGACACCTAAACAGCTCTGAATTAAATGAGAAACAGGCCCGAGGAAACCAGCTAGCTTCTGTTGTGGCAACATCAGAGTTCTGTCTTATTGTTGACTCCTCAGTTGCTTCCTCAATGACTGTTTCCGACGATTCTGTACTTTCATTTGCTCTGAGCTACACGTTAAATAAGGTTTTCCTTTCTCACCAGAAGTGCCACCAAGTTTTCATTTTGCATGTTGACCAGAAGCGGAGACATGGGGACATATCCATAGAAACCCCTATCAGCTCACTTTGTTCCTTGATATTTGTTTTCTTGTTTTTGAAAACATGTTGTTACTGATTTCAGAGAGGAAGGCAGGGGGAGAGAGAGAGATAGAAACATCAATGATAAGACTCATCCATTGGCTGCCTCCTGCTGCAGGCCCCCTACTGGGGATTGAGCCTGCAACTCAGGCAGGTGCCCTGACTGGAAACTGCACTGTGGCGTCGTGGTTCATTGATCCATGCTCAACCGCTGAGCCACTCCAGCGGGACGTTCTTTGGTATTTGTAATGCTTGTAAACACCCATATTGACACAAGCAAACTCTCCTTGTAGCTCTGTTCTATCAAATGGAAAAGGTTTTTCTCATCCCATCATTCAACATCTGAGCTAAAGTAGGGATTACTTCAGGATTATGACTCCAAAAACAGTGACACTCAGTAATAACCCTGAAATATCTCTGATGGTTTTTGAAGTTTGGACAGTACAGTAAGTGAGGAGCTGATTCCTGGGCAGTGACTTCTGGATAACTGGTCTAATATTCTGGGGAGTACTATGGCTGATGGGCTGAATTCATTAGGGAGAGGAGCCATGGAAACAAGCAATGTCTAATTTTTGTTTAGAACTGTGCTTATAAGTCGCAGGGTCCAAATCAAGAAGGCTTCCACAGTGTAGGAAATCCAGAAGGAAATAATAATTGGATTGTTCTTGCTATGCAGTTGTGTGACTATATCATTATTAATACAGAGAGACAGTATTGCATTTCTCGGTAAGTTCCTGGTCAGGATACCTCCGCACTTCTTCACCAGTGTTTTGAACCTTTTCTAGTTTTGTAAAGAAGCTGTCCCAGAGACTTACGTGAGAATTTGCCAACTTTTGATGAAAGATTTCTCATCATTAAAAAGTTGAGAGTTTAATCAAATAGGAAATCAATAAGCTTTGTGTATCCTGTAGACAGACCCAAACTGCTTATACTGGCTGTGTCAGCTGGATCTTGACTATTTTTATCAGCATCAGAGCTGACAAAGCTTCTTGTCCTGCTTTCCTTTCCATCCTGTGATAAGAGTATCTTTTGTGGATCCAAAGTACTTTTAAATCTGTTTACAGATTAAACATTCTATCATTGCGAATGAAGTTGATCCACATTATTACTGTCTCTCCTTTTAAAATATTTTTATTTATTTATTTTTTTTAGAGGCGGGGAAAAGGGGGAGAGGGAGAGGGAGAGAGAGAAAGAGAAAGAGAGAAACACTGATTTGTTGTTCCACTTATTTATGCACTCATTGGTTGTTTCCTGTATGTGCCCTCACCAGAAGAGCAAACCCACAACTTTGGTATATCAAGATGACACTCTAACCAACTGAGCTACCCAGGCAGGGCCCTGTTTTTTCTCCTCCTCCTCCCCCTCATCCCCGCCCCCCATTATTTTTCTTCTTCCTCACTTGAAGATGTGTTTTTATTGATGAGAGAGAGAGAGAGAGAGAGAGAGAGAGAGAGAGAGAGAGAGAGAGATATGGATCGGTTGCCTCCCGTACTTGTGCCTCAATTGGGGATTGAACCCGCAACCTTTTGGTGTACGGGACCACGCTCCAACCAACCGAGCCACTCAGCCAGGGAAGGGCCCTGTCTTCTTATTGGCAAAGCCCAATCAGCAATACCTAGAAATATATTTCTTAACAAGGGAAAGTCTCTCTCAAGGACATTTGCAAGCTCTGCAACATCAGTATGCTCAACTATTGAAAAGAATATAGAGTTTGAAAGTTTCATCATCCAGTCATCTTGCATTCAACTCATTACAAAATCTTAAAGAGAATAAGATTGTCGTTAGATAGTGATACATTAAAAGAAAACATTTGTTATATAAACTATGTATCACATTGTAATCTCTAGTGATCTAGAGAGTTGAGGGCCTAAATTGGTGATCTTATCTACAGTATGGTTCTGTATATTTTTATGTCATTATCTGACCAGCCTGCACCACCCACCATGCCTCCTCTATGGCAGTCTCCACTGGCATTATTACTAAACAATGTGACCATTCTTCAAATGGACACATCACATGTGAACATTCTTCAAATTTCAAAAAAAAATTGATGATCTAGACTGATTTATAATATCACTGTACTCCTACCTTTTTATGCCAAGAAAACTCAGACACTCAGCTCTAGGAAAACTTGGCAGTGAAGCATAAATCTTATCACTGTTCACAATGTCCTCTGTAATACAAAAAAAGTTGTCCTTAGGCCTTTTAAAGGTAAAGATACAGCAAGAAATAATATTGACTATAATAGTTCCTCAAAGTATTTGCATTAATCTTTTTTGACATGTTTAAGTTATATTTCTGTATCATAACTGATTTTGGAAATGTAGAGAACAACCTGCTTTGCATATTTTCTCTGTGAATTTACAAGACCCTGTCGCATGTTGGCTGGCAGCTTTCTCTCTGGGTGGCTGTCCCTGATGTAGGACTCCCTGTCTGTGGTTGGGAGGGCCTTGGGACAGCTGTGGGGAGCCTGATGGAGGTCTCACTCTATAGCAGTGGTTCTCAACCTTCCTAATGCTGTGACCCTTTAATACAGTTCCTCATGTTGTGGTGATCCCCAATTTCATTGTTATAAATTGAACATAATTAAAGCATAGTGATTAATCACAAAAACAATATGTAATTATACATGTATTTTCCGATGGTCTTAGGTGACTCCTGTGAAAGGGTGGTTCGACCCCCCAAAGGGGTCACGTCCCACAGGTTGAGAAACGCTGCTCTATAGGCTTTAGAATGCCTGGACTGCTTTATGGGAGAGAACAGAGAACAGTGTCAGGGATGCATCAGAGAATTTAAGTTTCTTCATTAGATTATATTTTAAGAAGAAAAAAAGAGCTTTTAAAATCATCTCTCTTATAGATAACTAGAGGCCCAACACACGAAATTCATGCACAGATATGGCCCCTAGGCCTGGCCTGTGCTCAGGGCCATCTTCCCCAGCTGCCCGCAGCCAGCCCTGCCCCCTGCCACCACCCACCCCCAGTTCCCCGTTCGCCATTGAGTGATCAGTGCCTGATGGCCAGGGGAAGGGACCGAGAGGTCGGCTGTTCCAGCCCGCTTGTCGGCCCCGCCCCCGCCCCTGCCCTGGGTGGCCATGAGGCAATCGGAGCCTGCCGGCCAGGGAAGGGGACAAAGAGGTGGTCAGTGCACCTCATAGTGACTGGTCCAGTGGTTGTTCTGGTTGTTCTGCTGTTAGGGTCAATTTGCATATTACCCTTTTATTATATAGGATTCTCCAGGCCCACTAGCCTACTCTTATATTTGACCATTCCTCAATTTTATTGAAAGGATTGGAGAATGCCTTCATTTTGTTTCTATTTCAAAAATTTTGCCCGTATGACTCTTCTATTTTTAGGTTTCTCATATCCTTTCTAGAGCGTTTCATCCCACCTATACCCAGTATTCTGTGCTCTTTTGTTTTCTCTAGGGCCTTGCTTCAGCAGGCTTTTTGCCTCATCTTCAATCTTTCCTTATTTCTAGTGTTTGTGTGTGTGTGAATTGAACCTGCAGGACTTGCCTACTCTTTTTTTCTTCTTTTTGCTTACTCCTTTTACAACGGACATTATTTTTCTCCTTCCTTTCTCTGCCAAATTTCCCAATAATAGGCTGTTCTCTGACTTCTCAGCCTTTGGCACAACTTTTACATATTTGATAAATGAATAAATGAATGCTCTCACATTCATCTTCTCATTCACTTAACACCAGCCAAACGGGCCTTCTTTCTGTTCTTTGAACATGCCAAGCGCAATCTTATAGGGCCTGTGGACTGCCTGTTCTCTTTTCCTGGAACCCTCTTCCTCAGATATTTGCCCAGCCAGCTCCTCTTATCATCCCTAAAAAAACATTTTTACACACAATTGCACATGTCAGTCAAGTTAAAAATAAGATGAAATTTTATTTTATTGACTGGTTGATTTTATAGTGAGTGGAAGGGAGAGAGAAGAAAGAGAAAAAAATCAGATTTGTTGTTCCAGTTATTTATGCATTCATTGGTTGATTCTTGTATGTGCTCTGACTGGGAATCAAACCCAAAACCTTGGCATATTGGGGTGCTCTAACCAACAGAGCAACCCACCCAGGGCAGTAAGAGAACATTTTAAACAGGAATTTTAATTGAAAATCAAACCAGACATTAAATTGGTAATTTTTATCTTCTTGCTTTTGTTTGAATTTTCCAGTTTATATATGTAGATGATCTCAAATTACAATTTAAATTTAGGAAAGTGCTGAGTGTAAGTGGGTATTCACTTTCTCCCAGGTGTAGAGGAGTCTGTGTGGGGGAAGGAGGGATGACTTCGCTGGACATTCCTGTGAGGTGGGGATTGTTCCCATTTCTCTGGTAGGACACTGAGGTGCCAGGATTCCTGGTGGTTAAGCTGCTAGTGCGGTGAAGGTGGGGCAAGGTTTGAACCCAGTTCTGCCATCAGAGCCACACAGGCTGCTAAGAAGCAGAAAAACATGCTGGGTCCCCAGTGTCAACCTGAAAGATGTCTAGTCTTAAATCCAGAAGGTGGTCATCTGGTTCAAGCCTGCCTTTTACAGATGGAGGAGCCGAAGCTCTAACAGGCGGAGCAACCAGCCTGCAGGAGGGGAGAAGGCAGTGTGGGCATGTGGGCAGACCTTGCCCAGCCCTTACAAACAGGAAGCCTGAAGTGAGAAAGTGAAATTCTGTCCAAGAAAGAGAAGGCAGAAAAGTGGCTGTTTTCTTTCCAACACCCAAGGTGAATTCCTTTATTAAGTCATAATAATTTTCTAAAAATTCTGAGTCCTTATATTTACATTTGTACAGAACTTTTGCTTTTACAAAGTGCTTTTCTGTCCACTTTCCCACTTGATCCTCATGATAACCTGGTGAAGTAACAGGGATGGGATTTTTACTCCCATTTTACAGGAAGGAGACTGAGGCTGTCCTCTGGAATCTCCAGTGTTGTCAGGGACTGATGACGCGTCTCAGCCTCACACAGGCCCAGCAGTGCTCCTTTGGTACAAATTCCAGGTTTTCTCTTTTTCCCTCATGTTTCCTAGAATCCCAGTGGATTCGATATAGCAGACACATTACACAGACGGCTGGTGGTCCATGGTTAATCAAAGGCTGCGGGCACAAGCTTTATGTTGCTTTGGCAATGTCCTTCCAGGTTCCTGAGCCGATTGCCAAGCTATCATGTGCCACTCCCGACCAATGCTTGCAGTCTTTTCTTTCATTGTCTAATCAGATTTTCCAGTTTACAATCTTCCAATTTATCCAAATGGATCTGTTTGGCTTATTTTTTCTTGCCTAAATGTTAGGCATCCAACCTGATGGGCTTCAAAAATTAATATAATTTATTTGCTATCTTATCAGTGCAAAACAAAAACGTTAAGACAACACACTGAAAAAAAGAAAGAGGGAAAAAAAGAAAAAAAAAGAAAAAGACAATGCACTGAAGACCAGACTCCTTCCTCCTCTTCTCCTTCTGTTTCTTGAGTCATCAGCAAGTAAACAGCTCTGTAAACATGTGTGGGTCTGTGCCCGTGTGCGTGGACCCACTGCTTTATTCCATTCTTAACTGATTTTGTTCCAGTTGCATCCATGTGGCCTGACCTATTCAGAACGGAGATTCCCGTAGCATCTGGATGTTCATCAGGGCCCGTTTCAGCTGCTCATAGGTGACAAACATCACCACGTTCCAGATTCCCAGTCGCAAAAAGGAGGGTGTAAATCTGATGAGAAAAACAACCAAAACGTAAGGCGGATTGGAAAGAGAGCGGTGCTCTCCCCATCACAGCGTCAGTGCAAACGGCCTAGACTTGTGTTAGTCATGAACATTTTCTAAGGTCTGTTCAGTCTTTTTCTTCTCTAATGAAGGAATTCAGGCAGAAGGAAAGGAAGGAAAACTAGCATTTTTAGCCAGGTTACTCTATCAGGCAGTTATTCTCGCAGTTCTATAAGATAGCTGATTGTTGCCAGTTGTCGTTTTCGGAAACTGCCACCCAGCGAGGTTAAGTAGTTCTTTTACAGCCACGTGACTCCCTCAGCTGCCAGGTGATTCTGGGCTCACATTCTGAATGTTCACCCCTGATGAGGTGCCTGCCAGGGCACCGAGAAGCTGGGATACCGCAGGGCAAAGACAGTGTAACACCAAGTTTAGCTCATCTCCGGGGAGCCTGCCTGTCCTGTCCCCACCTCAGCTTTGCTTCACGGACTCCGGGAGGAGCCTGCGACCTGGCCCTGCCCTCCTCCTCAGCCTCTCTTTACTGATCTCCTCCTGGTCCTCTCTGCTCTGCCAGACCCTTATTTCCAAGCCTTTGCCCATGTTTCTCCTTCTGCTTGGAATGTCCTTGCCTAGCTGGTTGCTAATGGCTCTGTAGGAATTGGCTTGGTCATCATAACCTCATGCCAAGGCCCCTCCTGAACCCTTAGCCTCGGTTCCTCAAAGGGAGTATAGTCCTGAGGCAATGAACGTGAACTCTGGAGTCACACCTGGGTTTAAATCTTAGCTCTACCAGTTTTTAGATTCATGATCTCAGCTGAGTTAATCTTTCTGAACATCAGTTTCCTTATCTGTAAAAGGAGGAAAATACAGTAACGGTATCTACCTCATAGAGCTGTTGTGAGGATTAAATGAGTTATGCACTGCACACAGCACAGGGGCCAGTACCAGAAAATGCTCAATAGATGTCACCTACTTGTCTACTGCTCTTTGAGGAAGGATAGCACAAGGTCCGCACCCATGAGATGCAAAGCAAATGTTTCCCAAGTAAAATAATAAACAGAGAGAAGTGGCTACAACTTCAGATTGTAATCATAGAGGCACTTATGGGAAAAGAACAGATTGTCAGTGGAAACACAGACTGATGATGTCATTCCCAGGAGTTAGAACCTGTTTGCTTACTGAGTTCAATCTAACCATGGGCTCCAGAAAGTTCTCACCAGTGGTGGGAGGTGAGAGGGTGAAGAAAAGAGCATAGCACTACAATGAACATGTTGGGTGAAGTCTGATGGTTTGGGTTCGAGCTGTGGCTCTGCCGTTTTAATTTTGTGATCTTGGACAAGTGACTTGATATTTATGAGTCTCTTCCTCAGTAAATGTGAACAATACTGCCCAGTTCAGGAGGTTGCTGAGTGTTCAGCACAAGGCCTAGTACTCAGTGACTTAATGATCATGATGTAGCCTCTGTATTGAGTGATGGCTTTGTACTTGGGACTCAGGGAGATGAAAGATGTACAAGCCACTAGTCCTTGGCTTCACAGAGCTTACACTCTAGCATGGAGGATAATTTAAACTTACAAATACCGTAACACAAAGTAGGAGGTGGTAAATACCATGTGAATGGTATCAAGGAAGTATTGCTGAAGCTCACAGGGTACTTGAGAGTATCGGGAGGAGGTGGCTTGTCAACTAGTCTTGAAGGACATTTTGACTGTTGCCAGAGGGTGTTGAGGGGATGGGTAAAAAAGATGAAGGGATTGCCCGACCAGTGTGGCTTAGTGGTTGAGTATTGACCTATGAACCAGGAGGTCACAGTTTGATTCCTGGTCAGGGCACATGCCCAGGTTGCAGGCTCAATCCCCAGTGTGAGGCGTTCAGGAGGCAGCTGATCAATGATTCTCTCACATCATTGATGTTTCTATCTCCCTCTCTTCCTCCCTTTCTCTCCGAAATCAATAAAAGTATATTTTTAAAAAAGGTGAAGGGATTAAGGAGTATAAATTGGTAGTTACAGAATAGCCATGGGGCTGTAAAGTATAGCACAGGGAATATAGTCAATAATATTGTAATAACTATATATGTTGCCAGTTGGGTACGAGACTTATCAGGGTGATGATTTCATATATAAATGTCTAATCACTAGGTTGTACACCTGAAACTTATATAATATTGTACATCAACTATAATTGAAAAATAAAAAATTATTCAAAAAATATTTAGAGCATGTAGATGGCACGGGAAAGGCATTCTATGCAGAGGGAACAGTAAATGCCAAGACACAGAATCAAGAGAACGTGACATACTTTGGCCCTTCAGGTGCCATCAGTGGTGATCCGCAGTGTGGCAGTGGGTTGGGAAAGTTCTCAGGGTTACTAACCACCTTTCCCTCCTTCCTGGCCCAGTGAATTTGGGGACAGCACTTTGACCTACGCCTAGACTCCTTTTTCTCAAATAAGCCTCCCCTGACTCTCCAAATTGGATTTGGCTCATTTCCCCCCCAACCTCCATAGTTCTTGATACTCTCCTTTGTGGCATTTACATCTGTACTGTTCACCACTGCATCCCAGAGGGACCCATTGTAGGCACATTATTCATGAAAGGAAGAAAGGAAAGAAGGAATAAAGGAAGGAAGAAGGAAGGAAGGAAGGAGGAAGGAAAGGGCAGGAGGAAAGGGGAGGGAAGGAGGGAGAAAGAGTGAGCCAACTTTTCTGGAAGGGAGTATGGAGGCGGGAGGGTTAGGCTCACCCCTTGTAGAAGGCTGAGGGACCCTCCCGGGCCACCATCTTCAGCATACAGTCCAGGGGGCTGCGGTACTGGCCTGGGAGCGAGTTCATATACCGGGTCTTCACCACGTCCACTGGGGAGGCCACCACTGTGGCACAGAAACCGGCTCCAAAGGCAGACACAAAGTGGCAGGGGAAGTTGTCTGCAGCAGGGAAGGGAAGAGCGAAGACGGGGCTGTGCGATGGGGTGAGCACTTGCTTTCTGTCCCATGTGTGCTTATCGTATGTCCCCAGTTTAACGGTGAACTTGAGCATAAGGGTGGTATTTTCCATCTCTCACTGCCCTGGGTGGAGCCCCTGGTAAGGACTGGCAAGATAGGACTGAGCCGTCCCACAGTTGGAAGGTCATCCAGCCCAACCACCTTGTTTGAGGAAACTGAAGTCAGAGTAGGTGATCCCCACTTAAAGATGCATGGTGAGAAGTGGTGCTGGGCTGGAAGCCAGGTCCCGGCTTCCCCGTTCAGGCCTTCTCCCTACTCGTCTCAATGACGTACGGGCACTGCTCCTCTCTGATCTGTCTAAAGCCCCGTTGCCTCTGGGTGGTGCCCACTACGTGGCATTCCAGGTTCCTTCCCTGCTGTGGGAGGGCTGTCTGCCTGGAGCCCAGGGCCTCACCGGTGAACAGGTGATAGTCCAGCAGCTTCTCCTTGATGACGTCATAGGTCACCATCTCAGCACAGTTGACGATGGCATTCCTCGTGATGTTGGGGAAAGTTCCTGTTGGAAAGGGAGTGTGGGCTGATAAATGGGGAGTAGAAGAAGTGGAACCCTGGCTGCAAGGCCATAGACCCCAGTTTGGGGGGCATGGTGCCCCCTTCCAGTGGTCTTAGAGAGCCCATCCACTCCACTGAGCAGATTACACATAACCTAGTGTTAACAACTCTCAGATTATCCATGTCCTCCTTAGAGGCAGAAAACAGAGAGGCCCACTTGTGTTTGTTTGGGGAACATTTTGGAGGATAATCTGCAAAACCTATCAAAATTTACATATACTCCCGAGACTTGTCTAAAGGAAGTCTTTCTTTGGAAGAGGAAGGTGGGCTCTTGCAACAGTGACAGAGTGCAATGTTGGCAGCGTCCAGGAGCGCATCAAGACCAGCCCTTGGTTTCTCAGAGGAGAGCCAGGCTCCGGGAGGGCCCAGCGCAAGTGAGTGCAAGGCCTGGGCTCTGACCCAGGTGTCCGTCCTGCTCTTAACCTTCACTGGGCCACTGTTTCTTCTGATGGATCCATGGGACCCCTGGTCTCCATGTGGGAGGCACTCCAGCATTTGTCAGGGTTGCCACCATTTAGACAGGAAGGGACCCTTAAAGCCGTGCTCCCAAGGAATTCCCTCTTCACAGCACCTCCTGTGCCCACTCCTCACAGCTGCCTCTGTGTCTTCTCCACGCCCTGCAGCCACCTCTCCAGCGTTTGCTTGGAAGGTCCTCCCTGCGATCTCCACACTCAGAGCCTGCAGAGCCTTTGCGGCCCAGCTTCGGCGTCGCCTTCCCTCCAGAGCCCACATGGCCCTCCTGCCTCCGGGACTGCATCTCTTGTGGACCTCGCACATCCTGCCCCGTGGTATGGCTGCTCCTTGACACGTCTCCTCCCCTCTGTGCGGGCGTGGAAGGGCTCTTCTGTTCACTCCTGTCTCCCTCTCAATAGCCTGCACATGGTGGAGGGTTGGCAAATTGAGCTGAACTGGGAGCACTGTGGTAAGTCAGGAGGGACTTGAGGTAGGACGCTCTTTCAGAATCACTGGAATACTGTACACTATGCCGGGAGCTCCCTCGTGGCTCAGTTCTCTGCCCCAGCCCTAGGGTAGGAAAAGCTCTGCCGAAGGCCCCCTGAGACTGGAGTCCAGACTTACCTTTCCACAGGCCCCTGAGCCCCTCCTCCCTCGCGATGGTCCTGTAGGCATCCATTGTCCCACTGTACTTCTTGTTGCCGCCAGGCCCAAAGTGCTTGTTGGCCTGAAATCGGACCTTCACCACATCCGTGGGCTGGGCACAGGTTACCGCCATGGCCCCTGTGGTGCAGCCCGCCAAAATCCGGGTGGCTATGCTGGCGTCTGGGGAGAAGGAGAGAGAGTGGGCCAGTGCCCCATCACCTGACACCTCTCTGGGCCTGATGCCATTCTCCTTGCCTGATGCCTGCCTCTTCTCCTGGGTCAGAGTTCTGGAGCTTTCTTGAAGGGGCTCTGAGTCTCCTCAAGAATGTCTGTTACCAGCTCCCCACACCCCAGCCCTGCCTCTGAGTCTGGCTGCCCTGGTCTCTGGCCCCACGCGCTGGTGTCCCTGGGGCGTGGGCACTCACGGTCTGATCCTGTGGGGGTGTACAGCTGCTTGACAGAGTCATAGAGGCCGATGCGGATGGAGGCGAAGCTCATCTGGCGCTGCAGGCCGGCGACCAGCCCGCTGTAGGGGCTGCGGAGACCTTCGGTGCGCACCATGGTCAGGATGGTGCCCAGCACGCCGCGGTACTGGACGCTCCGGGCCGCCTGGGATGCCTGGCTCTCCCCCTGGATCTGGGGGACACCCCGCAGAGGTATGAGGAGCTTGGTGGGGGAGGGAAGGGGCCGGACGGGGCTGTGTTCAGAGGCACCTGCCTGGGGCTGGACTTGGAGAACAAGCATGCCTAAGCTGTCACATCCCAGGAAGAGTGACTGAGGTTTGTGCCGCAGTTTACAGCTCACAGTGTGGCATTTGATTCTCAGAGCAAAGGGAGGGCAGATTGTTTTTCCCACCAAAGTGGTCAGTGGCTTGCTCAAGGTCATTCCTTACTTTTACTTCACTCTTTACGGTTTACAAAATAGGGCTGGGCCATGAAGGGTCCTGTCACGGCATGCCAAGGAATTAAGATTTTTTTGTCTTGGGCGATGGCGATGGGGAGGCAGCAAGGCAGGGTGGGCAGCAGTGGAGTGAGTGGCCTGCTCAGGGTTGTGTGTGAGGAAGAGCTTGTTGGGAGCCGGTACAGGTGCTGTGGAAGAGACCTCAGCCCTTCCTTTGATGCGAAAAATGACCCTAGGCCAAGGGCACCTACCTGCAGGCGGACCTTGGCTGTGTCCAGTGGAAAGGTGAGGAGGTCAGCAAAACAGGCCGCCATGCCCGCCCCCAGGAACTTCACAGCTGTTGTCGGAGGCATCTCTGAAGGCTTTAGTCCAACCATGGTCCCAGACGTTTCTCCCAGTCCCTTGAGGGCCCAGTTCAGGTCTGAGGAGAGAGGCGGCTCTGTAGCCCTGGGCTTTCGTGCAGGGAGGAGGCTGTGGAGACAGGCCGGCGGAGGCAGATGGAACCAGTGCTGCCTGGCTCAGCACCAAGAGGGGCTTTGTGAGTGAACAGCCTGGGCATTCCACGTTCAGCTGTGTGGATTTGGCTTAGAAAAACTGGCCACATGACTTTGCCTTATCTCTTAAAAAATATCCATTTTATTGATTTCAGAGAGGAAGGGAGAGGGAGAGAGATAGAAACATCAATGATGAGAGAGAATCATTGATCGACTGCCTTCTGCACGCCCTACATTGGGGATCGAACCCAAAACCCGGGCATGTGCCCTGACTGGGAATTGAACCATAACCTCCTGGTTCATAGGTTGATGCTCAACCACTGAGCCACGCTGGCCAGTCTGACTTATCTCTTTTGACCTTTCCCAGAATGAAGTGGCATTTAAAACTTTATTTTTATTTAAAAAATAAAAAATTTGAGTATAGTTTCCATATAATGGTTGCATGCATTTTAATGAGCTGTAATGGGACTTGTGTGTTGATTCTGGAATGTTTGGCCAGGACAGCAGATGGGGGAAGAGATTTTCTAGGTGGGGACCTAACCCGCCATCCAAGCATACGTAAGTTATATCATGCCACTCCCTGTTATAAAACTGTCCAATATGCCCCCTCCATTATTGAGAATAAAGTCCAAAGTGCTTGCCGTGGCCTGTGGGCCCCTCCATAAGATCCCCCTCGTGCCAGGTTCTGTACTTGGCACTCCCCAGGCCGTCCTGAGTAACAGTGAGTGTGACCCGCCCACAGGAACTCTCAAGGAGTCTCAGGGGCATTAGACACGCCTACAAATAACTGTAGTGCAAGATGGGCTGGACCAATGTCAGAGGAAGGAGCCATCCAGAAGGGGCTCAAAGGAGGGAGAGACCCTCTCTTGTTTGTGAGGTAGAATTAGAACAATTTTATGGGGGGTAGTTGGAGGGTTGCATGAATTAGGCCTTGAAAGGTGGGCAGAGAGTGTTCAACTGGAGAAGGGTGTGCGAGGTGCAGGAAAGGGCACGAGCTGTGTGAGTGTGTGCGGCATGGCTTAGCGCAGGAGGAGGGAGAGGCTGCTGGGCCGTGAGGAACTTGCAGTGAGCTTTACACACTGTCTCATGGAATTCTCATAACTTTCCTGAAAGGGAGCTTTCCCTTCCTTTCCCTACTTCGGATGAGCAAACCGAGGCTCAGAGACACACGCTGGCTCAGTGTTACCAGCCGCTAGTGACAGAGCCTGTTCCCTCTGCTATACTAGGCTCAACATAGCCTTGGAAAGAAGGGAGGACACCACGTAAGCCCATTTTACAGATGAGAAAATAGAGGTTAAGATGGAAAGAAACTGGCTCAAATTCACAGAACTCCAGCCAGGTTCTTGTGATGGCATTAAGGCTCCCTTCCCCACTCCACTCAGGGGCCCGGTGGTTGTGGTGGGGTGGATCCACGATCTTGCCTTTACAGTGAGGGCATTCCAGGGCTGGTGGGCATCTGCCCAGTTTGGTAGGTGAAAAAACCCCGCCCCAAGAGGCTGAGGCCTTTGCAGTTTGGCTTCCTCTGCAGTGCTCTTCCCACAGCTGCTCCTCCCACAGCCCGTCTACCTGCCTTTCTACGTTGCCTTCCTGACGGAGTCCAAGAAGGATCTGGTTTCTTGGGAGGATGGTGTAGAGGTCCTGTGTCTGCACAGCTGAGCCTGGCTGAGGGAACAGAATGGACGTCATGGTGGGGAACACCATCTTCCCCCTGCCTCCTTTCACACTCCCCTTTGCCTTACACAAGACCAGCAGCTGCCAGGGCTGGCTCGGGCCCCAGCAGGGAGGTTCTGGCTCCTCGGTCTGGGGCTGGATGGCAATCACAGAGACCTCCCCCAATGCGAGCATTCTGTTAGCCTCTCTTCCCTTAAGCACTAGCCCCCCACTCTCCCCCCGGCACTTCCCCTCCTTAGACCTGTGCTGGGCTTCTTGGAACCTTAGCCTGGGAATGTGAGGGCATGCCTCTAGAGCTGGGAGGCCCTTGAGGGCTGTGCTCTCTCGTGTCTCTTACTGGTTGTTGGAGTGTCCCTTATTCACAATCTTTTGGGGGTTACCCAAGCTCTAAAAGAAGAACCCTACAAGTTAGGTATTTTTACTCCACTTTCAGAGTTACATATTGAGGCCCAGACAGGTGGAATGACCATCTGAGGTCACAGGTGCACAGGGCTATGTGACTCCAAGGCACATGTGTGATGTGCCAGCCTGAGAGGGAACACTTCTGAACGTCCTTTGTCCCCAGCCACTCCTGGTCCCATACCACACTTTCTTGTAGGATTAACTCATTAACTGCAGTGGTTCCTCCCCAGATAAAGGACCCCCAAAGGCAGGGACAGGGCTGACTATCCTCCTTCTCTGGGCAGCCTGGCACAGGGATGGCCCAGGGCTCCAGAGGCCCACAGAGGACCAGTTGACCAAGGAACCCCACTTGCTGAAGGGGAGAAATGGTAAATAAAATCAGAGGTGCCCACAGCAGCCTTGGTGGGGGCTGGAGGAGCCTCGAATGCCAGAGCTATACTGAATCTAGCGAGTGAAGAGTGGTTGGTGATTTTGAGTTGAAGAGTGACACTAGCAGACCTATGTGCAGAGCACGCTGGTACAGACATTTGGACTGGTATGTGAGGCTCAAGACCAGTGAGCAGGTGGTTGGAATGGTACAGGGCGAGGTGCTGGAGCCTGAACATGATCAAGAACAGTGGCTCCAGCCCTGACGGGTTTGGCTCAGTGGATAGAGCGTCAGCCTGCGGACTGAAGGGTCCCAGGTTCGATTCCAGTCAAGGGCATGTACCTTGGCTGCGGGCACATTCCCAGTAGGGGGTGTGCAGGAGGCAGCTGATCAATGTTTCTCTCTCATCCATGTTTCTAACTCTCTATTCCTCGCTTTCCTCTCTAAAAAATCAATAAAATGTATTAAAAAAAAAAAAAAAAAGAACAGTGGCTCCAGCCCTAGTCGGTTGCTCAGTGGATAGAGCATCAGACTGCAGACCAAAAGGTTCTGGGTGTGATTCCGGTCAAGGGCACCTACCTTGGTTGCAGGTTCCTCCCCGGCCCAGGTCTTGGTCGGGGCTCGTGCAGGAGGCAACCAATCGATGTTTCTCTCTCACATCAATGTTTCTCTCTGTCTTTCCCTCTCTTCCACTCTTCCTAAATATCAATGGAAAAATATCCTCAGGTGAGGATTAACAACAACAAAAAAGAACACTGTCTCCACCCTGGCCAGTGTGGTAAGTGGTTAGAGCATCAGCCTGCACTGAAGTGTTGCAGGATCAATTCCTGGTCAAGGGCACGTACCTTGTTTTCAGGTTCGCTCCCTGCCTCTGGTTGGGGCGCGTGAGAGAGGCACCAGTTGATGTGTCTCTCACACTGATGCTTCTCTCTCTCTTTCCCCCCCTTCTCCTCCTTCCTTCCACTCTCTCTGAAAAAGCAATGGAAAAAAATACCTTCAGGTGAGGATTAAAAAATGAACAAACAAAAAACAAAGAGCAGTGGCCCATGGTGAATCGGGCACATTCCAGAGGCAGTCCTGAGCCACCCACAGGAGGCAGAGTGGATAGGCATGGACTCAGGTCAAAAGCCACAGCTTTGGGGAGGCTTTAGAACTTCCAATAGTCAAATTGGGGTGGGGGCAGGGAGGCTACAGTGGTGGGCACAGGTAAGGGCCCTGAGACCAGTGCTCCCCACCTCCGTCCCCCTTTACTCCAGCCTCCTGGATGTGAGGAACCTCAGCAGCCAGCAGACCTTTGCCACTGGCGGGTAGAAGAGGTTGAGAGCAGAACCCTCCTCCCGCTAGCTCTGCTGGGGCACTTGAGGGATGGGATGGTCTAGTCCCGTGGTCGGCAAACTGCGGCTCGTGAGCCACATGCGGCTCTTTGGCCCCTTGAGTATGGCTCTTCCTAAGCCTTAGGAGTACCCTAATTAAGTTAATAACAATGTACCTACCTATATAGTTTAAGTTAAAAACATTTGGCTCTCAAAAGAAATTTCAGTCATTGTACTGTTGATATTTGGCTCTGCTGACTAATGAGTTTGCCGACCATGGCTCTAGTCCACATGGCCTGGGGTAATGGAGCCATTAATGCTTGCTGAGTGCTTCCTGCACAAGACACCAAGCTGAGGGCTTTCTAGGCACTGAAAAATTCAGTCCCTTTATAAGACTCTAAGGTATGTAGTTGCTATGGTTATTCCCACTTCGTTACCAACGGTCTGGAGGCTTTGAGGGCTCAGCCAGTATGGCTGAGATGGAGCTAGGATTGGAGCCCAGATCTGTCTGGCACCTGTGCCTGTTCCATCGCTCAGTCTCAGGCTTCAGGGAGAGCTCAGGATTACAGTGGATTCTCAGCCCTCAGCCCCAGAGATCCCAATTCAGGTCTGGGTTGGGGTCTGGGAATCTGCACTAGAACAAGTTCCCTGATGTCTCCGAAGCACCCCCATCCTGAGACACCCTGCTAACCCCACCATCCTGGCAAAGCCTCCTCAGCATTCCCACTAAGGAAACCCCTGGGTGAAGAGTTCCCACGGGCTCTGTAAAACTCCCAGCATGCAACATGGGCCAGGCCTCATGCCAGACATGCCTCCACCTTCCGTACTCAGGAAAGGGGTCTCCAGAGCCCTTATGGGGAGAGGATTTTATGTTCTGGAGGAATCCTGCAAGGATTCTGGGCCAGATTAAGGAGAAAGCCACTTCTTACGTACGGGGATGTGCAAAATCACAGCAGAGGCAGCCAGCTGAGCCAGGGGCCAGTCTTGGGTGAGTGACATGGTGGTGGGGTTGAGTCCCAGCCCTGCCACAGTGCCCTCACCAGGGCTGCAGTTCCCTCACCTTGACAAGGTGGGGCTGGACTAACTCTCCATAGCTCTGTTATGCCATGGTAGGGGTCCCTGCCAGTTCCTGGCTGCTCTCTGTAGGCTGCGGTGAGGGGAGAACATGCGGGGTGGCTAGAGAATGGGATCTTACCTGAGTCCAGCAGGGGTAGGGGAAGCGCAGGACCTCCTTAGGGCTCCATCTCAGGAGGTGGCAACAGGACTTTGATTGCTCCCTGGCCATTCACGGCTGTCTCTGCTGCCTCCGGCTTGGCACCTATCTTTATACACTCTGACTGACCTGAAACCTTATCCTGCAGATGCTAGTGACAGCCTGATCACTTGACAAGAAGCGGCTGGTGAGGGGCAGGGAGGTGAGGGAGGAGGTCAGAGTTCTAGATCTGGTTCAGTTCCTTTCACTTGAGGTTCTTTAAAATAGCTACTGAAGGAAGAGCTATCTCAGAGGAGGAGGGTATATATGTGCATGTGTGGGGCGTTGGACCGGTCACCTGTGAAAGTCCAAAGGTCAAGGCCTCCCTCCATAGGCTGGGCAGGTCTCTCCCTAGCCTCCTCTCAATAATAACACTGACAATAACTCATTTTTTGGTGCCTACTATGAGCTAGATACTTTACATATATTATTTCTATTTCTCACAACCCTAGGAGGTAGGTACTAACAGGATTCTGAGTGAGTTTGTTTTTTTAAACAACAGCTTTGCCCTGGCCAGTGTTTCTCAGTGGTTAGAGCATCTGCTCACATACTGAAGGGTCTCAGGTTTGATTCTCAGTCATGGGCAAAAGCTGGGTGGCAGGTTTGATCCCCAACCCTGGTCAGGATGCATGTGGTAGGCAACCAACTGATGTCTCTCTTTCATATGGATGTTTCTCTCTCTCCCCCCACTCCCTCCTTTCTACCCTCTCTAAAAAACAATGGGAAAAATATCCTCAATTAACAAAAAACAGAAAAAAGAAAATAACTTTATTGAGAGATAATTCACACACCATTCACCTACCTATTCAATGTTTTTAGTATATTCAGTTATACCACCATCAGTCATCACAATTTTAGGGCATTTTCATCACCCCTCAAAATCCCCCTACACATCAGCAATCACTTCCCTTCTCTCCAGCCCCAGCTAATCACTAATCACTATAGATTTGCTTGTTCTGAATATTCCCTATAAATAGAATCATACAGTATGTGACTTACCCTGTGACTGGCTTCTTTCACTTAGCATACTGTTTCCAAAGTTCACCTGTTCATTCCTTTTCATGGTGGAGGATCCTAACATTTGTAATGCTCATTTTACAGAGAACACTGAGTCTCAGGGAGAGACAATGACTTATCCAGGTCACACAGCTAGTACGAGGCAGAGCCTGGCTCCAGCCTGTAAATTGTAACGTACTTTGGGTCTGTCTGCTGTGACCACGTTTTCGATGACAACATTTGGAGGCTACAGCAAGGACACTGCTGGAGCCAAAGGCTGCTGGGAGGGTGTGGGGGCGGGATGGGAAGGGTCCTCTGAAGCAGCTGCTGTCTGGTAGGCACTGAGGGTAAGGGTTGGGCACATCTGAACCTAGAACCCAGGTGACAGAGAAAAGAGAAGGGGAAGGAATGAGGGGAGGAGAGGGCAGGGGACGAGAGGAAGAGAGGGCTGGGAAGGGAAGGGAATGAACTGGGTGGGGCAGAGTAGGCAGAGGCCGATGCTGGATTTGGGCACAGAGCCATGGCCTCGAGGCAGATGATCACAAGTCCAGATGCTCAGGTACAAAGCCTGTCCTCCTCCGAGAACCAGGCCCTGCCCTAATGTCAGCAGGACAGGCAGTTGTGTACATGTTGTTAGAGAAGTGGCTGGGGGGCCACTGAGGTGGGGAGGGCTCAGGACATAGGTTCCAGGTTCCACCTGAAAATGCTGGCCTCGAGGTGGTGGGTGAATTGCAGTGGGCACTGTATCTGGGGAGGGATACACAGTAGGAACCCAAACTAGGGGACAGTGGGCCCTGGAGAAAGTCAGAGGGCAGGCAGGCGGGCTGGCTCAGCTTACACTGGCCTGAGAGCTTCTTGAGGGCGGGGCCAGGCCTGTCTGCTTTGGTTCTGTCCCTAGAACCCAGCCTGCTCTAGAAGTCCCAAGGTTGGCTGCTCTGAGCTGGGATCAAGCTGTGGGTCATCAGAAACACCCATTTTCAGGTCTCCACAAAGGAAGCGCTCAAAGGGAAGTGGGGGAGACAAGGATAGCTCTGCTGCTGCTGGTGGGAACAAACAGGTACTCATTCGGCATGACCCTGCACCGTGTTTCACCTCTGAGCTGTCACTGGCAAACAGACCCAGCTTCCGGGGTGCAGTGGATTTCAGACCCTCAGAGTGTCTACGTCACGAAGGCTGCCCTGGGCCTGGGTGGAAGCAGCCGTGTCCTCCTACGGCCTTATCCTAACTCGACCTGATCAGGCTATTTACAGGACCTGAAGAGGATTTAGAAGGAATATTCTCCACCAGCTTAACACCTCAGGCCTGGGCCCGACTGCTCCACTGCAGGTTCTCTGTGGCCTCAAGGGAGGAATAACCCCAGGCCTTAACACTCTGGGCTGGTGGCTTGAGGAGGAGGCTCTGGGGAGGGGGTGAGCTGGCAGGCGAGGGGGCTGAGGCGAACAGATGAAGGAGGGCAGGCTGGTCTGAGGGCACTTCACTGATGAGGGCACCGTGTCCGTCCCTGGGGTCCTGCATCACGGTGTACCCTCCGTGGGCACGTCCTGCCTATCGCACAGTTACTGGTGCGCTTGCCTGTCCAGAAGAGTGTGGAGGTTGTGGGCGGGGCTGACAGTTCCTAAGCCTCCACTAAGTGCCAAGTGCCGGCGAAGCCCTTTCACAAATGTCATCTCATTTATTCTTCACACCAACCCTATGAAGCTGGGGTTATCTCCATTTTACAGATGAGGCAACAGAGGCTCAGATGCAGGGAGAGTCAAGCCGGGGGGGGGGGGGGGGGCGCGACTGGGTGAGTGGTGTCTTCTCTATCCCCAGATGCATGTGGCCCGAGGACCCTCTGGGTTCTCTCTCTGGGCTCACCTCGACTTCTCGGTTCTAGGAAGCCTTCACTGACTGCTCCAACCCACGTGGCCTTTCTCCATAGAGTCCCTGAATTCACAGCACTTACTGGCTGTGTCCTGTTTTGGTCACTGAGTGCAGAAGCCTTGCGACATCTCTGGAGATGTCTTGTGTGGTGGTTCACTTCCTAGCTACATCAACAGAGGCAAATTAACTTCACTGAGCTTTAGTTAACTCTAAAATGGGAAACCTAACATGTAGGTTATAGAGTTGTTGTTTTTTTTGGATTAAGTGAAATGACCTGTGCTTAGGAGTAGAAAGCAGGACCCTCCATGTTAGCTCCCTTCTAGCCTGTCGCAGCCACTCTGCACATCTTTGTCCTTATCTCCCCTGCAGGCCTTGTCTTCAGTAGCTGCTCAGTTTGAGGTCTGACAGTCTAAGCCAGAGCCACCCATCCCGGAGAGGTGGGGAATTCTGAGACGACTTGTTGCAGGAGACTCCCTTTACTTTGCTGATAGATTTGAGGCACCAGCAAAGAAGTAATGGGTGTCACCCTAATCTGGATCAACCCGATCTTTGGGGAATTCCTAACCCTCCTGTCCAGGGGCCAACCCAGGAAATACTTGTGCACAGAATACAAATACCAATATGATTTTATTCAAACACAGGCAGGAACAATGACCTTCAGAACTGGGTGAAAACAATAAGTTAAAAGCATGGTTAGAATTTCAGACAATCAGATAAAATGTTTGAAGGAGGTGATTTCCCCCTCCTCTCCTACTAATTCAACACAGCATAAAATAATTTAGAGCTATAAAATATCCTTATTCCCAAGCAAATGAACTGAAGGTGGTGTAGCATTTCTTCATTTATGCACAATGCAGTCTACACTTTCCCCCAACACCTTTAAGGCAGAAATGGCCCATCACAGGCAGAGAGTGAGCTCATGCCAGCAGTATGCTGTGTCAAGGACATTGGGAGGAGTTTCTCAGCCAAAAGATGCCTGAGTGGGTCCCTTCAAAAGACAAGTGGGCCAGTTGGGTGCTGGAATCCATTCCATTTCTAGTCTTTGCCTCAATATATCAGGAAGAAGCCAAAGTCCTTGCAGGTGGACAAGGGGCCGGTTTGGATGCTCTCACTGTCTATGTGCTGTCTGGATCTCGGGGAGCCCATGAACTAGCCTAGTGGTTTCAGGACTCTCACAGCCCAGAGAGGAGACCTGGCACTCCTGCGAGCTGGACGAGGCTGAGGGTGGTGGGCAGGGGCTCCTTCCTTCAGTCTCTCAGGCTGCGTGAGTCTTTCTGGGAGTACTGGGAAGAAAATATCCGTGCGATTCTGCGAGTTTCTTCTTCAGACAGGTTAGGAGGCAGCGAGTTAGGTCTTGGGCGACAAGGCCTTCGGGACGGGGCGCTTCCAGTGCCTTCACTCTTGTCCTGGAGAGGAAGTCAGCTAGGTTAGCACTGAGGATGTGGCACCACCAAGAGATGGCTTTGGTTCCTCTCATCTTTTGGTCCTTTGGCTAACAGTGATGCAGAGCTTACTGGTTTACAAAGCACTTTACATACCTGATCTTTTTTTTTTTAAAATATATTTTATTGATTTTTCACAGAGAGGAAGGGAGAGAGATAGAAAGTTAGAAACATCGATGAGAGAGAAACATCGATCAGCTGCCTCCTGCACATCTCCCACTGGGGATGTGCCCGCAACCCAGGTACATGCCCTTGACCGGAATCGAACCTGGGACCTTTCAGTCCGCAGGCCGACGCTCTATCCACTGAGCCAAACCGGTTTCGGCTACATACCTGATCTTGTATAATCCTTACCTCAACCCCATGGGTGGGTACATCACTCTCATGTCATGGATGAGGAAACTACAGTTCAAGTGAAATGAACTCAAGGTCCCACAGCTTGGAGTAGCAGCTAAGATGTGAACCAGCTCAGACTCTTTCTAGGCCTCCGGAGGGGCAGTCCCCTCTAGGATGGGTCTGAAGCCTCATCCATTCTGTGTCTGTATGAGTCTAGACAAGACATTTGTCCTCTGAGTTATGTCTGTCCCACGTGTGACACCGGGAATATATTCAACTTCTGGGAAGAAGATGTTGGTGAATAATATACTCTGTTGGCCCTTGGAGTTCCTCAAGCTGCAGCTGACATGAAGCACATACTCATGGTCCTACTATCAAACATCTCTCTGACTCGAGCGGACAGGTTAGCACTAATTCCACCCTAAGGTGCTCCATTTGGGCTAGTCCACTGTGGTCCTCGACTCCTCTATGACTCATTCATCTGCTCAACCTTTTTTCTTGCTTAGTCTGTGCTAGTCTTCTGCCCTGAAGGA